CTACATTCTTTTGATCCCTTGCTACTAAAAGAGTGTATAAAGACAAAATTTGAAGCTACTGCATTCTCTGAGTGAACTGAAGCTCTACCCCAGACAAGCTCACAGCTCAGGAAAGAATCAGTCTTGGATTTCTTCTGCATCATGAACAACTGGCAAATACCCTCAAATGAAATTCTCTGCCAGACTCATCGTCAGAAGGTGTGAAAAGCTAGTTCCTGTCAGAAGTTTTACATTAGGTAGTTTCTAAGAAAGTTGTACCTAAATCAGTAGTAAATGAAAAATGCGATATTTCAGTCAAAATTTTAGGTGCACATATATTTGGGCTTAAATCCTGACTGTTCTCTCATTACACTGCTGGGGAAAACTGATGTTCTTGAGTAACAAGCACTGATGTATAATTCATTTCTTTGTATTGGCTTGCAGATTGCAAGGAACTCTATTGATTTAAGGTGTTTCATCTCCGAGCATTACAGGAAAGAAACAAGTGTGAGCTCTCAAAGTTTGGATCTGTGGGTAATTTTCCTCAGCATAGCTATAAGTCTTTGTGAAATCCAGTAACCTGTTACAGCATCCTTCCGTTATAGCTTGTTTCATTGTGATGTTATTTGCAGATAAGTATCAAAAGTAATACATCCCATGTGACAGTAGGATGAAAGGGAAAGTAAAAGTGGGAATACCTGTTGTGACTACAGTAATAGCAAGTAGAAGCTGGTTCTTTGAGCTGTCTGAAATGAACTCATATTTCAGCTCAAATAAGCAGTAATGAGCCTTGAAGACAACTTAGGAAGATTTTTGCTCACTGATAGGTCAATTTAGTTAGTTATACCTTTGATGTAAAGGCATACTTTTCACCACATATATGCCAGACTTGGGCAATAGAATAGTTTCCAGTACATCAGTGGTCTGGTGGATCATTTGGTTTTGCAGAGGAGCAAGACATTTGCACATTTTACATGCCAGAAAACGGAATTTGAGCCCATAATTACTAGTGTCACACTCATCTGGCTTCCTAAAACAGCCAAATAACTTAAGTTTACCTGAAGAATAATCTATCCTGAAATGAAACAGCAGTGCCTCTAACTTCAGGCATTCTATTTTCATAGTGACAATGGAAGGAAAATAATACTGCCTGAAGTTATTCAGGCCATGAGTGACAGTAGACACAGTTAATATGCATAATTACAATATTCATAATGAAAATTTTCATGATAATTAACAAAGACAATTATCCTCTTTTGTTCTGATTACCTAAAGATACGTTAAAGGTAGGCTTGCATAATTAATTATCAAATGTAAGGTTCCTTACACAGCCTTGGACATTATTTCAGGGAGCTTGCTCACAGAGGTAATCTCCATAATCAACATTGCCTGCCATTTCTGAGCTTATAAGTTAATTATTACGGTGACATAAAGAGAAAAACATTTGGGACAGAAAGTGGAAGATAAAGCCCAGAAATCACTATTAGTAATGAAAAAGCAAATTTACAGAACATTAAGCATTAAGCTATCATTAAGCATTTGGAAACATCCTGCTGGTATTGACTTGGAGGAAGGGGGAACAGGCTGCAAAACTAACTTGCACAAAGTCCAAAGTCTCAACAGTTCATGGTCAAGTGGAATGGTAAATCTGACATGTCTCTCCTGAAAAACACACAGGCCATTAATGTAATTGGCCTTTTAACTAGCAACTTGCTTGCAGCCTCCAGAAAAGTCTTTTCTCCCGTCTCTGAATGACCAGTGTGCACAACACAGATTATGACCTTTCTTCAGTATAAATATTTACATACACACACACACACACAATTAACTGAATAATAACTGCACAGGTTTCAGAAGAGTCAAAATTTGTCTTTCAGTGTCACGGTACCACAAATACCAAAACTCAGTGCTGCACAATGACAATCTCTTTGAGGTCTGATGGCCAAGTATCAGGGTGGCCATTCAGCCCCATGGAGTATCTCCTTTACCAAGAGGATGAAGATATCAGCGTCAGCAAATGCTTGGGAACAACAGATTCAGAGGTGCTTCCTGCTGATAGAGCAGCCAACTCACCAAATGGTTTGTGGATGCCCCTGAAAACTTCTTCCATCCTGTGCCTCTCTCATACACATCAATTGCAACTTCTCAACAGTCACTTTGAACATCTTTGCAATAACTATCTCCATGGGTCTCCAAAGCCCTCACAATCATCAGTCACCACTTCATGGTATAAAAATGAAATGTCATCTTTTCAGAAAGACAGAAAAAACATTACCGAATTTTTATTTTAAAATCAAGCTGCTGGCCTGACAGACTGACATGTTTATTCACCTGTTCCCTACCCAAGCCTTGTAAGGGGACTGCATTAAGTAGTTTATGTTAAATACAGGGAGGAATCTGCCAGCAAATCTTCAAGAATGAAATGGCATGGCACACAAGGATGTGTACCTCTGTATGAGGTTGCTATCCTTTCAACATATTCTGCTGTATTTCATGGAACAAGATTGTTCTTGACAGCTGATAATGAGAACTGATTGAAGAAGTTGCACTGCTCCTCTACGTAACCAGGCAAAGACAGCACTTATGTCTGCAAACTTTGGGACATGTGCCTTTCTGAAGTTACTGGCAATCACCAAATTTATTTAACACTCAAGCTCCCCTACTATTTACCTGTACTTCTACAACACTTTTTTTGCCTCCCACCAGATTGGGCAGCCCCCACCCAGTGTGGCCTTGAAACCTCCAGGGATGCTCACAGATTCTTTGGGCAGTCTGTTCCAGGGCCTCGCCATCCTCACAGAGAAGAATTTCTTCCTAATGTCTAACCTAAATCTACCCTCTTTCAGAGTGTGCTATCGCTACACTCCCTGATAAAGAGTTGGTCCCCTTCTTTCCTGTAGGCTCCCTTAGGGGGGGGGAAGGCTGTTCTAATCCTTTTCATGGCCATTCTCTGGATCTGCACTAATACATAATCCATGGCCCTCTCGTGTTGGGATCTCAGACTCAGATGCAGTACTGCCAGTGAAAAGCTGTCAAGCACGAGCAACTATGAAAGTTAAATAGTAGGTATGGTTTGTAAAAATATGCTGTTTGTTTTTACTCTAAACATACTGTGTAGTAGTCTGGGGGCCTTGTGTTGGCTTTTAATGGATCACTTTTACTCGTGGTCTGTTGAAAATCCACATCTCACTCAGGAGAGAGTAATAAGTAGAGATCCCACATAAGCCCTTGCAACAGAACCACTGAGAAGCAGCAGTGGGCAAATCTAAAAAGAGATAATCAGATTTATCCCCATCAGCTCTCTGCTGTACGTATTGTCAAGTTAATTTCTTCATTTAGTCTTCTCTGCTTCCTACGACACTTCTTTCAAATCACAACAGTATGTGGGAGTAGGATATACCAGCTGGCTTTGCTCTTTTTCATACACACAAAACTCCTGTCTTCAAACGAGATCAGCCTTCGTGTAAAATCAAGATATATTCAGTGTAGTGGGGGGGAGGCCACCAGCATACAGCACGTAGGTAATGGACAGAAACAAACTGAGCTTTACCCTGGCATCTCATAGATTAGTATTAAAGCTTTCAGTGTGATGAAAGATTGTTCTCTAAAAATGCATTTTGAGAGGTCAGTTTATACAGAAAAGAACTTCCTCCTGACAATTCCTAGGCATAAAAATGTTCCTTAAGCTTCAAGCTGAATCCCTGAAACCAGTGTATTTGAAACACCCAGCAGTATTTCAGGAACACGATGCCGATTTCTCCTGTGCTGGTGAGGCTAAGCTCCATTTTCTTTCTCAGAATTGTACTTCTGGTCTGGCAATCGTTTTCTGATTGTAAATACAATATATCAGTTTTTAAAGACACTGAAAATAAGAAAAAGCCGAGCACTAATTGCTAAGCTAAGTGAACGTGCCCGCTTTCAGCTCTCACTGGTACGCGTTCAAGCTCCTCCTGCCAGGGCGAACCCAGGCCGAGCTCTAACGGACTTCACTGTCGTTCAGCAAGGAGCTCATCGGTCCGCTGCTGCCATCTAGCGACCACAGCCATTCCCGCCTCGACACGCTGGATTGCAAATCCGGGGAATTTTGAAACCGAGAGGAAAGGGGAAGCTGCTTCCCATCCTTACCTTTGAGTCACGCTATTCACATCCACAAGAGGTACTTTCACTTGGCTCGTCCGTTCTGGGGGATCACAAGTGGCTCTCTTTTTGCTGAGACAAAGTGCTAGCAGCTGGCACTCAGATTTGCACACAAGGACTTTCTCCCCACAGCACGTCATGGTAAGACTTTGGGCGTGGGTGATAAGAGCACCAAAAGCTACACAGCCTAAGAGTAAACGAGGAAGTGCGGTTTGGGGCTGGGCGCTGCGCGGCGGCTCCTGCCCGCTCCCTCCCCAGGGCCGGCGCCTCCTGCCGCCACGGGGCGGTGGGCGCGCGCCAATACCGGCGCGAGCCGCACGGCGGCACTGCAGCACGCCCTGCTCCCACCTGCTGCTGCTCCTCGGCGGGAGCTGCCGCCTGATGAGCGAACCGGGTTCCCCCACGCCACCCTTCCAAAATAATAGCGGTAACAGTGTTGCTCTAAGGCCAGTTTTACGGCACTTCTGGCTACTGTCTGCACAAGGTGTGACCTTGGCTGCCCTGTGCAGGACAACCCGCAGCGCCGTGCTCTGCAGCGGACTGCTGGTGACACGCGGAGGAGTGAGCAGCTTGCTCTGTCTGCTTGCTGCCCCCTCAGGTTGTTGGGTTTTGTTCTTCCTTTCTTTTCTTTCCTTTGCTTTCTCTTCTTTCCTTTTCTTTCTTTCCTTTTATTTCTTAATTCCTTGTTTCCTCCCCTCCCCCAGAAGAAACATTTTTAAATAAGCTGCTCTCCCTGCTGATGCAGGGTGGAAAAAGTTCCTAAGGCAAGCTTACTTGGAAATATTTGAAATAACAACAGCCACTGAACCCTCATCACCACTAGAGTTTTTTGGTGAAACCTGTTATAAGCCTCTTTTGATAAGGAATTAAAATCGGAGTCACTCTTTGCTCTTGATCTGTAGTAGCAAGTCACTTTTATTCTTTGTTGATAAAGTTACTGGACCTTGGGTGCCTTTTGCTATAGCTGAGGTGAAGTTTCAGTCTGAAAATGTTTCTGTATTTCCAGATTTAATCATGAGTACTCTAGAAAGAGTCTTCTGTAAAACAAAGCAGAGTTAAAAGGTTTTTTAGAGTTTCAGTTTTATTGCCCTCTTTTCTCTATGTCATTTCTCAGTAGAGCAACATAAAGAGACACAGTGCAAGTCAAATAATCCGTGTAACTATCATGGATTACTTTCAATTCAAGATTTGGGTCCTGTAATTCAAAACCAGACAAACTCACTATTTCTCACTTTGCTACTTTCTTTCATTTAGCAGAAGAGGAAAGTTTTAGACAAAGAAGTAAAACCTCATTTATTGAACCAAGCAGAAAAGAACAGGCTGAGAAAAACTACATTTACTCATTTAATTAATTGGACTGAAAGTAAATGATACTGCTTAGAAACTGAAACACAGACAGGAATGTTAGCAAAGAGAAGTGATATGATTCACACCCTACTTGGGATATAGGGAAGAAAGAGACTCACTACCTATAAATCAGTTCAAGCTCAGCTGGAAGTATTATCCAAGGTAACTATATCAATTCTTTCTATATATCTATGTCAGTATAGTTCTACTGAAGATGCCATTTTTACTGTGGAGAAAAAAATCATTTTTTCTTCCTGTCTTCTGAAACAATTCTCTAAGATTTCACTCAGTATTGGATAGACAGACTGGCCTTGGACAGAACATGCATTCTATGAAATCTTTGTGCTGATCTCTGCTTACAGTAGGGAAGGTACTGCCCTGTTCAGAGTAGCATAATTTGAGAAGCACAACATGTACGTGCAGGTGTGAGGCAAGAGATTGTAAACATGCTGGCTCTGAAGCAATGCTTGCTTAATCTGTTTCCTGAAAAATATAGTATTTGATTAAGTGCAAACAGTCATGGATTTTTTTAGTAGGTTTCTGGAAAGTAGCTCTCACAGAAAGGTAATGGAGTCTCCCCCCTTGTAGATGTTTTTAAGCTGTCTGGACATGGTCCTGAGTAACCTCCTCTAGGTATCCCTACTGAGCAGGAGCCTTGGACCTGATGATCTCTGGAGATCCTTTCCAAACTTAACTCCAAGAATATGTAAAACACTCTTTTTTGCTTTTGAAAAAAAGAAAAAGAAAAAGAAAAGAACAGAAAAGAAAAGAAAAAAAAAGAAAAATTGGGGGAGAAACATATCTTTTTTTTTTTTTCTTTCTCTTGACTTGAACTAGGCTTCCTCTTAATACTAAAATGAAAACCTAGCCTTTTTTTATTACATTATTAATAAAACTATCCATTGAATCACTCTAAGAACCTCATGAGAATCCACTATGTGTTGGAATTCAAAGAGCTAAGTGATATTCTGAGTATTAGCTCCTACAGATGCACTTCCTCTGCAAAATTGTACCTATTAGCCCAGTGCAGAATAATTCAGAGTGGTGAATCTTATTCTAGGTTTCTGAAATTCTACAGTACCTTTTTTTCCACTGTGTGTTGTTTGGTTCATCTTAACATTTTTCAAAGATATAAAATGTAGGCATTTGATCTAAAAACAAACAAACAAACAAAACCACAAATGTTAGAGAATTTAACGTTATATTCCACACACAATCATATTTAGTAGTGATGCAATTAGGCCCTTTTGCTAGAATGGTAAATTATCTAGGGCTCGATCTCTGATACGATTGCAGTATTTGTTTAATAGAAACTATATCAGTCTTCAGAAAATAATAACTGTGATGAAGACTTTCCAGGATTTGATCTTAAAATCAACAGCTTGAATCATGGCTAAGCATTTCTTTAACAGTCAGGCAGATTATAGACACCGGATCACCAGATCTCGTCGCATAAATAGCAAATGGAATTTGCAGTTTAAAGAATGGGAGTACCTATGTTCAAGTACCTATGGAATCCCAAATAGGCAATGAGACCCCAGGCAGTCTGGGGATAAGTAGCAACTCTGTGGGTGCAGCTCTTTGTTCAAGCATGTAGTAGGTTGAGTTCAGTGCATCACTTCTCACCTCATGATTCTGAAGGGCTGGAAGTGGCAGAGGAGTGTTGCAGTGGGCACAGGTCACCAGCATGTCACAAGACTGAGTGTCTTTAAGAACTTGAGGTGATGTGGAAGGTTTGCTTTTTGTGGGAGAGTGAATACCAACCATCTTTTTGTTCTTTGGAGGTTTGAGCAAGGTTTTGGAGGTCAATGGACGTTCCCTTTTTTTCCCTTTGGGAGAGATGTCTTTCCGTGCAGTTGCACTCACAGAGCAGGAAAAGGGAGCCAGAGAGGAAGAAGATGGTGGTGAGTCACTGACTGGTTTTGAAGTTGACTGGCCAGCAAGAACTTCAGTCAGATTATGGGTTGCACTGCAATTATTCTGCAGAAAGAAGGCAATACAATGAGGTGAACACTGCCATTACACCCAACTGTGTGGTATGCTGTGGTTTTCAATAGTGGTGAGTCATTGAAAGGGGTAGTGGAGAAAATGTCACAGTGATGCTGCAGCTGAATATGTGGTATCATTAAGTTATAATTTGAAGAGTCGAGATACACTGCATTTTCTTATTTAATACACAGCTTTAAAAGAAATAATCTGACTGAAATTAAGAACAGACCATTATCTTGTTCAGTTACAAATACACTTACCAGATGTTGGGAGTGCTGGTCATCTGGGAATGACTTATTACACCTCAGACAAATATTGTCACTGGCACCTTCAGAATGATAAAAGTGAGAAAAAAAAAAATAAAACATGAATCATCTAGACAGGCTGCTTACATCCACTCATAGTCACTGGTAACAGAGAAACCCATGAAATTAATTCCACTCATCAAGAAGGAATTAGAGTTCTGACTTAATTTTGCTTTTGGCTTTGGTCAAAATCAATCCAACATCCCTTCTCAAAAACATAAGGATATTTGCCTCTCCTGCACCCTGTTTTATGTCTCAGGACGGTTCAATCCTGCTTCAGCTCAGCTGAAGGATTGTATATCCCTGCTAATAGGGATTTTTCTCACAATAGTGTATTTTACCAACCACCAACTGGTTCCCATTCTTTTCTGGACCACTGTCAGGATTCATGAATATTTTGTTTTTACGTATTCTATCCAATAGCTTAGGCCAATAAAGCTGCTCTCAACTTTAAGAAATCAGTGGCTTTGGATATGATGTAAGAGGGAATTCTAAATCAATTTTTCCCTGTGTGACAAGTGGAAAGAGGAAGCTCCACTTATTTTCCAATAGAAGGATTTTCTTTTCCAGATTGTAATGGTTGCACAACAGGAAATACACAATGAGCTAGCAATCAGTAGAATCACTCTGGCTTTACAATAACCAGCATAATAGAAAGAAACACTTAGCCCTTTCACTTTGACTGGTTAAACAACAGAATCCTTCAACCTGCATTACTGAGAACTGTAGAGATGGCAGGAAATTTTTCATTGACATTTAATAGAAATGGATCAGTCCATAACAATGAGAAATTTTACTCACCAGTGGGGTCAATAAATTTTGCATTAGTATATGCTTCCTTGGTTTGAAAGTTCACATCCTTGCAATAGGACAGACCACTGTTCTGACAAGTATCTTTGTGTTTGTTCTGGTCTTTGTACATTACATATTTGTTACACTCCCAACACCGCTCTGTTCTGCTGGCACAGGTGTTCAGGTGTTCCTGCAGCTTGTTGAAGGGCATTTCCAACTCACAGATTTTGCATTTCATTGCTCGTTTGTGACATTCTTTGGTCTGTACATAAATAGAGGAAATTATTCCAAATTTTCTATCACTACCATTGGATGAAAACAATAAATGACTGTTTAAGAATGTCTTCCCTATGGAGTATCTACACAGCCAAAAGAAAGCATATCTGTGTTAAGAGCTCATCTATCTGGGCTACCTTTAATTTAGGAAGGTTTAGGCAATATAAGAAAAGAAAATAGGAATCATGTGCTATGTCATTATAGGCTAGCAACACAGCACAAGTCCACCTTGAAAATTCTAGTATTTCACTTACCACCTCCAGGGCAAAATTACTGTGTCTTTCGTTCCTTGAAATGGTCAGTTTAAAGATAGCATAGACAGGTTATTCAGCTCTTTCACTGGCCTTTCACTTACGTATTACGTTCTTGTGTGAGCAGTGACTCTTGCTTTGTATAACCGACTTTGGAAAAGCAGATGAGTGTGTGAGTAGAGCAGAAAGGCCTTTGAGCAGCTCTCAAAGAACAGCAGCCTGAGGTGCCAAGGATGATCAAGTAATATGTTATCATAGAACCATACAATCCTTAGAGTTGGAAGGGATGTCTGAAGGCCATCTACAATAAATCCCCTGCAACGAACTGGGACATACACAGCTAGATCAGGTTGCCCAGGGCCTTATCCAGCCTTACCTTGAAAATCTCCAGGGATAGACTACCATCATGACTGGATGGACAACCATTATGGGGTATACTTAAATTCAAAGGAAAAAGGTAAGTCAGTGCACTGCCACTATTCAGAAGTTTAAGATTCTTCATGATCCATAACACCAGTCAGGGATTTACATGTTTTTACTGTTGAATCCATCAGTGTGATTCTTGGTGGTTAGTTGAAGGTGTCAGCCTCAAGAGTGACAAGTGCTGCACTCTGTACTTACCTTGTGATGCTCCAGCTGGTATTGCTGAATACTTTGGCAACAAAAATTACATCTGACCTGCAAATGAAATGTACAGAAGATCACTGGGAGCATAAGAGGACAGTTAGTGCTTTCATATGTTGTTAATACAACATATTTAAGCTGCTGATATATCTTTATCTATATATTTATAAATATATTCATATTTATATTCATATATTTATAAATATATAAATAAATTATGTATTTATATATATTATACATTATAATATGTATATATACATATATTTTAAATATATTTAAAATATATTTAAGCTGCTGAAATGATCTCTTTGTCATTTTTATCCCAATCATCAAGAAGCTATTGGTGAATTATTTTTTGATCTTCAAGCCTGAGCTATGTTTATGTGATTCTGAGGAAAACATGTCTTATGATTCTGCAGAAAGTTGTTGTTCTGTGCAAGGACCCAGTTCTGAAAAGCCCCAGGTGAAATGCAAAGTCTGTGTTCGACTTTTTTTACAGAAGCTTAACTTGAAAGTATAGGGCTGATATTCAGTTAGTCTAAAACTTACGAAGCATATTAGTTTTCTAGAGATTTGCCATGAGAGCTACTCATGTAGCTACACAAATAAAATCAGTAGAATTGCTAAAACAATGAAACTAGTGAAATGGAATTAAAAAATCATGCCTGGGTATTCACACTTCAATATTGTACCTCTAGATAGAGGATTCCTAATGTTATATTAAAAATGTTGTGGCCTCAATATACGTAAAGTTGATAAATTCACTCTGCTTGTTCAGTTTTGTTTAAAAAGGAGCACTGATATAATTTTGTACAAGGTTTATATCACATCAGATATTGTCTGTCTTCCTCTGTTCAGATCTTTTAAATTCATGCTACAGCAGGCACTGTTTGGTGTTCTATGGTTGAAATAATGCTAGAGTAATAGCCAACAGAAGGCATCAACTTTGTACTGCATGCTCTGGCTAGTTCACAAGCAACAGGCACATGTGTCCATACCTGATCTGTAATTTGCTTTGCTGGGAGAGCTGGGATACTATTGTGTAAGCTGAATTCTCTTAACATGCCTGCGCAATAGTATCAAAAAATGCTTCAGCTGGGACATGTCAGACCCTTTCAGATTTTCTGCTCAAACAAACAATTGTAGAAGTTCAAATGTAGTTAATAGAGGGCACTGTACCACGACTGTATTTCAAGATTGGCAGAGCTTTATGTTGATTGCAAGAAGAAAATGGAGCATTTCTTACCTGTTTGTGTGCTTCTGTGTGATGGTCTTTCATATTCTTTCTGGCAACTGGTTCATCACATTCTGAACAGAGAGTGAGAAACCGCAAGCAGTGGGCCTCATGGAGGGAGAAATTGGCAGCAGACACATCTCGTTTGCTACCAAGAACAGAATGGGAAAGAGAGAAGAGTAATGAACCAATGTGGTGGGTTGATCCTGGCCAGCAGCCAAGCACCCACATAGCTGCTTGCTCACCTCCCTGTACACACTGCAGTGAACCCTGGACTTTGTGGCAGAATGGCAGGACATACTGGTGCCTGACACATGACAGTCAGTGATGGTCATGGGAATATAGCAGCTAGAGGCAAACCCATACAACCTTCCTGGCCTACAAGATCAGGAAGGTTGCCTGAAAGGACATGCACGCTTCCAGCTCTGCTGTTTAGAGAAGGTATCTGAGGCACAGTAGCTGATGTAATCTGAGTTTTCTGCTTGGGTCCTTGTTCCAAGCTCTGACATCATGTCTGGACACAGTCTAACCAGTACATTTGCTGGTTTCTCATTGCAGATGGAAAGTCCAAGATGAGGCAACATAAATCAGCAACAGCTTTTCCCAAGCCCCAAGACGAAGCATAACAGCATAACAGCCGCCCAGGGCAGCCAAAGCAAAATAAGCCCAAGGAAGAGGAAAAAAAGTAAACTCTTGTAGTTTTCTTAGGGAAGATAAGTTGCCCTAACAAAATCAGCCCTAGACATCAGCAGGAATTTGTCATGGTCAAGATGGATGAACAATTAAATGGATTTGCTATCAGAATGAGTTTTTAAGTAGTTACAAGGACATTTATCAGAAGTTTTAGACAAAGTTTATTCAAAACATCCCCTACAACCTTTTAGTATAAAATGTTTAGGCTCTCTTTGTGAAAGATCGTGCACTGGTTTTCCTTTGTGACCCAATAAAATTGAGGTTATCCTATTCTTCTACCTCACTGAGTTTTAAATCTCTTTAAATCTCTTTTTAAACACAGTGTTTCACAGTCTTCATTCACATAATATGCCCAGTGACCAAGCTACTAGTTGAGACACATCAGTTGATGCTATCTTCATGGCCTCTTCTAGCTTTGTATTTTAACCCCAATAAAGACATCGTTTCACTTAATTACAAATGTAGCAACATAAGGGAGCATCAGTCATGAGGAAAAACTGAGACAACTGCAGTGTTTGACATGGTCTGTGCACTGACTCCCCTATCAGGTGCTGTAAAACTACCCACTATGATATTATGTAAAAAGAGAAATTGGGTCTTCTGTACTGCAGCATAGGAAGGACTACAGTGGAAACCCCTCCACAGGAAAGCAGCAAATAAGCAGGAAATTTGTAATGTGGAAATGCATTAAAAATCCTTCCTGTTTGCGACTTGGTAGCGAGCATACAACCCTCCTGCTCTTTGGCTCTTCCTCTTCTCCCCCCCTCTATTACAGGAGACACAGATAACATAAGGAAAATCCTGGAAGTGTCTGCATACCCCCATGCTTTGGAGGAGTGAAGAGGGAGAAAGATCTCTTACCAATTTTTGCAGAATATTGTCCCTTCAGTCATAATTTTTCTTGTTATTCTGCTGGATATCTTTTCTTCTAAGAGCAGAGGAAAAAAAAAAAAAAAAAGAAACTGAAAGCATCTGTTGCAATAACTCCACTAACTCCAAACTGAACCAAAAAAAAAAAAAAAAAAAAAAGCTTTAAAGAAGGAACTGCAATAGTGTCATAGTGTCAGACAAGCATGAGTTTTTCACATGAGGTCCACATACAGATTAGTTCAGTGGTACTTTTGAGGGACCTCTTTCCTTCATTTCTGAATACATTTATTTGCAGTATGGGGTATATACAGCAGGCAGGGTCACTGTCTGGAGCTGACTGATGCTTGGGGATGAAGGTGTTCTCCTGCCCTGCTGCAGGGGGTGGGTGACACCAGCTGGCCTCTACCCCACATTGCCCACACTCCTCTGCCCTCTCCTGCCCACTGCAGGTGTCCACCAGGGGCACAGAATTCCCTGAGGAGGAAGGTGGGAAGCTGCCCACCCACCCCTTGTCTCTTGAGGGTCCAAGTGGCAGTGGGATCCTCTCTTCACCAGAGCTTCACAGAGAGGCCTCTGGGTCCAGACGACTTCCATAACTCCTTCCTGCCCAGTGCAAACAGGGCCACAGGGCAGCATCTTCTCTCTGTGCCTGGAGTGGCAATAACCACAGGCAGCTCTGGGACCCATCACCCCATATCACTCTGTAGCTGTGCTGGCAGCAGCACAGGTGTAGCATCAGCACCTGCTTGCAGGGATTGTGGCAGCCCACCTGTGAACTCACCCCAGTAATATTTTGCTGATAACTATGACATCACAGCTTACAAGGTTGTAGTCTGAACGGTTGCCAGCAGAGAGGGATAGGCAGCACTACAATACAAACCCTAGGGCACTGCAGGTAGGGGGCAGCCCCTGGCTGGCAGGGCTGCCCTGAGGGTGGTGGGCTCTACCTGCAGGTGTCCCTGGGTCCCTGGGTTCCATGCGTTGTCACAGTCTGGCTGATGTCACCATGGCCACTGTTTTCTCAGTATGTTTTGGTCGACGAGCTACAGGGCCTTTGCTGTATGGTTGGTTTGCATCAAGCAAGGAGGGCTGGGGCATGCTGTGCTCTCCCTCCACCTCTGGAGCAGTTTTACTAGCATCCAGCCTTACAAACCCATTTTGAACCCCTGGGGCTTGTCCAGCCAAGTCAGAGCAGTGCTCGTGTCACAAACAATTACTGCCAGCTGGTGGAGAGAAAATATTTGCCCACCAACACCCCAGGCAGAAGCCCAGCATTGGGCTGACAGCCCCACCTCACCAAGCCTTTGCAGCAGGGCTGCTTGGCTCTGCCCTTATAGGCTCCCAGGCCCTAGTGTTTCCCCAGTTATTCCTGGACTGCTTCAGTATTTCAGTACATGAAACCTCCAGCCTGTGCTAACTGGCTTTACATTTTCTCCCTATTCTGCCATGGCTGGGACTGTCTGCTGGCATGAAGAGGCCACAGGAGCAGCAAGTCCTGCCCATCAGTTGGTCTCAGCTGGGGGCTCATGAAGGTGTACAGTCTTACAGGGATCTTATAAAGGAATGTAATTTGGAGAGAAACAGAATTTCCTATCTTCATTTCAATACCAGTACTCATCTCCAGGATCTCATGATGAAGGCCTAGCATTTCATGTACCTGTTATTGCAACTGATACCACAGAAGCATGATATAAGGAGCTCTTCCCTGATGCTATAGATCCTACCAAGTATAGAACTGTAGGTACAAGAGATGCAGAAAATACAAATTGACCTTCTCTATCTGTAAAACAGGGCAATAATATTAACACTTCTATTTTGCAAAGGTATTGGGAAGAATCATTCACTAGTGTTTGTATAATGTACTGTAATGTTGCATAGAACAGATGTCCCAGATGTTAGTCAGAAATTGGCCTGGTTCAGTTCCCATACCAAAAAACACTCTCTGACCCCATTTCTCTCTGGGAAAAAAAAAAAAAAAAGGGTGGGGGTAGGGGGGTAGGGGGGGGGGGAGGGGGGAAGAAAAGAAAAAGGTAATCAATTAAGGCGTGTAAGCCATTATCTAGATCTGGGAATAATGAACATTTGTATGAATTCTGTGATACAAATTATGTAATGAAGCAGAGAGAAGAGTCTTTTGAACAAATATGTTAATGAGATGGCAGCTAAGGGAGAGGTTATAGGATTGCCAATTCCAAATCAAAGATTTTATGTCATTTTCTTTTCTTTTTTTTACCCTTTTTCATAGTCATTAGTCTACACTACTTTTTATGTGGTGCACATTTTAATGTGCTTTAAGGCTTGTTGCAGACTATATGAGAAATACCAATTCTAGGTCAAGAATGCCTGGTCAGCAACACACACTGACTGAGAAAGCCCCACTGACTCAATATTCATAATGAGGGCTTTTATGTAGAGAGTTGTTGGGCACAGGGTTTGTACTGAAAGGACTGTTCGTTCAGAGTCTGAAAAGCTTTTCTTGGAAAAATATCAGATGTTCCACTGGGAACTTAGTTGAAAGATACTCCTAAAGCAACAGAGTGGACTGTCAGTGGCTGTGAAAGTACTGACTGGCGGAAAAGCAGAGAGTAAGGAAGCAGTGATGTTTGCTGAATGCTGGAAATAACTCTTTCAATTTAAATTCTATGTAAACTTACAGTGCATAACATTATTGTACAAGACCTCTTCTAGGCATCATTTTAATGCAAGCTTCACATAGAGGTAAGTTCTGCTCTAGCTGTTTTTTAAAATGAGATTTTCAAAAGCCCCTGTAGAAGACTGATGTTTTTCTGCTGCCCTAGAATGCCTTAAAGTCAGCTTATTTAATTTTTGTTTCTCAGTGCCAAGTATTAGAGGTCTTACAGTCCTCATTTAATATAATTTTGTTAAACTTTTGTACCTCTGTGTGTTGCATGGAGCCTGCAACACTGAAATAACTTAAAATTGAAACTGTGAAGAGTTTTTGTCTTGAGAGGAATTGCAGCTACCTAGATCAAATAGATTGCTTTTTAAACAAGCAAACTGTACTTGTATACTTGGGCAGCATCTGAACTAAAGGCAGAAAATACATTTATCTGTAATTCAATGTATAACCTGCTGCCTGTAAAGCCTCCTTGTCACAAACAGTTCATCTCCAGCAATAATGAGAATAATTGGTATGAATGGCATGTAGTGATAAGAAAAATCAGAAAAGTAGCTTCTATACTAAATTTTTATTTTTCATTTTTCCTACCTGGATGGTTGATCCTGGAATTCCTGCTTCCCAAAAAGATTTGACATATAGTCCCTTTCTACTAACCCAAACAATGCAGGCCAGTGTTTGTTTATGAGCCTCCAGCAGTGTCCCACTTCTGAGTGAAACTTTTTACAGTGACTCGCATTGTATGTAAATGCCATTTCTGGTATTTATAATACAAAAAGGAAGATCACAAGGCTCTGCATGTTGTTGACAGTGTTGCTAAGTTCATCTATGAATCTGCTGTCTCTAAAGCAGCTGACTGTTTCTGCCTCTGTCACTATTCCCACTCAAGCTATAACAGGCCCAGTCTCTCGAGCTGGCTCTAGAGCTCACTGAACACTTCTCTGAACATATTCAGCTCACTAACTCAGCAGAAAACTCTGCTTTTTTTGTTGGGTTCATTTTGTGCCACATCAATCAATTGAGAGAAGACTCCAATGAGTCCCAGTACAACTGGCTAAAAAACTGCAGGTTGTGCCATCAGGTGAGCTTGGCCAGTTGCTGGAAATGATGGGCCATAAATTTGGATTTTCTGAACTCAATTTATCCCTCCCTTTCTCCTTCCAAAGGTACCCCCTTCTGCTAAACATTCAGTATATGAACAGCAGAAGATACTAAATCATATTTACACTGGTCTGTCAGACAAAGTGAATTCTATTACTAAACCACTAGAGTTAACTCCTACCATTTTCTCATTCAAGTGCTTTTCTTTGTTGATTAGGGAGTATTTTTCACTGGAGACTGGACACAGGAATGCAGGTTTTGGCTGATTCCTCACTTTCTGCTAGTCTCTGTGCTGGTGTGAAGTTTCCCCTCTGTTGGTAAGTAACCCAGGGGGATTGCTGCTAAAAGTTTGAATATCTGGAATTTGTACAGATCCAGTTGGCTACTGTTTTTCTTAATGAACACTCATTGCTTTTACAAACAGAACAGTAACACTGGAGTGTCTTGCTTTGAACTTCAATCACTCAAGATCCTCTACTCAACAGAGGACAAACAGCGCACTCTATAGTCGGAGCTCCCCCATTACTCGCTGTAGAATCTGAAATTCTTTATTTCTGAGAGTAACTGCTTGGTATGACTGTACAGAGTCCACAGGATCAAACTGTCATCTTTGCTGCCTTCCATTTCAGGTGGCTTTTGTCATTACAGAAGAATTCTTTGTCTGGTGCCCAGTCCCTCCCTCCTCCACTCCAATCATTTCTTTCTGCCATGTCAGCAGTGTTTGCCATCCTCTCAGTAGTGCTGTCACTTCTGATTTTGTATAGGCTAAACTAACCCTAACCCTAATCACTGGACCGACACAGCTTAAAAATAACTTTTTTGGTTAACCTTTCTGGGATATTTTTAACCCAGCTCATGGACACAAAATCTCTCATAAAATAATAGGCAGTGAAACAACCACGCATGCCTGCACAGACCTTTGTTTTAGGGAGATCCACACTGCAGGATTAACTCTGCATTTCCCCAGGGGAGCTCTGTTCCCTCGCCACTGTGTAAATGAGAATGGCTCTCCCTTGCCATCACCTTGTGCATCCAGCACCCGGAGAAGTCTGGGCCAGCATTTGGTCCTGCAGTAAACATGCAGTAGGAGAATCAGTGGTCGCTGGCAGCTTTTTGCAGGCACTATGAACAGAGAGATTTTCCTGAACATTCTCCCAGTTGGGGCGATAATTTGGAACACGGCTATCGAGCTGCTTTCCTTGTTCGCTGAGAGGAATGGAGAGAGGGGAAAGCCCCACTTTGTGGACGGGACCCATAGGGACCGAGCCGGTGGATTCGACCTCGCTCCGGGTCCCGCCGAGATCTCCCAGCTGTCGGACAGGATCTGCGGACGCCTGCTCCGCGTCCCCAGGGCTGCCTGTGGGAGGGAGGAACCGCAGGGCCACTTGACCGCACTCTGTGGGGCGGGCGCGGGGCAGGGTGGCTGGGCCGGCGCCCGACGGCATCTCCCCGCCCGCTACTTCGCTCGTGGGCCGCGTCCGCGCCGCTCTGCGCAAGCCCGGCCCTTTCCACGCGCGGGCGGACCCGGTGTCCCGTCGGGGCGCGGGCGGGTCGCGTCGCCCCCCGCCATGTCCCTCCCGCCGCGGCCCCGCCGCCCACTACTTAAAGCGGCGGGAAGCGGGTGCCGTGCTGCTCGCGCCCTGTCCGCGTCTCTCCACAGAAGATGGCCTCGACGTGCCCACGGCCCCTGCTGAGGTTCCGGTCCTTCGCCATCCTCTTTCTCGCACCGCTGCTGCTGCTGCCGCTGCCGATCGCTGTGCCCACGCGGGTAAGCGCCTGCGGATTCCGAGCGGGGATCCGCCGCCCCAGCGGAACCCAGCCACTCTCCGCCCCCGGGGCCGAGCCCCCGGCTGCCCCTGACCCAACGCGGCGGGCAGGCGCGGTTCGAGTTCGTGTGGGATCCCCCCAGAGCGGGCGGTCGCTGTGTGAAGCGCTGTCTGTTCGGTCCTGTATCTCTTTCAGTCCCTGTGTAAAGTGCTGCCCGCTGCGTCCCTGGCACTGTATCTCCTATGCCACCTGTCACCCTGTCCCAGAGGAGTTTCTTCTCAGCGCGATTAGCCTCTCAGTCCTGGGGCTCAGGGATGTAGTCTATTGCTTCTGCTCCTAGTGATCTTCAAATGGTGCTGGTGCTGGCAGTGGAGCTCACATAAGGAGCCCAGAACAGGAGCCCCATGCCCATCTGGTCGTCCAAAGGAATATTCCATGCCAGGGCCTGGGCTCCCACAGACCCAACCCATCTTGCAAACTGGGTACAATTCTTTTTGACCCAGAGATAAATATATATATAGTTGGCTTGGATGTGTAGAACTGCACTCCAGGTTATGTAGGAATAGCTGTCAGTGGGCAGTTAGGGGGCTGAAAGGGGAGACTTCTGGGCTCTCTAAGCCTGCTGCTGAGACACTGAGATGCTTTTAAGAGTGCTCCTGAGTGCCATTCTTCATGCAGTGAAGCACTAGGAAGCCATGCACTATGTGTTATGCAGTGATTATAAAATGGGTTTGAATGTAGCGTACTTCACATCCATCTTCCTCTGGTGGGGTGTCATAGCTCCTTTGCTTTCAGCGCAGTTACACCAGCATGAAGCTGGAATGAGCTAACAAGAGTTTTATCTTTAAAACCTTGTAGCATTCTTGGGAAAATGTGAAACCTCTGTTTACAGTATTTTCACCTACTAGGGCGTTAGCTATTCTAGGGCTAAATGCAGTCTTTCTTCTAAGTGTAATGATCCATATATTTTAAACTACAGGAGGAGCATTATGCAGGTGTATTTTAAACCTGTTTACAAACAAATGAACAAAAATGAACAAATGAACAAACCTTTTGGCTTACCTGTCTAATAACAACCTCGCTCTTCACTTGAATGCTGGTGCCTTGAGGAAAGGAATTTCTGGCTGTTTGGCACTATTGTGATCAATACTAGGACAGTTTCCTGGAAAAAAATAAAAGAAAAAAGGGGAAAAAAAAAAAAAGAATATCTCTACAGTTTCCCAGTAATTGTAGGAATATTGTGTCATCAGTCTCATCTGGGAAATTACAATATTACACAATGGGAGAGTAGCTGCTTTTCAGCTCTCAGTGAGAAGACTAGTCATAGTGATTGCTCTGGGTTGTCCGGACACACCAAGGAAACATTTTGTCACTATTCCCATAAATCACAGACGTGTATAGATGCGGATACAGCTACTTATTTAATCTCAGAACTTTGGCTGTTCAAAGTAGCTGTAGATGTTTGAGTTAATTTATAAACATGGCTGTATTTTTGAACTGCATGTAAATTATTTACTCTCCACTATACAAAGCCAGCTTTTTCTGTATTGTTTTATTTAAAGTAATATTCTCCTAGAGTAGTTTGTGTGTCTTTCATCTTATCAAATAAATTAACTACAGTATCTTCTTGCACTTACTTACTGTTGTACAGCTTAAATTCAATCATAAGCTCACCTCACATTTATCAAGGAAAGAAATTAAAATAGGATCTGTCTGATATCTTCTAGTCTCTAATGAAACATTTCTTTCCAAACTTGTCCTGCAATTAATCTCCTCTAAACCTGAGAAAAAAATTACTTACAAGGACTGTTTTCTAATTCTTCAACTCCTCCCAGTTTTTAAATACAACCTTACAGCAGTTTTAAAATATCACTGTAACACCATTAATTTTTGCAATAAAGTGCCATTTGTGCATTAGAATCAGATCCTATAAACAGATACCCTAAATATGAACAAACTGTGAGCAGAATGCTTTGACTAAAGCTTTAAAACATTGTTTACTGTAGCTAATGAATGCTTGCTTCCCCTAACAATTTTGAAAGTACAAACCAAGGAAGCCTAGGTTAGAGAAATGTGTGACCAATGGTATAAAGAGTCATGTTACAACAGGGGATGAGGGAATCCTCTTATTAGATAACTTATTAGATAATTAGATCCCTTATTAGATAAACACAGTATGGTTTGGGAAAGCAAGTTAATATCTCATATGTCCTTAGCTGCTCAAAAAAAAAAAAAAAAAAAAAGTTGAGAATTCTAAACAGTGAGAGTTATAATTGTAGACTGTTCAGTGATACAGTTTCTGGGTTCAAGTGTATTACTAAGACACACTTCAAATACATCTGAATGTCAATCAGTCTTCTCACCTATACCAGGAAATACTCATCTATAAGCATCCATTTAAAAATAGATTACTAAAAATAGAAATGCCCAAATCTTAAACACCATTAGAAATTCTTGGCACCTCGGTGTGAAATTTGCTTACCTCAACTGCCAAGAGGTAATTGCACACTGCAAACTGCACTTACCTAGCTGTGGAAGGTTTGTTTTTTTTCATGCCCTACATTTTATGTAAAGGCATTAGAAAACACACAGTGGTCAAAAAGACTTTTTATGCAACTGACTTCTGATCAAGACTCAAAATGTACAAGTTTAAATCCTTCTGTCCTTGCTACCTATTTCTGTGTAACTAGTTAAGCTACAGACAATTGAATGTTTGGTTCCCCTTAGAAGAGATAGCAGTGTGTTTCTTATCTGTAAGAATAATTTTCTATGCTTATATGTCTTCCATTATATTGCAGGAAGCCAAATGTGCATATATCATCATCATCATGGCTGTGTACTGGTGCACCGAAGTTATCCCACTGGCTGTTACTTCCCTAATGCCAGTTGTATTTTTCCCTCTGCTTGGAGTTCAGAGCTCTAAATCAGTAAGGAACAGTTCTTACTTCATTCACATCTGATAAAAGGATATCTATTGCTCTGATTCCTCACTGGTAGGAAAGCACTCCATTTCTGGTGCTGTTTTTGAACATGTTGAGCAGGGTTCTGGTATGGGAAGATTCTGAACCAAATATGTATTTTCCCAAAATATTAAGGATGTGGGGCTTGGGGTGGTAGAGGGAAATTCCTCTGGGCATGGATCCTGATGGAAAACATCCCAATAGTGCCAGGAGTTTGTATGTTCAGAACCCACCCAATTAGAGAGCACTGCTAACATCTTCTGGGAGATTTCAGAATGCATGAGGCAAACTTCCTCTGGCAGGGTAGACAGTACAATGCCAACAAGTACACTGTGTCCCCTCTGAAGCTCATGCTGCTAAAGGATAATTGGCTGTTTGTGCTAGTGGAAGAGTAGTGCGTTAGCCCGAGCGAGAGACACTGCATTTAGGTACTGTAGCCCAGGTTTATTATTGGCCAGCAATAGTTAGGATGGGTGAGGTTTTTAGAAGTTCTGGGAAATCTATTTTGGAATTTGGCATTTCTGGTACCTACATGATACTTTGAGCCTCTATCAATCTTTTTTTTTTCAGTTTAGGCTGTTCAGCACTAAAAAAGGGAATCAAGAGTTCCGGAATCTGGAGGCAGTTCTAAGGCTGCCACTGCTCTTTCTGACAATGTTGGGGTGAGGCCTGGTGCACTAAATGGCTTTGAGAGGAAGGCAGGAAATACTAGTGAAAATAGCAAGAGGCAAGATTTGGTCCCCTGATCTATCTTCTTTGTCTTACAGGTGTGTTTGCAGTATCTAAATGACACAAATATGCTCTTTGTTGGAGGGCTGATAGTTGCAATTTCTGTTGAACGGTGGAATCTTCACAAAAGGATTGCGCTGAGAGTCCTGCTGATACTTGGGGTGAAGCCTGCACTGTAAGAACGTTACATTAGCTCTTCTTTACCTGTGTCAGTTTAGCAGAGACCTAGGTATGCTGTTCAAGAGTCAGCATAGGAGGGAAGTTCCAAGAAGCTCTTTTGCTGCACTTGTATAGAGTTTCCAGAGGTGAAGTTTTTTGCAGGAACAGTTAATTTGCCCTTTATCCAAAAACATAATAGTGGTAGGGCGTCTGTGACTGCTGACCTGAATGGCATGAAAATACTTTCATTTTTATGTCAGCTCCAATCTCTATAGTTTCTCACATTTCCTATTGGGTCCATGGTTTGATTCTTGGATAAGATTATTGAGTGGAATTCAGTTTTCAAAACACAAGCATTCACTTCTGATTCAAATAGCTAGACTGTCTGCATATCATTAAAAAGGAAAAGGCTTGTCTATAATAGGGCAGATGATTCGTGCACAAGAAGTTCTTATCAACTGCAAAGCAGTAAGTTTCTGAGTGGAATCCAAATACCCATTTGTTCTTGTCTGAAGATAGTGAGATAAATCTTTCTCTTCCTTCTTGTTTTAGGCTGAATTTCTGTACAACCACAAAGCTATGGTTTCATCTTTATTGTTGCTACCCAGCTGATCTATTATTGTATGTGCTGGCATTCACAGTTCCTATGAAATCCTTTTATCATGACCTGAAGTCATCAGTGAGGCAGGATTGCCACCAACATCTGTGTGAATGGAGACATGGTCCTCACCTAAAAGCCATGTGCTCCTTCTGTCATGCTTAAGTGGTGCCAGTTACACAGCCAGAAGTGTTGCAAAGGTGGTGGTGAAGAGCATCCAGTATCCATTAGTTTGCATCTACAGATAAAGCCAAGTTTACAAGATGCAAAAGCGGTTTTCAGTCACAGTGACAATAGGCAGGGAAGAAACACAGTTTTATAGTTCACTTCTACAGAGTTGCCATTTCATTTTATTTTAATCTGGATAAATTCTGGGTTCTTGCTACTGGGAACAAGGTGGTGCGGACTTAATCATGCACAGATCAAGGAGCTAAATGCCTTTCTTGGATTCCTTCAATGAAGATGGCAGAGCTAGCAGGGAATCTGTCTCCACTTTGTATTGTCAGAGACAGCACACATCCTTTTCTGGACTCTGCTCTCTAAATTACAGTGACTACAAAGCCTAGCAATGTCTGTTTTTCCCTCCTTTCTCCTCTGCTTGTTTCTCTCTTTTCAGCCTCATGCTGGGGTTTATGATAGTCACTGCCTTCCTGTCCATGTGGATAAGTAACACAGCAACCACTGCTATGATGGTTCCCATTGTTCAGGCTGTCCTGGATCAAATGGACAATACAGAAAATGATGTGACCATGATGGAACAAGCAACTGGCCAAACAAATACAGTGATTGAGCTGGAGGAAAAGAATGCATCAGATTCCACTCCAGTGCAGGGTAAGGGCCTGCTAAAGAAATGAGTTGATTCCACTGAATTTGTTAGACTCAGAGCTCATATATTGAGTTTCTCCAATTTCACTGCTCTGTTGTGCGAGTACAGAGAGCTATATTATTAAATACTATTAAAAATCAATCTGTAATGCCTTTCTCTTTCAGAGAAGGAAAAAATGTCTTGGTGATTTTCATGGATGTGATTTCATGGAATTAGTAGTTTGATCAGCCGTGATTCCCTGTGAGACTGTGTACAAGAATGAGTTCAAAGATTGGTAGTGGATACCATGTCCCACACTTCAAACCTTCTGCCTGAGACAGAAGGATTATATGTCTGTGGAAGACGCAGTGTATGAGGCAGTTCACATGTGCCAGTCATTGCCCTGTTATGATATTGACTCAATTGCCATATTTGTTTGGACTTTGGAAGCGTAGCTGAGATACAACAGCAATCTCTGCTTTTTGGTTGTGTGATATCTTGCCTCACTAGTGAAGGGAGAATGCACAATTGTGCAAAGCTCAGGCACAATTGCATGTGTTTATGTAACTCATGCAAGCTCAAGAGAATACTAATAGGTCAGAGAGTGCCCTTCAGGTTTTCTCATTGCTAGCTTCCAAACAGTTGTATTAACATAGTTTTTTAAGTTTGCCTATGCTGTTTTTAGTGTTTATTTTTGAGTCTCAAAAACTTCTGCACTTAGACTAGAATTAATAATTTTGCTGGATTTCTGTATACTTAGAAGGAACTACTTGGCTTTGATACTTGATTTATCTTGAACATGCAATGAAAGCAACAAATTTGGGGTGCTTTTGGTTTTTGGGGTTTTGTTTTGTTTGGTTTGGTTTGTTTTTTCATTTGGTTGGTTGGTTGGTTGGTTTTTGGTTTCTTTTCTTTTGTTTGTTTGTTTGTTTTTTTCTGTCATATTTGCAGCTGCTAAAACTTTTTGGATTCTTTCTGTGGTATTGAGAGTATTCTCATGACTACAGTTTCTGGGTGATGGTAAGCCTGTCTGTGAAATAGGAAATTGCTGCTTAGAAACTGTGGCACCAAGATGGGCAACAGCATCCTTGGATCACGTAGAACCAGATTATCAACCTTTCTCCTCAGCACCTCATGAACATAATTCTGAAATATTTGGGGAATTATTCTGTAGGGTTTTAAAATTAAAACAATTGGCACGCACAAACTGGAAGAACTGAGTCTGCAGGCCCTGACCTAAACTTTACACCTTCCTAACTGTACCTGAGGCAAGTTATGTTCTTTGTATTTAGTCATAAGCAATGGACAAGTTCCTGATGGCACCAGATCTTCTGAGGAAAAGAAAATGAAGAAACGTATATGTAAGGGAATGACACTGTGTGTGTGCTATGCTGCCAGCATTGGAGGAACTGCAACACTGACTGGAACAGGGCCAAACATGGTGTTGAAAGGACAGATGAATCAGTAAGTCATTCTTGATATTTCTTTACTTTTACTGCCACACAGTTTTGTGAGCGACACATAAAAGTCATAGTAACCATTTCAGTTGTTAAATTATTCAGTAACCAGATGATGAACTGAAAATGAGAAATGTGTGTAAAGTGACGAGTCCTATTGTTCTGCTCCAGCACTTTTTAGGTGATGGTACGATAGATCTGAGAAGCTTGTTGGTAATTGACAGCTGGCTAAATATGAGATACTGGTTCTTCTGCCTCCTCTTTTTCAAGTAAAATGCAGCACATGAACAGAACAACTGCAGTGGGGATCTTGAAAAGAATGTATGATTAAGTCTTCTCATAAACACACTGAAAAGTGGTAAAAATAACTTAGCTGCTGTTGTATTATTATTTCTTCTCCCTGTGGCTATGTAAACTATATAGATACTGTTTTAAAAGAAAGGAGCTATCCACAAAATAATCTTTTCTAAGATGGGAACTGTTGAGTCACAGCCTGAGCCACTGATGCAGTCCCTGGGGAAAGGATCCAGTCAGCTCTGAGAGCACAGGGGGAGCAAGGCAATTCACCTGTATGACAGGAAGGGGTGAAGCTTGGCTGCACCTCTCTTAGACCTCATTTGAGGGCTGGCTGTCACTAGGGAAGGGTCTCTTTTTGGAGTTCTCTCCTTGGTGAATCTTTGCCTTGTGAACCTAGACTCTTCTGATATGGGTAAGCAATCTTCTTTCCTTCTTTTATAGAACTTTTCTATTGTGCTGGTCCTTCCGTCATCATGCCTTTGTTGTAACACCTTTCCCATTGTACTGATCTATCCGATTGCTGCAGGAATTTATTTAGATGCAACCTTCTCTGCAGTGAAAATTCTGTAGACCCTCAATGATTGTTCAACATTCCATCTTTCTACCGGAGTACTTAAACTGGAGAAACTACATTATCCATTGGTTTTATCACCTAGTTGAAAATTTGCTACTGCTATTTCTTCTCCAATGGTGGATGCAGGGAAGAACAGAAAATTGTTCATAAAACTCTGGCTTCAGTCTTTTGAGCCAAGTAGCGACTTTGTCTTCTACTGAAATGAGCAGAAGTGCAGCTATTAACTTCAAGAGAAATTTCTTGTTTTCCTATTACAGTTATGAATGGGGAGGAAAAAAACATCACATCATGGAATAAATGAGGAGATGTAGAGATCTTTCAGCAGTGCTTGTCTTATTGTGACCTAAAATGTCAGCACGAGCGCCTGTCTGCTTTAAAGTAGAATGTAGAGAAAATTATCACAGTATCATTTAATTTCTATTCTGAAATCTAGAGCTGCCTTTCTATTCAGTTAGGCAGTGAGTATTGCCTATGATTACTAGTAATGGTTGTCCCAAATGTACATGTCTAATTGTCACCACAGCATAGTGAAGTGAATGCAGATTACTGAATGTTTTGACATTAATACAGAAAACATTTTTCTTTTCAGATTATACCCCAACAATAATGATGTTGTGAATTTTGCTTCCTGGTTTGGATTTGCCTTTCCAAACATGATTCTGATGTTGGTATTAGCATGGCTTTGGCTTCAGTGCTCTTTCATGGGATTCAAGTAAGCATTTAACTATTTCGTATCATTTAAACCATTCAGCTAATGCAGATCAGGTCACTTGCAAGATTCTAGATAAAACAAAAGCACTGGCAATTTATTCATTCTGTAACTGGGAGTAGTTGCATTTCACAGCAGCTTTTGAAATTTGGAAACCTTTTATGTTTGGGGAGAGTCACACTAGGTAAAAGTGTAAGACGTTCTTAATATTCAGGCAGAATTGCCTTTTTCAATTTAAAATCTGAGAATTTCAGAGCATGAAGAGCATGTCTATATTTTGCTGCCCTTGATTCAACAGAGTTTTTCATACTAGGTTGCACCAAATTGGACAGACTTACGGACTCCATTTTTCTGTGAAAATTGGCATGTGCATATGAAATACTTTGACACTGCTATCATTTATCTGTTCCTGCCCTCTGCTTTAGTCTGTGCCTGTCTGGAGAAGGGACAGCTTCATTGTGGAAGGCATGGTAAATTCCTCTAGTGTGTTAATGCTTACAGTGTTTTCTTCTCCCTTTTCTTAAAGCTTTAAAAAAAGCTGGGGATGTGGGACAGTGAGAACTGCTAAAGAAAAAGCTGCATACAACGTGCTGAAAGCAGAAATGAAGAAATTAGGCCCTATCTCTTATGCTGAATTCAATGTCCTCGTAATGTTTGCTTTGCTGGTTGTCTTGTGGTTTTCCAGACACCCAGGTTTTGTAAAAGGCTGGGCTAGCAGGCTCTTTCCAGAAGGAGAAAAGTAAGTTTTGAGGTTTTTTCATCCTATACTCCCCTGGATGGGAATCAGATTCCCCTTCTCTTACATTCTGTTTTGACTAGGGGGTCATTCATTCCAACCATATTTGAATTTGTGTTTGTTGGGCTGGATTCTCTCTCATGCATGACATCTACAAACTGTTTGACAGTTTGTATTGCAATGAAGGCTGAAGACTGGGACATGGGGCAGGCTGAGCTTCCTAAAGGAAGATAAAATTCTGCAATGCTTATGTCTGTCATGCAGAAGTACGTCAGTGTTTTCTTTGCATGTATTACAATTAGCTGTGGTGTTTAAGCATTTGGTACTATCATCTCTAAAAAATAGCATGTATAGAAACCACTGGGAAATCAATTCTTTGCTTTGAATAGCTTCTTCACCTGATCTTATGTAATGTGACATATTAAGAACATAAAACTTGTGATAGGAAGATCTTTCAGGTAATTTTCTTGCAAATCACTGGAATACAGTCTTTGAGTCTTGGCTTCTTCCCAGAGAAGTAACCCTGCCTACAGAAGCATTTTCTTAGGTGATTTTCATTTACGACGTTTGTGCTGTGGCAGGTCTAAGATACCTGAGTCATGAACTAGCCATCTGTTTTGCTAATATATAGACCCCAAACAGAAAGACAAGGAACACTGATTGCAATGCTGGAAGGCAGCCATTTTCTGGAAGACAGATGTCTTATTTTCTAAGCTATCTTCTCTTTTCTCCTTTAGATATATCACTGATTCTGCTCCTGCTGTGTTTATTGCCCTGCTACTGTTTATCCTTCCTGCTAATAAACCCAAATTCATAGGCTGGAATTCAAGCACGTCTGACACTGAACAGACTGAAGAAGGTATTTAAAAGAGGCATTGTAATGTTGTGAAAGTTACCCCATACCAGCTAACATGGTAGAAACATACTCCTGATTTGCATGCATTTCTTCAGGGTACATCATTTCACAAACATCCTTGCGCAGGGCTGCGGCAAGCTCCCTGCTTGTATGCGTTATCCTTACTCTTACATGTGCAGGTTTTTCAGTAATATACCTCTGCCTGCTGGACCTTTCCCTTGTATCTTAAATAACTGGAGACAAAATGACTTCACTCTCCTGAAATATATTCTGCTTTTCATTTCTCACTTCAGATATTAAAAAGCCATTTTTATCAGCCCCACTGCTAGACTGGAATGTGGTTCAGAGGAAGATGCCCTGGAGCATTGTGCTGCTGCTGGGAGGAGGTTTTGCCTTGGCTGATGCAAGCGCAGTATGTTCTGATATTTATTTTTCACTAACTCAGAGGTGGACTTGCTTGGTTTGTTTTCCTGTCCTGTATTACTGGGCATGCACCCAAAGGCAAACTCAGTAGAAATGTTTGCATTTGGAGGTAGATACAAATTAGCAAAAATTAAGAGGAAAGGTGAATATTTCTGCCTCTTTTTCAGGAACTTGCATGCACTGATCAAGTTTGTGTAATTTATCTGAGCCCTGGATGTATTAGAACCTTCACTTGCTGCAGAGATAAGAAGAGCAGCCTTTCTTATTTGTATTGTCATCCTGATCCCATCCCTGACTAGAAAAAATAGAAGCATAAGTAACGTTTGTAAGATTTCCAGAACCATTTGAGGTTTGTTTAAAGGACATAAATCTTCAGATTTAAACCAAACTATTTCTGAACATGTCAGGAAGAAAATGATTGTGAGTAGATATTTACAAATAATCACATACAGTGGGATTTCTTGAATCTATTGTGAGTGGCTGTTGCCAGGCAATGTGCTATGCTCCATAAGCCCACTGTTTGATCCCGTGTTCATAAATTCACAGAAAATGCAGCTGATTTCCACAAACAGGAAAGGTTCTTGAAGCAAACTATGCTTTTTGATGCATCTTAGTACAATGAAGTAGAGTCATAGCCTTAGATATCAAGAGTGTCATGGTTTGGGGAAGTTTGTATTCAAATCTAAGTTTTGTGCCTAGACAGTTTTTAAACAATGGGGTAAATTAAAGCTCTGGTGTGTTACATTCATTCACATTCACCATATGTACATTATTAAAGCTCTGGAATATTGCAAGCTATCTGCTCATAGGCTCTGTAAGCTCTTTGAATCAATTGCTGTATTTTCATAACATAGAATACTCACACAGCATTGTTATCTTCAGAAACATTAAAAATGCATTGTAGGAACCTTGTGAGTGATTCATTAAGTATTTGCAGTAGTCTCAGCAATAATTATTTCTGCTTAGTAAAAAAACAAAACAACAACAACAAAAAACCATGAACAAGTATTTTGGCTCTAGGAAAATCAGGGAACTGTGGCTGAGTGTTATGTTCAGTTGGCAAGGAATTCCTTTTAGTGTTTGTGACAGATTATTGAGGGGCAGTTATATAATTTGAGAGCCACTTAGCATTATTTGTTAGGAACACTACACATAATGAGTTTTCTGCTCCTGAGCCAGGGAGTCTAAACTTCGCTGAAAAAGATACTTTTTTTCTTATCAGAACTCTGGACTTTCAGCTTGGCTGGGTCATCAGATGACTCCATTAGGATCTATTCCACCCTGGTCCATTGCAACAGTACTTTCCCTTATTATAGCAGTCTTCACCGAATGCACCAGTAATGTTGCCACAGCCACTCTCTTCCTACCTGTCTTTTCATCCATGGTAAGATTGCTTCCATCTTGTTATGCTATCAACTGACAGATCAGGAGTAAACTGACAGTCTAAATATGAAAAATCATATTTACTTTCTTGAATTTTGCTCTAATGTTACTCTGAAATCCAGTAATGAAATAGTCTATCTGACAGCATATCCTGATAGACATTGACTTTATCTGATGTTGCTAGAAAGAGTCAAATTTATATCTCTAAGATTACTGCTATATTTATAACATTGTAAGCAGATGGGCAGTAGGAATACAGACTTCATCCAGTTTGTCCTATCCATACACCTGAAGTCTGAGATACTGGCTTCTTGGGCAAAGAAGCTAGCTCAGTAAGCCACTTCAAGCCTGCCATAAGGAACACCCCTTGGCTGTGGAGAAAGTGGAGAGTGACTTTTTTAATATAGATCATACTACATCAATTATTTCTGGTCATTTTATATTTGAGCCATCAACTCAGAACTGGAAAATCTAAAACAAACAAAAAAATACCCACCACTTTCTTCTATTAATCCTTTTGGAGGGATCCTTTATCTTCATCATTTACACTAGAATATGGAAAGTGGTGGGCTTGATCATTAGGAATACATTTTGTGTATTAAGGCAGAACAATTTTAAACCTTAAGGGAGGAAAACCTGACAAGTTTTGCTATAAAATCAGTTGCAATTGCTGCCTTTTCTAACCAGAATGGAAATGCAAGCATGAAGAAAAAAAAAAAATAGAATATTTTGTTGTTTAACTTAGAATAAAGTGGCTGTACTTTCCAAGTCATTTCATCAGGATAGAATTGTCCAAATAAAAGTGCTGTGCTCCTAGCTGCTACAGTTCTGAGTCCCACAGTGTAATGTCTAAAAGTGTTACTCCCCATGCTTTGTAATTATAGTTCCATCCTTGTATTAACCCAGCAAATGCTCTAAAAATGCTTCTCAAGGTCAAAGAAAAGATTGCTGGGTAAATTTGACCAGAACTCCAAATTATACCATAGAGCAGCAAGAAAGAATCAAACATTCTTTTAAGTACTGTGGGGAAGAGAGACCAAAGTTATCTTTAAGCGCGTGTAGATTCCATAATAAAATGCTTGAAAATTACTCTGGTGATGTAACACCAGGGAATTAGCTGAACCTATGTGTCTTAGAAGTCTGGGAAATGTTCTCTTTTTCTTTGGAACTCTTCTAGCGTGACAACTGTCTTTGTCTTGCTGCAGGCTACATCTGTCAAGATTCACCCTTTGTATGTTATGCTGCCGGGTACTCTGAGCGCTTCCTTTGCTTTCATGCTGCCTGTTGCAACACCTCCAAATGCAATAGTGTTTTCCTATGGCCACATCCGGGTTTTGGACATGGTAAGATGATGAACTGCCTAGTCTCTAGTCTGAAGTTCTCCACTGTACTTCCCCTGAAATATGACAAGAGTTTAATTTTCTTGGCCTAATATTTACAAAGTACCTGAGCACTCTTATGGGCTGTAACTAATACCTTACGCCCTTCTCTTTACTACAGTAAAGATTGGCGTCTCTGCAGCAATGTTACCTTTCTCATAGACTTTAGCAGACATACTGTCTATTTTCAGTCCAGCTGAAAATTCAAAGCTGACAAGTGTAAGTCTCTTAAACGCCAAGGCGTTAAAATGCAGCTGGTGCTTTCCAGTGTCTTCTGGGGCTTTTGCAAAGATAAATAAAAGAGTTGAAAGTAGAAGGTAACAAGTCCAGTCACCCTGGACTTTGGTCCTCTGGTTGCCTGTGGATCACACAGTACCGGCTTCTGTGCTGAACATCCAAACATTATCAGTTTTCTAACTGAAGACTTGAAGGGCATGGAAGCTACTCTTTAACTAATAAGAGCAACTTCTTGAATGTCTACTAAATCTCCTAGACCTGTTGAACAGCAAAGCATTCAATGGCTTTGGACAGTGCGTTCCCTAGTATTTCTACCTCAGCAAGAACATAGGGCAGTGGGTACTGTGGCTATTTCTGTGCTTTTATTTGACTGTATTTTTCCTTTTTCTTTTTCTTTCTTTCTTTTTTTTTTTTTTTTTATAAATATGCCTTGCTATAAGTTGCTGTGCTGATGTTTGGTTGTTGTTGTTGGTTTGAACTTTCATCCTTGTAGGTTAGGTCTGGAATTGTAATGAACATCATTGGAGTGTTCTGTGTCACACTGGCAATCAACACATGGGGAAGACCTATATTTGAGCTGGACACATTCCCAACATGGGCAAACAGCACAACTAATCAGTGAGCAATGAAGAATTCATGTTATACAAGAAAAGGCTCCTTAATCCTATTCCCTGTTGCCTGAAACATATAGAGCCTTGTCACCATTTCAGATCCAATATTAGCTGCTACCTTCTGGGAGTCACACATCAGATCAAGTATGGACCAACTCATTAGAGTCATGCTGGAGACAAATGTGCTGTTTAATTATGCAACCCTAAGGATGGTATGTTTGGATCATAAGTATGGTCAAGTGATCCATTGCATTTTCAACCAAGGTCAAGATTTAGAATTTATCTAACTTATTAAATAAAAAGAGGGTAAGCTGTTGTATCAAATAGTTTGGACTATTTTATCACTGGTATGTACTTGTAAATCATTGTCATTGGACCCAGTTAAGAGCTGACAATTCATTAACTGCTACATATCAACAAGTTAGCAGCTGTACAGAGAAATTCCCAATGTCACTTATTTAGGTGAGTCTGTTATATTTTAGTCTGGACTCAACCTTGTGGTGAGCTGTTTCCAAGTCAACATGCAAATGTTTTTCATCATCTTGTTTTCATTCCCAGATCTCAATGCATTTAGACACCATTATTGAGGGTCAGGATAACGTGATGCCATGCTAGTCATGATTCTGTTGAAGTCTTGAGCAATTATGTTGGTTGTGTACTCCTTGCACTGTGGTACCGGCAGGGGCAAGAATCTTTCCTCCCTTGGATCCAGGTAGATGTGGTTTCACAGGCTTTATTAGTGCCAGCTTGGAAATGACTGGTGTTGCATAGGACTTCACACCTACTGGGAAAGCTCCTGGATTCATCTCAATAATTAACTGTAGAATTTTGAAGTGGAAACAAGGCAAGAGAGAGGCTCTAACTGAAGGTCTTGCAAACAATAAGGGGCACAGATGATAGGAGTTGTGCTGATTGTGTACTTTAGAATCCAGGTCCTGTGACAAAATTGTAGCACCTATTCATGTAATTTCTGAAGCAAAAGTCTATCAAAAACTTAGTATTGGACTAGGTGTATCTTGCCATTGTGTATGAATGATGTTTATTTAGCCTTGAAGATGAAGTTAGGATGTAAGGCATTGTGTTGCAGTAGACACATCTATGATCATGACCCAAGTTTGGTTTCTGGATTTGCTGTACAACCTTAACCAGGTCAATTTACCTCTTTTTGTCTCTGTTTTCCATTCTGAAAAGATGTTACAGAACTTATCTACCTCATAGGATGTTGTGAAGAAATAAGGGTCAACATTTAAGGCACCTTGAGGGGAAAAAAAAAAGCCACATCTGGCCTCTAGCACCATAATGTATGTAGAATATTTAACAGGTTTGTAGTTAACATGAATGTTCTTTACATAACTGTAAAAATATTCATGTTTTGCCTTTAAAAGTGAGTCAAGTATATATATCCACAAAATCACTAGGTGCTTTTCTGAGCAGAAAACTTCTTCAGTAGTGATTTGAGTTTCATGCTTTTATCTTCTATGGTCTTTCAAGGTGCTGGGCACCATGAACTCTCCACTGACTGTTGTTCCTGGTACCTCAAATAGCACTCTGTCTACCTAGCTGGCTGCATATGGTGCAGCCTAATACCTCTTCCATGGAATGATGGGACATGTGGATAAATACTTGCAAAGTCTGACTAAGGAAAAAAGCAGTTCTAGTGCCAAGAAATGGCTTGATCACAGGTATTGGTCACCACCTGAAGGTTATCACAGTATTCATTTAAGGATGTAAAGCCAGAACCAACTAAGCGCCTCATATGCTTTGGAAATTATCACTTAATACCAACTTGCATCTGTAGATATCTAATTGCATTTGAGAAAGTGACTTTTTTTGCTTTCTGATAATCCTCATAATATGAAGACACTTCATCACTGCAAGATTCTTCATAGTATTTGATCTTCATTGTTGCAAGTGAGATACAGCGGTCCTTGTGTGGGTGGGTAACACTGAGCTTGCCTGTCTCAATTTATACAGATCCAAATTCCTCAAAAAATGGTTTCAGCTTGAAGGTATAGGACAGGTACTTTCCTCTCCCATTTGCAGAAAGGAATGTTCTGAAAGTATCTTGAAGGGAGGAAAGTGCCTTCCTCTCAGCTAGGAAAGTGCTTTCTTCTGTTGTTATGCAAGTAGAAAACATGTTATTTTCTGGAATGGTTACACTGGGTGAGTTATTGACAGAAGTGCCAGATCAGGGAGAAAAGTACTCATGGTGGATTAAAGAAAGGACTCTGACATTGTAATAAATGTGGTGCACTTGATGTGTCACCTTGTTGCCCTGTTGATCTCAAGAACTTCCCTCTGAGACATCCTTATGATATCTTATAAATGAATATTCAATTTAAATGGCAAATTGCAGAATTAGAGTCAGACAAATAAAATATTACCAGGGCTATCTTCTGTGTGGCACAGATTTTCTCCTGTGTGACACAGCATATCACCTGTTTCTGCGTTACCTTCCCCTGTAGCATAATATTGCTCCAGTAAGATCCACAGTAGTACACGCCATAGAAAATCAGTGCAAAGCAGAGATTTCAGCACTGCTTCAACAATCTTCAGACCTATGTATCAATGCTTCCTTTCACCATCTAATTGATAACTTGAGTTTCCACCTTTAAAAATGCTCAGGCAGAACCAAAGCTGGTGGCATATGCTACAAGCTGTCCTGTTTATTCCAGAGTAAAATATGATAGGAATCTAAGAAACACAACAGTTTTTTAAGAAATATACTTGCACAAAGTCTCCAGAATAATGTGCACAAACACATTTTTCTTCAGTACCAAGCATACATGTCATCCTGCTCCTGTGCCCTGAGTAAATAAATGTGTTATTTACAATAGGTAATGCAAAGACAATGCTTTGTTACTGGAACTAGGTTATGTTTATCTTCCAGCACTACAGAATAACTATCAGGAGACTTCCCCATCTTACATGGCATTTATTTTTCTTCAAATCAAAGTGTTTTAGCTTTATGTACAAGTTGTCTTTAGGTAGTGGCATAAAAGAATCCCCTTTTCCTCCCACTTCAAAACATTGACTGCTAAAGCCAAAAGAAAGCATGGGAGGATCTTAATGTGGACTTTGTTAGTACAGGTTAGTCAGCCATACTGAACCAGCAAATAGTTCCTGTTTTATCATGTGTGATGTGACAAAACTACAGCCCTGGACATTTGGAAGTCATTTGGAAAGTAAAAGGTTTGCAAAGCACATTGCTCTAAGATGATTAGGAATTGCTAAACAATGTATTTGGTAGCTTTTTAAAGATAGATCTGACTATAGAAAAAATATTCGGTTGCCCATCTAGGTTTTTTTTTGTCTTTTTTTCTGTGGCACTGTGTCAACAGTTGCCCATTAGTTACAGTGTAAATGGAGAGAGTCTATTCTGGTCATAAGGAAGAGGTCATTCCTCCTGTAAGGGAAAAAAAAAAAAAAAAAAAAAAGTTATCCTTCCTGTGTTTACTTTACTTACCTGCATTAAATTACTCAGTGGTCTTTTTCAGCATGCAGCTTTTCAAGGAGTTTTCATAAACTCATGCAGGTCGGAATGCGGGCCTCATAAAACATTATTTTATAGCCAGACCATACTGTTGACAGAACTGAGTGTACCAGGTACTAGAACAGCCAACATGTGTGAACTATTCTTTGTGAACAATAATGTGGGTTGGGTCTTCACAAATATTTTGGCAAGCAAGTTGAATATCAAATTTTCCATCAGAAATAAAATTCATACTATTTTTCAATTAAGCAATGATTATTTCTGGAGCAAGTATGTATTTTTCTTCAACAGTTTGTTTTGGTCATATGGTTAAAAATAAAATTTTCTCTGAAGGTGGCGGAGGTTTTAGCTCCTCTTTTAACAAAGGCTGGGGAAAAAAACCAACAACTTAAACTTTCCTGAGAGTAGCCCCTTAACCTCAACTGTCTTACAATGTCTCGTTTCAGAGCTTACCCTTGACTCTTTTTATGCATAACTATCTATATATGGGAGTTAGATCAATAAGAAAAAATCATAATATATCACCCTACTATACTGAAAATGTGCCAGTTAAAAACAATCCTTTGGGAATTCATACTGGCAGATTTACCCTTGTCTAAAAGGTATTCAAATAAATAAATATTGACCTTTTTTTTCCCGTAGGTGATTAGGGCCCAGCTATTAGGAGTTGTTTTTGTTTTCTTTTTCATTTTGGACTGATAGGAGCTGATGATAGTCAGCATTCTAGGAGTTAATTTGATACACATGTCCTTCAAGAAACACCTCTCCAGTCTTTACTAATTTATATATATCACTGCAGCTGTTATCTCAACTGTGGAGTTCTTCCACTGCACTGCATTTTAATTGATCCATCAGCAGGTTGGTATCTGCACGGTAGAATATAGTTAGGGAGAAGGTCAGGATTCTCTGCCTCCTGAGAAGCTTTAAGGAATTAAAATTACAAGGGTGGTTTTTTCTCCCTCTAGCTTTATCACCTCTAAGAGTGGGAATCAAAGGTACAGAAAAAAGGCCCTAAATATTTTGGGAGGCATAAATCATAGAGTCCTAGGATGGTTTGGGTTGGAAGCGACCTTTAAGATCATCTAGTATGTCAACTGAACCACTGAGCTTGGTGTCATCGGCAGACTGGCTGAGGCTGCACTCAATCCCACTGTCCATGTCTCATACAAAGATGTTAGCGCTGGTCCCAGCACTGATCCCTGAGGAACACCGCCTGCCACCGGTCTCCACTTTGACACTGAGCCATTGACCGCGATTCTCTGAGTGCAACCATCCAGGCAATTCCTTATCAAGCAAGTGATCTGTCCACCAAATCCAAATGATAAATAAAAGTAGATGAGTTGACAGTGGTGACTCTGAATCCCAGGTGAACAGATATTCATTGTGTACTATTTCCCTTTAGTTTTTATAATTGCTTTTATAATTCAAGAGTCATCCCAGGATGCTAATCTTGCAATAGATTTTTATCTTTTCTCTTGAATTTCCAAAGCAAATTGTAGAGCTAAGGTGGTGAGAGACCCAAAGTCAGTTAAGGAAATGTGAAGTATTCTATCAATCTCAATATGCTCAAGAGAAAGAAAAATAATCGAGGAACAAATCCTGGCACATCTGCTCCTTTTGTTCTTGCAACAGTAAAACAGGAGGTCTGCAAGATCAAACAGTTCTGAAATTATTATTTTAGGAAGAGATACAAACATTCCTTAGAGTTCTCTACAAACATGTACATTAATTTTTTATGACTATTATTTTTTTAATGTAGAAAGTAGCCTAGGAAAGAACAGATTCAAAATACAATAGGCTGCTTTCATTAGGCTTAAAAAAAAAAAACCCAAATAGCTGGCAAAGAGGTTAATAATTGTAACATACGAGCAGGGGGCCAAGAGAGACTGAAGAACTTATCCCAGAGAAAATGTGATTCTATACTGATTATTCAAAATATTTTAATTAAGATTTTAACTCTGCAATATGGCAAGAAATAAAATTGAACACAACACAAGTAACGTGTCAAGGTATGTTTTACACTGCTGTATAATTATTCATGAGCTCCACATTATTTAGGTATACATGGATATAATCCATTCTAGTGTAGGCCTAACGTTCAGAGATTATGGGACTTGTTTACGTGAGTTATATTTAGATTTGCTCCCTAAGGAGTTCAGCATTTTTGTTTCCCTAAATGCTGTACAATCTTAACTATAAGTATCAACAGGTTGGCTAGCAAGCAACTAAAGAAGGGTCTTATGTTCTTGCCAAATATTTAGGTAGGCATCCATGAAATTGTAACTATTTGTATACCATCTTTGCAATGACCAAGAATTAAAGTTATTTTCATCATGGGTGGATGAACTTGTGGGTGAATTTGTATGGGATATTTCAAGTTTTACTTGCCAGCAGGAAGGAATCCCACGAATCATAACATTTTCATTACCAGAGACCTTGTGTTTCTAGCACTCTTTTCTTCAGCTATAAAAGTGCAATACTATTTCAAGTGCAGCTGTATATTCCTGTACAAGATCAGAAGAATCTAGTTCTCTCAATTATCTCAAATCAGGCAGGTGAGATGATAATGGAAAAAAAAAAAAAAAAAAAAAAAAAAAAAAATCCAAACAATTAATTAATTTCTTGTTTTTTTTTATTTAGCCCCAATGATTTCACTAGCATGACTCATTTTTATCTAAATATTAATACTTATGTCTATCAGCATTATAGATCTGATGGCAGAAATAATTTTGTGGAATTAAAGACCCTGTTCTCTTGAATAAGAAGACTGATGGGCTAGCAGTATTGCACACTGGAAATGCTTCTGCTAATAACAATCCATCTCAATACTGCATGTGGTTTAGCACTTGTCCTAAGCATCCTTAAGTTTAAAGTTCTTTGGGATCTGGGTTTCCAGCAGAGGTGACAGCAGTTTGGCCCATTCAGCATTTCAAAGATGAACAAGTTGAATGTGCATGATCTACCAACTTTATTTTTCTAGACAATATGCTATTGCTCTTCCTCTCCCCTCAAAATTTCAGGAAAGCCTTGAGGTTTTGACCACTTCACTTGCAAGAATTCAGTCTCTGAGCTGTTAGAGAAGCTCTGTGCAATAGTCTACTACTTATTTCTGTTGTTCATGTCTGGAAATTGGGAGGAGGGGGATTAAAATGTATTTATCAGTTACAAAACCTACAAAAACAATTTACTTGCTGTTTTGGTATAGCCAAATCCAAACAACCTGAACTAGACATCCAAATTTCAGTTAGACATCCAAAATTTAGTTAGTCAGTACTTCTGCACGTGGGGTGATGTTGTGCTCATCTAGCTCTTGAACTTTTAGGCTGCTAAGGAGGAGAAGGTCACATTTTCAAACTTTGTTGTCAGTTGTGGAGCCAGGATGCTTCTCTTTTTTTTTTTTTTAAATAAGGTTCCATATTTCTTGGCTCACTACAGAATTATTTCCTTAAAGCACCTTAAAATTTGCTTCAAAATGACAAGCAATACCTTGTGAAGATGTTCACTGCAGTGTTGTTCTAAAGTTCAAAGCATATTGCTCCTTACAGAAGGCTGACCTCAAAGTTATCCGCATTCTACATGTCCTAAGAAGACACATTTCTAACCAATTTATTAAAGAAAAACAAAATGCTTTCTGAACATTTGCCTTTTAGTTTGGAATTCTTGGCTTCATATTGGCCTTGTGTATATGGAGGAGTACCATAGTGACATGAGTACACATTGCCAGGTCTGTAAACCACAGACTTCTAAGTCTTTCTACACCTTTTTGCCAAACTTACTTCTTCGCTCAATGGAGTTTAATAGTCTTCAAATGAAGACTGTTCTACGGTGACTGTCATAGGTTCACTTCTGAAAGGTGTTACCTGCCTGTTACTTGACCTAAAAAAACAAACAAACAAAAACCCTTGATGAATAGTTAAGCCTTTAACTAAATATGCTCTAACAATTGTTTCAGTCAATGATAACTATGATCTTGCTTCTATTCAATTACAATTATAACATTGGAGTAAAAAAATTGCAGAGTTTGTACTGGCTGGTTATATTTATAACATAATGCTAACATAATGCATGCTCTGTTCTCTGTTATTTAACTCTATTTGAAGCAGACTACTCTCCAGTCTGCAAAATTCTGTATTACATTCTATGAGTAAGGTCTTTTAAGATGTCATTATCCATGTCAATATAATTTTGCATTCTACAAAAAAAGCAGATGTCTGAGGGTCTAGCATTGGGCATGAAGTACTTACTGTTCAACGAGATCATTGTTTTCAGTTGTAAAGCTTTGCTGAACCTTTTCTTTTTGATGCAAATGCATTGTACTGTGATATCATAAACTTAGCAATGTCTCACTTCCCAGTTTTCATCTTCAAGAGCTCATAGGACATCATACAAGACTCTATTTTCTCCTGTGTATAAATATATAATTCCTAAATATATAATTTATAAGGATATATCACAAACTTGCTTTTATTGTTGCTTACCTGATGCTGTCTATAATTACTACAGCTGCAAAGTGTCCTTTTTTGACTGTAATTTTTAAATTCGAATAGCTTTATTTGCTTTGGGTAGAAAACATTATCTAATCTGTTTGTTAGCCAGTGTCTGTTTTATATCTAGATCTACTATTAGCATATGCTCAAAATGCTTCAGGAAAACAAGGGTTCAGTGCCAGTGCTCAAACAGAGAACAATAGGGATAGCAGTTTAGCTCCTACAAAAGGAGAAACTGAGGCTGTGATGTTTTGATTTCATGATGATAAAAAAGAAAACTCTTGGCTAAGACACACATTTTAATCTCTTCCCTGAAAGTCTGACTACGCTAATATTTAAAAGCATAAATAAATCCACCTTTTCCTAGAGAACGCTCTTAGTTTTTGTAGTATGACTATAACTTTCAATTTTGTTCCTAGTTTTGATGGCCAAGAATTGAGTTCTTTCACTTTACTCTGGCAAACCTACATAGTAATTTAATTCATGTGACCAAACCTTTCTTAGGATTCTCTCCTCTGAAGTCAGTCTTGGGAGATAAATCACATTCCAGAATAGCACTGCAGATGCATGGGATCTGTTTGATCTCTGCTTTTAGACGAAAGTCTATGTTTACTGGGGAGTGACTTGCTAATTTTGCTATAGTAATGGTAGTACTCCACAACCACTAAAACCTTGTAAAAAAAAAAAAAAAAAAGTCCTATTCTATTAAGGAAAGCAATGCAGAAGTCTTTTTTAGGCAGTCTTATAACCTACTTTCTAGTGGGGCTAGGGGGAAATAATTACACTACCTAGAAAGAGATAGCATTACAGAAAAATGCTAAGACACTGAAAATAGTTTAACAACTAAAAAGCACAAATCACAAATTTGAAAAAAGAATTAGTCAGGATTCATGTTGAGTCTGTATAGTGCATACTGGTACACAAGAGCCTATTAATGCAATCATAGCAGCAATGAAACTCAGCTAGCTTGACAGTGCTAAACCCTACCAGTTTTTGTTTTAGCCAAGATACGAAAATCGAGTGTATGACCCCAACCATAAATGCAGCATTAGGAATAAATTTGTGTGTTGGGCTCTTTTCTAGATGCAACAGTGCAGTCCTGTTCCACGTTCCAGGAGTGTTTTTTTAACTGGTTTCACAACTTTTTAATGAATGAACTGTAGAGGTTGACTGAAATCAGCTTACCATAAGTTGCTATGGGGAAAAAAAAAAAAAAAAAAAAGTCCAACATGCAGAAAGAGTAAGAAAAGCAAAGAAACAACAACAACAAACCAACCAACAACCAAAAAACAACCAGCAAAACAGGTCTGTCTGTCAGGAGTGATTCCCTCCCTTCCATTTCCTTCTGCTTTGGAAATGTTCAACAATGGCTCGTCCAGCGCAAGGTTAAAATGAACGTTCTGGGCATACAGTCCTCTTTTACCCTTCACTGCTCAAGCACACACATGCCTAGGAAAAAAACCGAACACTGATCCCAAAGGTACCTTCTAATGGATTTGGAATGTATTGCTGGTCTGGTAACAGCTTCCTTTCAAGATAAGGGGGGAAAAAAAAGTTACTCCAACTTTCTTTTTTTTCAAAAGGTTGTTTTCTACACAACGCACATCATTAAATCAGTGATGTTAGAGGATCAACAGCTCGGACAGGAATATGAGGCCCCCTTGGGAGATCTTCAGTACTGACGGCTTGCTCGTGGCACAGTCATGAAAACATAAGTGCAAAAATCGACGGGAAAAAAAAAAAAAAAAAAAAAAAAAAGAGGTCTTGACGCCACGTCTCCGCCTCCCAGAAGAGCTACAGCAGTGCCAGGTCAGTGCCAGGTAAGAGCCAGGTAAGAGCCAGGTGGTCAGTGCCAGGCCCGTGCCCCGCAGCCGACGTGGCTGCCGCCCCGAGCCCCCCGCCTGCCTCGGCGAGATCCACTCCCGCGGGCCCGGCCTCGCGGCGCAGCTCGTTGCCAGGAGACGCCGCCGCCTTCCCATGTCGCCTCGCTGCACCGCCCGCCGGGCTTCCGTCTGCCGACAGCGGGCGCTCCCGCCGCCATTTTGAGCCCGGGCGGGGAGCGCAGCCCGGCTGGCCGCCATGGACGCAGGTGAGCGGCGCGGCGCGGGTCGGGCAGGGCGAGCGATGCTGGCCAGGGAGAGAGCGCCGGTTTGCCCCGCTGGAGTCCTTCGCGTCGTTCGTGGAGACACCGCGGCTCTTCCCTTCCCGGGCGCTGCGGCTGCCGCGCGGGGACCTCCCGCCAGAGCAGCCTCCGCGGAGCTTCCAGCCCGCTCTGGGCAGCCAGGGCCTCGCCACTCTGACGGAAAAGGATTTCTTCCTAACATCTAACCTGAACTTCCTTTTATTTATTTATTTATTTATTTATTTTGTTTGTTTGTTTTAAATCTGTTCCCCCCTGTCCTGTTGTTTTCAGTCAGGGTAAAAAGTTAAGCCTCCATCTTTTTTTATAAGCTCCCTTTCCGTATTGAAAGACCACAGTAAGATCTCACAGTTAGCCCAGCTCCCTCAGCCTTTCTTCATAGGACAGCAGAATCTTCTGCTGACCCCTGGGTGCGTCACCGCTGTCACTGTACACCATTAGTGTGAGAACACTGCAGGATCTCACTGAAGTGTAACATCTTGTACAAAACAAACAAAAAAAGCAGCCTCACAGTAAGCATTTCTTAAATTATGTGCAAGGAAGCATTCAGTGAGCTGTGTGTAGTACTCTTTACTTACCTTCTCAAATTTTCCTTGTACCAATACCAGGTCCCTTTCTCTTCCCTTTTCCTTTATTTTACATAAAGAGTCAGAGGGCATTTGTCTGTTATTTGCATCGTTTTTTAGTTGTTTAAAAAACCAACAGCACACATATTAACGTGGGCCCAACACAGATTCATGTAATAGAAAAGACTGTGCTAAGCGAGCCCATGTTTACTGTAGGCTCTTACTGCTTTATCTCCTCTCTAAATATTTCTGTTTGTATGGCTCAAATTGAGAAACTGACTTGCAAATCTATCACGTGGGTCCAGTTTTTACTTTTTTTTCTCACCTAATCAGATGATACAGGAAATCGACTTCGGTTCCAGTTGGAGTTGGAGTTTGTTCAGTGCCTAGCAAATCCCAATTATCTCAACTGTGAGTACTTAATGTGAGGATCCTGAGAAGTTAATATTATTTAACAGCTTAATGATTACAGAATGATTACAGATAAACAGTGGGGGGCAGAGGAGGGAGGGCAAGGAGGGTTAAACAAAGAAAAGGGAAGAGATCTTTAACAGGATAAAAGCAGTCTGAAAATGATTTAATTTGTCCAAATTTTAAAGGTGAGGTGGAAGAGGAAGGAAATGACACCTTTAAAATGTGAAATGAATATTTATTGAAATGAAATGCATCTGTCTAGTGCAGAATAAGTTCACATCTGTAGTAAAAAATGAATAAATAATATTAATTTCATTTCAATCTAAGTAGTACTCTTTTATCTGAAACCAGAATTTAACTAATACTAATAATAGTTTCAGGTAGAGTACTTAATTTCTTCAGTTTTCTCTGACAGTTTTGATGTGTCAGAAGTTCCTATTTTTGAACACTTCTCACATCCTTGTTGCCATATAAAAGTTATATGGCAGAGGAGATGAGACTAATTTATTATGCTTAGAATGTTGACTTAAGATATATTTTTTCCCGAATTGTAAAAACTTGCAATGATAAGATTATGACTCACGTGCCTCTTCTGTATAGTTTTGTATACACATATTCGTGAAGTTTGGCAAATTTTTCCTATTTCTGTAGCTGATAATTCCTTGTCTGTTATTTCAGTTCTTGCACAAAGAGGATACTTCAAAGACAAAGCTTTTGTAAACTATCTTAAATATTTATTGTATTGGAAAGAACCTGAATATGCAAAATACTTGAAGTAAGTATTAAAGTCCCTTAGATTTCTGCATTTTAATGATTTTTACCTTCTGTTATGCACTGTCCCTATCTGATTTCTCCCTGCAACCAAAACCTGCACTGCATTTATATGCAGTATAAATTTTCCTGTTTCCTGTAGTCTGGAATAGACAGAACTAGAGAACGTTTCATTCTTGCCTTATGCATGGAATTTGCCTTTTGCAACCTTTATCTGCACTTTGTATCTGCATGAAACAAGATTACTGAGTATCATGGGACAAAACTACTTCAGCCCATTAAGTACATTCTAAGAGTGATTTTTGCACTGTTGATACCTACACAAAGAATCATTTTTTGTTTTTGTCAATGTTAAAACTCCTTCACAGTTTTTGAACAGTTTTTGTTTACTTTAAATGAGCTCTGGAAACATCTATTCTAGTTAATTTGCATTTGTTTTAATGAAATCTAATCTTTAGAAAAGTTATTCTAATCAGGTATGTGTATGTATTTATGTTGTTACTAGATTCCGTGTTTTCTGGCTTTGTAGTTACTGAAGGTATTAAGTTACAGTGCATACGTACAGCCCTGTGTTTCAGGTACTTGAGTAAAGCACTAAATGACTAAAATAACAAATTGGAGAGATACTGGAGACTCCAGTATTAGTGTACCTTGTAAAACTTGTTGCTTTTTTTAAATCCAGGTATCCTCAATGTTTGCACATGTTAGAGCTGCTCCAGTATGAACACTTTCGCAAAGAACTGGTAAATGCTCAGTGTGCTAAGTTTATTGATGAGCAGCAGATTCTTCACTGGCAGCACTATTCACGGAAGAGAATGCGCCTCCAGCAAGCACTAGCAGAGCAGCAGCAACAAAACAACACCTCTGTAAAATGAAAAGCACTTGAAAGAGTGATGATAATGTGTACTTCACATTAATTCAAGTATTTACAAGAAAGGAATGAAGTCTTTGTCTTTTGTAGGTTTTGCTGTGTGTATACATTTAATTTGTGATTTGTCAGGTGCCTCTGTCTTTCACCTATTTTTACAATAGGAGACTGAAACACCTACTTCTGCCATTTCTTTTGTAGCATGGGCAATCTTGTTAAGAGTATTACTTATGGTATTTGTTCCTTTTGAAAACCAAGCCTACTTTTTGAGGGCACTGACATTGCTGTATCAACAAAAAATGTAGTTCAGAAGTTTCTACAGTGCAGGTGTGTTCTGTGGAGAACAGTGATATGAACATCATGACTAAGATGTACTGCTCTTTATGAGCAAAGCTGAAGTGATTATGGTTGTTGCACAAAATTTAATTTGTAATTTTTTGCCTGGAAACAGAGCTGAGATATTACTTGTCCATTCTGTTTACTTGCTTTTCTGGGGGTATGTGAGCAGGGGTGTTTTAAGAGTTTTCTTGACAATGTATTTTAGAGACAAAAAACGAAGTGTGAAGAGAGAAGGATTGCCAGAGTAGAGCAAAGATAGGTAATGATAAACCTCAGTGGAACAGATAGAGCAATGGCCTGTTTCCTTCTTAGGTTCTGTTACAAAGAAGTTGTAAACACTTGCAAAATTGGAGAAACATTTATCATGTGTTCTTGTATAGCTGTTGGATTGTTGTTTTTTTCTGTAAGAATGCAGATCATGGTAGCTGTGAGGGACTTCATTTTCATATTTTAGATTGTGTTCATGCTGTATTCACACTGTATTTCATATTCTTGTAGGAGTAGGTGTGACAGTGCAGTCAGTGACAGGGAGACTGCTAGCCCTCAGCTCATCATACTTTGTGCTGAACAGATAAGCCATTAAACATTGTATTGAAAATTTATCTTGACAGCTTCAGTAGCTGCATAAAATTAGCTTCAGGAAGAAAAGGTATTTTTTTCTGTTTCTTCTACCTGCTCTTCTCCACCTCCCCCTCCTCCACTATTAAAGGTGCAACTTAGTAATTAAGTATTACTGTTAAGTAAAAGTAGGCTACTACCTTGGTTCGTATCTTGAGCTTGGCTTCTTTGTAAAGAGACTTGGCAAACTCAAATTTATTTCAACGAAGAAAAGAAAGCAGATTTTTGTTGCAAGACTTTAGTGGAAGGTTTGAACCTAGAATTTAATGACATTCATCTTGATTAGCTAAAAGTAATTTTCCATGACAGTTTGGGGGGGGGGGGGGGGGNGGGAGAAAGTGAGGATTCCACAAAAGAGCAATGCAGTTAACAAGATAAACATCTTCATAAATGATCGACTACTGGAGGATTTAATCTTCAGTAAACAACATACGCACAAGATCTGCTTTAAAACATTCTTCTTCAACCAACTTCTGAGGCTGAAAGAAAAGATGTTTTTAGGAGTAATTAAAAAATCTGTTCTAGACTAGAGGTATTCGCACCTAATAATATTAGCCATACTACAGCAGCTGTTATTGCTAGATAGCAAGTGGGAGTTGGCGTGTGGAGTGGAGAAAGCAGCATAAGGATAGATGAAAAATGCCTGTATGTTTTCTGTTCTTTGAAGCATTCCTACAAAAGTAACTGTTGATTTAAATAATGGGTCCAAGTTAAAACTTGGTATGGTATGTAAGTGTTTTCATTACACAAGAGAGAGAGCTGTAGTGTGTCTGAATTAGGAGTACACTACGCACAATCCTACTCCACTCCTATAATCCACCATTTGGAGTTCTTAATAGTTGAGAAGCTGCAAGTCAGAAAACTGACAGTATATTGCTAAGTACTTAGCCTACCCCTCAAACAAGATGTGTTAAGTGTATGTATTTTATTTGATAAGTTCATTACAGAGAACGTTCTACAGGAGGGAGGTAGTTCCCTGAGAGAAAACTAATCTGAGCTAGAAAAAGCACATGGATCAGAGTGGAAAGGCCACACTGTCTACTCTCCTGAAACTAGTGGAATTATCAGAAAACATGTAAATCCACAGCATACAATAAATGACTTACTGTTCCGTATTTAAGTAGCGTAGGCACTCCTGTTAGTTTCAGATTCTTCCTGAATTCATTGTTAGGGTCTTTCCAGCTGTTAGCAAAGAGTGTAGTTAAATGGAACTTGTAAAAATACAGTTTGAAATTTGACTGTTAAAATTCTTCCAAAGGGATGATTCTGCCTCCCACCTCCCCAGCCTCCTCATTAGAACAAGCATGCAGATAGTCCACTTAAGGGAACTGTAGACTCTACAGTCACAGAACTAACTCAGTCGTTAGTACCAACAGATTAGTTAACCTCCAGGCCAGGAGGAGCTAAATAATGTCAGTTGTTTGCATTAAAACAGTTACTTACTAGGCTCTGTCTCCAACAAGACAGTAGATGAACACTGATTCATCAGGCATGTTATGAAGTTCCTTCCTCACAACTGGTTCAGCTAGAGAGTAATTTCTCAGTGTTAATACGCCATGCTACAGAATCACGAGCATTCAGTCTGACCAGCAGTCCTGCTATTGTCTGCTTCGTGCCCGAGATAGATGCTGTTTCACGTGGTCATCATCCATAAGCACTACAGAACGTACGCTGCCAACGTTAAAGGGACGGGCCTTCGCACGAAGGCCAACTGCTGCTCTAACAAGTCAGAACATGCGATCTGCTGCCTGGAGGAGACCAAGCAGAACAGCGGCAAGCTGCTGCCCTGCGTGATCCGGCAGGTACGATCCAGAAAGTTCAGTGCGATGCATTCTGAGGACTTGCCTTCGGATTCCACTCCCGGCAAAGGTAAGTTATTTCTGCCTTTCGTTAGGCAAAGCAGAAGTAGATTCATGCACGATTTACATCGAATGCTTTGCCGAGACAGAAAAACCATCCTCTGTGCCAGCCTCTGCTAAACAGCATTACGTCCCACGCGTGGGCGCTCGGCGCTACGGCGGCTCCCAGCCACGGCGGCCCGATTAAGGACGGGGGTAACCGCAGCGGGAGGCTAAGCCCGCGACTCTCCGCGCGCTCCGAGGTTCGGCCTCCGCGCCGCGACCACCCGGCGTCCCCGCCGCGTCCCCCGCGAGGCCCGGCGCCGCTCCGCCCGCCTCAGACCGACGAGGGCGGCCGTGCGCCGGCGCCACGCGGGCCGAGAGGAGGCGGCCGGAGTTCCCAGCGGAGCCCCCGCGCCCCCCGGGCCTCACCAGTCACGCAGTCCGGGCACCAGCTCCGGCCCTCGGCGTCCTTGTCGCCGCAGAAGAGCGCGAAGATGGGCCGGCCGTGGTAGCGCTGCGCCGTCTGCACGAACTCGCCGTACCCACGGACCTGCTTCTCCTCCCAGCCCATGGCGCCCGCGGGAGGCGGCAACCGAGGGCGGGAAGGCGGCCCCGCCCGGGGTACCGCACTGCGGCGCCGCGCTGCTTCCCGACAGCCTCAGCGGCGGCGGCCGCCCGCAGCGGGTTTGAACCGCTCGCCCAGCGGGCCGGGCCGGGCCCGGCTCCTGCAAGGCGGGCGGCCGTGCCTTCCCCGCCGGTCCTGAGGCGCGGTGTGAGGAGCGGCCCGCTGCGGGTCGTCCCCGGCGGGGTTCAGGTCGTCGGGCGCAGCTCGCGGCTTTCCGCTGCCCTTCTGGCCTCGGGCGGGCGCGGGTCGGTGAGCTCTGGGGTGACGGTGGCGGGCGGGGCGGGCCGCGCCGAGCCGAGCTGAGGAGCGGCGGCAAAGTCCCGATTCGGCTGCTGAAGAAGCGGCAGCTTCGGTTTTTAATTCGGTTTTTAATTCTCAAGGTCAGATGCACGAGAGATAATTTTCTGATGGTCTCGACACACAGCTTATATTTCAAATTCTTCTCTTTGAAGAAGCCCTGTGATCGACGTTCCTTTGGCGGTGAGGCACGAACCTGCTGCCCTGAGCGCTGCCTCGCTGTTCTCACAGTCCTGCAGCGCGCTGTTCCCCTGCAGGTGGGTGGCAGCTATTGAAGTCCTGCAGTGTTCCGACGAGCCGCAACGTGAGCCCCACGGCCTGCGGCGCCGCTCCTTAGCGTTTCTGGGGGTGCGTAAAAGAAGGACGTAATCGGTAAATGTTGCGTTAAGCAGCAGGAACGTTCCTTCCATTTTGCGCGCTGCCTGTATAAAGACACTTGATCTATTTCCTGTTCCTGTGTGCTTCCTCAGGTTGGTTCTCTATCTGTTTGTTTTGCACATGAGACCCAGAATCCAGAATTCCTTTTCAGAGATAGAAATAGCGTATGATTATAATAACTGTTAATTATAACTATAGTAACATATGTTAAAATAACTTTTCAGCATCAGGTCAACGTGATGGGACCAAGCAAGCCACCTTTGTCTGATGCTCCATTTACACCCACTACCCAGCTGTACAGGAGTGAAGCAAAGTCTTTACGGACACAGGTATTGTTTGACTATTTCAGCAGTGCTGAAGTGGTTTTCATTTGTGATCACTACAAAAAGATGAATGAGACCCATTTCCTAGGAAAGACCACTCGTGAATGTGAGATCTTCATTCTTGCTTTCACAACACTGTCACTCATAATCTTAACCCTTTTTTTTTTTTCTTCTCCTGTGTGGAACTGAAACTACACCTGTAAATACTGTTTGCCTTAGCCTCCTACTTTACCACTTAGTCACTGAACCTAGAAACTTTATTCTGTTACTGCATTTTAGTTTTCCATTTCTCCTTCATCGTGCATCCATCATCGTTTGTCCATCTGTTACCTTTGTAACTCTGCTTCTGATATGATACAAATAACACCTTTTTATATTGCTAATGTAGTTGTCATTACAACTTATTAATTTCACGGCTAGAATTCTTTAAAGTCTTTGCAATGGCACTGTCTGTTACATGGTCATTTTGGAGCAGATTTTTCACTGTGGGCGCCTACCCAAAGGTGTAAATATGTATGCAGTGTTATTTACAAGAACACCTACATGCGTAATTCAAGGTCATTTTGAATACTGACGTTTGTCTGAGCGGAGGGAATCCTTGCATGTGCTGGAGAAGTACCATTGTGACAGAATGCACTTGTATGGGAACTGCTGAATCATGGCCTGAACCTCTGATTGATCACCTGAGGCGAGCAATGAGTCAGCCCTGGGAGCACAGGTGAAGGCAATTCACCTGTGCTGCTGGAAGGGGTGGAGCCTGACTCCACCTCTCCTAGAGCCATTTAAGAGCTGACTACCAGCGGGGAAGGATTTCTTTCTGGAGATCCCTCCTTTGGAGTTTTACAGTGAGCCCAGGACAAGGGTAAGCACTCTATCTATTCTCTTTAGTATAATAACCTGCTTAGCCCCGCTCTCTTATTTCTTAGTTATAACATCTGTATATTCACTGATTATGCAGCACTGTAATATGGAAGAGGCTTTGTTTTCCTTACGGTTGTGTACTAGAGGTGCCTTGTTCATGTAAATGGTTCTGTGTTACATTAATTTCTGTTTACACTTTAAAACAGCTCCAGTTTAATACGAATGTTCCAGCAGTTCCGGAAAACTTATCTCTCAGATTTTCTAACCCCCATCCAATTATAATAGAAAAACTGAAGTCGTCTAATGATCAGAGAAATCTAGGTGGAAGTGATGACCACAGTGTACAAAGCTCTGGCATGTTTTCAGTGATATCTGAAGAGAGACTGAAATTGGCCATTCATCTAGCCAAAAGGGACATAAAACGAAGGCATATTGAAGAGCAAATGAAACAACAGGTGTTTAGAGATGCTGTCAATAAATCATTGTTGGCCCAGAAGTCACAAGAGCAGAAGAACAAAGTATCTGAAAGTCTAGAAAAGAAAAGTGGGCTTGAGTCTCAAACTCAGCTGAAATATCACCAGAAACTTGTCCAGCCTTCCAAAATGAAGGCTACCACATCTGGTGCAAAAGTATATTTCTACACACCAAATGAGAGAATGCTAATACCAGCTGTTTTAGGCTCTTCACTCACCCATAATACAAGACCAGACCCCAAGACAAATGTTAAAATAAAGGAAAATAAAAATATCCTTGAAATCCAACGGCTGCAAAAAGAATTAAGAAGTTGTGTCCAGAAAATTGAAGACCTAACTAAAAAAGGTGTAAGACTGAATGTAATTATTATATGTAAATGCATGAGAGTTTGTTCATTTGTTCTTTTTTCTACTCATTTATTTGTTTTTGACTTGGATTAAAATCAGATTCATTCTGGATTTTTAAGAATAGGAAAAACCAGTGGAATAGTTAGCCAGGATAGATAATAACAAGGTTTAATATCTTTGAGTATTTGTAGTGAGTTCCAGTTCAGCTTGCAATGGCAGTAAATTAATGGCAGGCTATTTAATAATCTAATATTGGTGTAGACATATTAGCTCAAGCTTCTGACTGCAAAATACAGTACAGTCATTAACCACGTTCTTAGCTGTGAGAGTCAACTGACTTACCTAATTTATAGGTGTGTGGTGTAATGATTAATGTCCTTTCTGACACTGTGTTGGTCTAAATACGAAAACACCACAGAGCTGCTTATGCTTATCACCTCCTCTAGCAGAACAGAGGAGAGAACAGGAAGAGCAAAAGCAAGGAAACTCATGAGTTGGGAAGTAGGTAGCTTAGTAAGTGAAGGGAAAATGGAAAAACAAAGCAGATGATGCAGTGGCAATCACGTGCTGTCTCCCACAAGTTGTCCAATGCCCAGCCAATCTCTGGGTAATGGCTACATTTCTCCCTTTGCCCAAAACTCTTATTTTTTTTTTATTGCTGAGCATGCTGTTATACAGCATGGGATATCCCTTTTTTTGGCTTGGTTCAGCTGTCCTAGCTGTGAGCCCTCACAACTTCTTGCATACTCCCTGCCCACCCACATGGGGGACAGAGTTGGAAAAAGAGAAAGCCTTGAAACTGTACACCTGTTCCACAGCAAAAGACAAAACTTGGATGTGTTTGCAGCACTGTTTTAAGTCATAAGTCCAAAACAGCTCTGTACGTGTTACTATGAAGAAAGTAAACTCATCCCAGCCAGATCCATAACATTGCATTGGTCCCTTTATAATAGCTACCTGGAGGTTTAAATTTATTTCTAACTTGGAGCGTTCTACTTGCAAGTTTGTCATGAGATTAAGGAGTCATGAGTAATTTTGTAAATTGTATCTGAAAAGGTGTATTGTATAAGAGTATTTAGTCAAATATTAAGCAGATACATAATGTAGAGTTAAAGTAACTAGCATGCGTTACTGCTCCAGGATGCTCTGCATGGAAGATTCTTGTTGCTAAATTATATTTGTTCATTTGGCTTAAACAAGATTTTCACATCTTAAATTAAGGCATAAAACTTAATATTTCATGCTTCTCAGAGAGAGATGAAGAAAACTTAGATGCTGATGAACAGCAACAAACTTTCACTCAAAGGCAGAAGCAAGCTGCACGATCAGCTCAGATGCTATATGTACTCCAGCAACAGGTACGACTAGCATTTCAAGTTGGGATGTTTATGGTGATAAATTTGACAGAAGTGAACTGAAACAAGACAGATTAATGGGAACATGTCTGAATTTCCATGACATTCTAGTTTGAGTCTGAGTGGTGTGACCGATTTCACTTATGAGTGGTTTTAGAGATATGAGCATCACTGTTGGGGAAAAAAAAGAACTTTCATTCAGATGTTACAGTGAAAACATTGTTCATTTATAGACATGGAGCTAATTCTGACTGATTTTCCTCACTCCCTCCTCTTGATAAACAGGTGAAAGAAATTCAGGATGATTTAGAAAAACTGAGTCCTCATAAAATCAAACATACTAAAAAGGTAAGATGAAATTATTGCACAGAAACATATTTCATTTGGTCTCATGCTGGCCTTTGTTCCTTCCGTCTTCTCCTAGATCCTAAGATCTGCCTACAGTATGCTGGTGTGGAAAAGACTGTTGGCCTGCTTTTATGTGGTTTCTACTTCATTCCACTTGCTTTTCTGAATAACACTCTGTTCTACTCTTGATTATTATTTTTAATTTCCCATTCATGTCACTCAGTTGTAGACATTCTTTTCTGATTTTAGTCCATGATCTTTCAGAAGGATAATGTTGTGATAATTGCTACTGTTTGGCAGTATTGACTCATTATTCTCTTGTGCTTTTCCATTCATCACTTGTATTTTCTTTTCAAAAAGAAAACATCCACTGGGGGATGGAGAATGTCCTACAGTTATGTTTTTGTACATTGGGATCAGCCCCATGACTTTATACCTATAAAACAGTAGAAACACCAGGAGTTATAACACAGTTATAACATTATGCTGTTTTAGCTGAATCTAACATTGAATTTGATATGTGCAGTGTTGTGTAATACCTTTTAGAAGACTTCTTTAATGAGTGTTTTGTTTTCCCTGAAAAGCGGCCTAATCTCCATCTGAATTATTCCAATTCTTGAATGATTATACATGAAATGTTGGTAAGAATTCTGTGAATGTATCAATAGTATCAGTACTTACAGAAACTATAGGTACTAACATATATATTTTTCATTTTTTCCAGTCCCGAGTAGTATCCAGATTGGCAGCAGCACACAGAGGAGCTATACGAGCCTTGCAGGCATTTGCCAATCAGTTTACTGATCAAACAGGGCAATGGATTCCTACCCACTACAAGGAGCTGGGCAGTCTCATTCGACAGCTGTCACTCTGTTCTGCCAAACTAGAACTAGATTCTTCAACTTCTGATGTTATAATAGATATTTTGATGCAAGTTGAGGTAGGAATAACTGTTATGTTTTTGCAGAATATCTAACTTTTTTTAATTAAAGGCCATGTTTTCTAATAGATGTGCTTCTGATGTTCGTAAATAAGAGAAGTCTAAATTAAGTCACATCCTGTTCACAGAAGCTTACTGCTGCAGTTTGTGTTGATGATGTTCTTGTCGTTATTCACTGTACTGGTAGGATAAGGACTGGTAGTGATAGTGGTAACAGAACATAAGTTCCTGATTCACTTCCCACTTTCAAGGTTGAAAGAATTGCCTTTTGTATGTTGGTTAAATATTAAATGTCTGTTGTTCTGCTGTGCATCCTTTAGTCATCAGGACTATCAGTGAGTCTTTCTGCCTCACATACAATTGTGGGTGCAAAACTGTATAGACAGTAGCTACAACTTAAAGCTCTCTGCCCTTCAAATGAATTTTGTTAGTAATTTCTTATGTTTTATGACGTCTGTTAATATACAAAAGTTCTGATTCACATTTCCTGCTGTAGTTTCTAGTTACAGCTTTTTTTAAGTAATAACTTACATAACCTGAACTATTCTGTAATCAGTATTTAATTATTTCAAATAAAAACAGCTGATCCAATAGCCACAAAATATTTAATTTACCTTAAAATATTGTTCTAAATGTAAGAGCTGTGATTTTATTGTTCTGAACTGCTTATGAGCACTTTAACAGTGGTTGCCTCAGAATAGGAATGGAGGTAGAATTAACACTGTACTTCTCAATGGAAAATGTGTTTGTCTTATCTTAGTCATGCAGGCATTTTTTTGTCTGTAGATCTTGTGTCAATTTATTTCTTAGTGTACTTTAAGTAGATAATTTTCTAGTCAATTGTAAATTTAAAAAAAAATGCGGAACCTCTTCTTACATGATTAAGTTAGTCAAACAAAGATGCTTCTGCATGACCAAGCTGTCAGGATTAGTCACTACAAAACAAACAAACGAAAAAACAACCAACCAAACAAAAAAAACAATAAAGCCACCAATAAAGCCACATTAAAGGGTTCCAGTTACTCAGAATCTCTTGAATTTGTTTTTCTTTATTATGCTGTGTTTACTGAGAAAGTAATTAGAATTATAAATATCTGATGCAGGGTCTGATTTCATTGCTGGAAGAGAAACAAACTCCCAAAAAAGTGAAGGAATGTCTTTCAACATCACGTGGCAAATCTCCAGTGAACACTGTGACATTTCCAGCCAGAAAACAGCTAACAACTCCAAAAGGAGAAAATAAGCCTCTCATCTTAAAGGAACAACATGGACAAGAACCTAGAAAACCTCCAGCTGCCAGAGGTCTCTTAGTTTGTATTTTATTACTAAATTGTTAGTTAACTTACACTCCGCAGTTCAGTTTTTTAGTGTGTTACATATTGCTGGGCGGAAGTGTGCAACACCCCATATGCGGTCATCAGATTCATGCAGCTCTGTTATACTTTTAGTGGTTTTTTTTTCCATAGCAGTTACTGTTAGGCAATTTAACTTGTAGGTTTATATGCCTCTTTATATTATCATCATCGTGTTTTTATTTTTGTCTAGTTCCTTTACAGTGGGCTACACTTGGATTGCTTTTCTACAGTGTATACCTAAATGACACTTTACAAATGATTTTTATTGATGCACGCAGAATATATCAAATATTTATGTTGAAAATACTATATGAACGTATTCTTTTGAAATGCAGTCATTGTTTGTTAGCAAGTCTCCAGCAAAGTTACTGTTTTTGTAGAACCGTTTGGAGTGAAAAGATGTACTAAAGCTTTGGCTGAGAATTTCCTTGGTTTGTGTAGTTTCTCTGTTTTTGAAAGATTTTGAGAAATGTGGCTTTTGTTCTTGACATTTCTTCTGTACGCTAATCACAGTCTCAGTACCTACAGGCACATTAACTAACAGTTAACTGAAGTCTCTGTTTTCCACTGCCAGATTGAGATGCAACCTTTGGGAATTACTTCTCTTTATTCTTCATTTACCTTATATATGAAATAGACTTTATTCTTTCCCAGTGTTTTTTGAAATAATTGATATCTACAGTATTTTGCCACCTCATGAAATGTATTATTGCTTACTACATGACTGTGTATGTGTCTTTTTTTGTGTATGTGAATACATTTATATGTAAATGGAGAATGTGTATGTTTTCTTGTATATTTATTCATTTGTGTACACATGTATAATGCTAAATCTTCTCTTCAATTAATCACTGTAACAACAACAGTTAATTTAATACTTGTCAGGAAATATGAGATTTTTGTTGTTAGTTTTGCTTTTAATTTTGATATTTTTGTATTATAGTAGAGCTTCAAATGTTGTGGTTGGGGTATATCTAGCACAACAGAGAAGTCAGATATAGACATTAAGATGATTCTTGCTCCTTTGAACTTACAGCTGAAGATTTCTTAATTATTTTTGATACAGATAAACATCAATATGTTGCAAAGATTTCGGCAGTTCAGAAGATGAATAATCACATTCATATGTTGCATGATAAATTCCAGGAAGCAAATGATCTACCTGCTCCAGAAAGAAATACCATTTTGCAGGGAAGCCTAGATGCACTAGTGAGATCTAGAGCTGTAAAAAAAGATCCCGTTCTTCAAAGTGGCTCTTTAAAGAAGAAAGACGTGTTATTACCTACAAAATCACAGGTATGCAAGTTTTAAAGGAATTTATGCTTGCTTCATCTTATCCTCTAGGATTTGTTATTAGTGTAAGGCACTTCCAGACTTTGTACTTTCTCGTGTGTGTGTGTGTATATATATATACACATATATATGTATTTTTTATCTGAGTTTAGAAGTATAGGGAAATAAACAATGTTATTTGCCTCCATTATTTCTGATGATTATATTTTATCAGTTTTTTGAAAGTTGTGTTGTTGCTTATCAACAGTGAATAACAGGATGAACAAGGAGAATTGTTTGCTCAAAACTGGTTTCATTTTTGAAATAACATGATTAAATTTCAGTTAATATTTAAAGCTGAAATGTCTTCCTCTTAATGATCATCTTTTGTCATGCAAAATGCCTTTAGCAGTATTGTTGTGCTAATGTTAATGTTAGTCAATGACATTTTTTCCGCTTGAAGAATTTCAGTTCCGCACTTTTGCTTCATGTGTGCTTCCATGTCAGACACCATTTTATCAGACTGCCCCTTTGTCTGTTGCACAGAAATAAAATTTAGCAGAATACTGGGAGGAAGGTTCAACCTCTACTACCATTCCACTAATATCCACTTCTGATGCTGTGGGCCAGCATAATAAAACAAGGCATTAATTCTGGAGTGGACCTCGCAGTTTGATGGCCAAATAAAGCATTACCTTAGAATTGCTTGCAAAAATCGTAATAGCCAAATTTAAGCATGTTTTGTTATGGCACAGTTGTACATGTTTTAAATGAGTTCTAATCCTCCATGTGTCAGCTGTGCAATAAAGAGACATGACTTCCAAACAAATTCTAAAGCAGAACACAAAGTACTTTAAAAACATGCATCTCTGTTGCTTAATTTTTAATGTAATTGTGTTAATTTTAAGGGAATGCCTAAATCTCTAAAACCAAGGCAAGTGCAGCTTCCAGGAAAGCATGCTCGATTTCAAGAAACAACTATAGCTTTTCAGTTAAAAGAGAACAAACGATTTGTTAAGGAGAGCAGCATACCCTGGGTGCCTCCAAACACTACGTTACCTCCTGCTTCACCTAAACGGTATGTTCATAGTCTAGTGGATCCGGTGTTCACCCTACTTTTCTGTGGAAATTGTACTGTATCTGTAAAGGGATAGTAAATAGGATGGGTTGGGCCTGTCTCTCAGACTACAGAGGCAAGTGGCATAGCACAGCTCACAACTGGATATTTGGTGTTTTTTTTTTTTTCACTCATAATAGAGTGGCCTCATTCACAGAGCATGGCAAAACATTGCCTTATGTTTTTCCTGGGTTATAGCTGAATATCATCTGGAAGTCACAGGCCAAAACTGCAGTAGACAAAGCACTGACAGTATACATAGCAGAATGGTCATTCGCTTGCCATGCTGGTGCTCTGGTTAAATTTTTAAATTTATTTAACTACTATAAGTAGTTAACTTATGCTATTTTTGTCTGCCAGTTCCTGCTATAATGGTTTTTGAAACTCATGTGTTAATTTCAGTTGAAATTGATGGCGGTAAAAGTAACAATAGTATGTTCCTTCAAGTGTCATGAAATTACTTATCTAAATGAAGAGTTTCTATTGGTGCCTTCTCTGGAGGAAGTAATTCAGTCATATTAAACACAGAATCATAGATTATCCTGTGCTGAATGCACATCCGCAAGGACCATCACATCCAAATGCCTGGCTCCACACAGGACCACTCAAACTCTGTCTGAGAGTGGTGTCTCAATGTTCCTTGAGGTCTGGCAGCTCAAGGCTGTGTCCACTGCTATAGGGTGCCTGTTTCATGCCCACATAACCGTTTCCTGTTCCCCCTCCTGACCTTCCTACATTGTAGTTCCACGCTGGTCTCTCAGGCCCTGTCAGTGTTTCCAGAGAACAGAGCTCAGCACGGCCCCCCTGTTCCCTCTGAGGAGCTATAGGCCACCATGAGGCCTCCCCTCCTCCAGGCTGAATAAACCAAGAGACCTCAGCCTCTCCTTGTATGCCTTGCCCTCCAGACCCTATTCCATCTTCATAGTCCTCCCTTGGTTACCCTCTAATAGCATTACATCTTTATGCTGTGGGACTCAAAACTACACACAGTGCTCTAGGTTTTGTCTGTGGAAAGCTTACTATTTCATAGAAGTTGTTTTGAACTATTAGAATTATAGCAGTGAAGTAATACGTATTCCTTCCTTTTCCTAAGATTTCATTCTTCCCAGATTAACTTTGTTAATTAGTCCCTCTCCCTTTCTTAAGGTGCAATTTGTTGGTATGTCCTTCATTCATATTTCCATCTAAATATTCTATGTTTTCCAAATGTAGTTAACCTGCTATCTCAGCACTGCAGTGAGAATACAAATGTGATCTCCTGGTTCCAAAAGGAGAAAACGTGTATTTTTTTTCCTTGTCTGTAATATGGTCTAGGTTTGTTTATGTAAAAAATATATTCAGTATTCTGGAGACTCAGGTTCCCCACATTTAGTTTCCGGTGCTGTTTCTGGCAGTTGAACCAGAAGATCCAGCTGCTGGATCTAAAGTAGTGCGCGTTGATGAGGAGCTTATCTATCTAGGCAGTATTTGCAGATAGCCATGAAGTTGTCTTTTCACCAGTAGTGTAGACATGACTGAAGATCGCTGGTTCTGAGATGAATTTCCTGGCTTATATGATATTGGAGCCAATATTAATTTTCTCTATAAATGTTTTCAAAATTTTTATAAACTGATATTAAAAACCTGAGTATTTCATTCTCTATTTCTTATGAGTGTTTTGTAATTCTCTTTATGTAATTGTCTTATATTTGAAGACTAGCATGGCGTGAAGCAGAAGCTTCAAGAAGAAGGAAAGTTCTGACTGATCTTAACAGAAGAGAAATGAAAAAAGTACGAAAGTTAAGGTAATTACTTGCTCAGAAGAGCTAATAAGTGGTACCAGAACTTGACATAATCTTCCTACCATCACTACCAGCAATATGAAAAGCTTCTCAACTTTCCACTTCCCCTAAAAGTGGATTTATGTTTTTTTTATTTTTGTTTTTTTACCACTTGTTGTTATACCAAATTTTAAAATTGTTATTTGTTCTTATTTTGTGTGTGTGTCTAGGTTGCAAGGTGCTTCTCCAACTCAGTGTGCTGACAAAGTTGACAAAGCAGTATGTAAGCACCTAGAACTTCCATTGGATAGGGCACAGGTAGTACAGTCAGGCTCATGGCAGTATTTGAAGGGTACATTTATAAAGGGTCAATATTACGTTTGTTTTCAATGTAGTGCAATGAGGAGTTTTTTGGAGAAACATATCACATTATATAGTCGGTACATTTTGGGACACTTGACAAGTGTATTTCCATTTTTGTACGTAGGCTTTAAATTATTGTAACCAAAATTGGCAAAGCTGCGTTCTTTTTTTAATCATCTTTTCTTAGTAGTTTATTGTCAAGTAGTGAACAATCATAACTTTTTTACACTAATCATGACTGGACTTGATAAGTTTATTTTAATAATTATTATAATACTATGTTTAATGTTTAAGTATATTTTTCTCTACTAGTAATTATGACTAATAATACAGAAGGTTAATTATTCTAAGTGGATTTATGGTTTATTAGCAGATGAATATTTCCTTGGAAACAAACTGTCACTTGAAGGATCCTTCAATTATAAGACGGTTTTCAACTCAAGCAGCTGAGAAGGTATATTCTATCTACATGTCACAGAGAGAAGCTGAGTTTTTACCTTTGCTGTGTGGCAGAATGCGTCTGGAAAAGTAGTGATAATTTTCTGAATTTAACGTTTTCCAACACCGTATAGCTTACCTTATACCTTTATAGCTCTCTACCTCCTACCTGAAAGGAGGCTATAGCAAGATGGAGGTCAGCCTCTTCTCCTGGGTAACTAGCACCGGGACAAAAGGGAATGACTGCGAGTTGTGCCAAAGGAGGCTTAGGTTGGATATCAGGAGAAATTTGTTCTCCAAAAGAGTGGTCAGGTGCTGGAACAGGCTGCCCAGGGGTGTGATGGAGTTACTGTCCCCAGATGTGTTCAGGAAATGTTTAGATTTCGTACTAAGGGACATGATTTATTGGGAAATACTGATGGTAGGTGGATAATTGGACTGGATGATCTTGGAGGTATTTTCTAACCTTGGTGATTCTATGAATAGAGATATCATAGCATGGCATGGGGGGAATAGTAGGGCAAGGGGGAATAGCTTTAAACTGAAAGAGAGGAGTTTAGGTTAGGTGTTAAAAAGAAATGCATTAATGAGAAGGCTGTGAGCCTGTCTCATAGAGAAAGGCCCAGAAAAGCTGTGGCTGCCCTAACCCTGGAGGTGTCCAAAGCCAGGCTGGAAGGAGGGCCCTATGCAGTCTGATTGGAGGGAGTGCATCCAGCCCATGGCAGAGTTGGATTAAGGTAATCGGTAAGGTTCCTACCAACCCAAGCAATTCTATGATCTAGTTGGTAAAACACAACTAAAACTTACAGCTTTGGCCTAGGTTTACTCACTTTGTACTCTTCTGTATTTACTCATTAACTTCGGCAGCTGCTATGGGACTTCTGTATGTTCTGTTAAATGCATATTTTGTAATATGAGGGCCTTCGCTTCTTATTCTTGAATCCTGAACCTGTGTTTAGGAACTTAGAAACTTAGTTATGTAGAGAGCTTCATCCATATTCAATAATTTTTGTTGGTAGGAATATACCAAGCTGTTTTTATTGATTTGGCTTACTATGCGAGTGGAAGAGAAACAAAATTATTTGGGTTTTCACTGAAAAGATGTAATGATATTTGACTTCTTACCAGCAAGTGCTGTAAGAAATATGTGATTTATAAGCTTTTTTTTTTCCCTCAAAGTTTTTCTATTTCTTCTTTTTTCTCTTTTTTTTTTTTTTTTCCCCCCCCATTGACTGTGTATATTTTGCTTTTTTTTGGCAGGTTGCAGCAAATGCAGATATTCTCAGTGAAAAGGTACTGGATGATCTTTTGGAAGATACTGCTCAGGAACTCTGGAATATGGAGCAGCATAAGGGACTTCAGGCTGAGAATCTGTTTCAGACTGATGGTCCTAGTCTGGAAACAATGTTGCAAAGAATGGAAGAAATTGAAGTAAGTTTTTAATCTATTAATTGGTCTGATAGAGCTAGTTTCTCGTTTACTGACAATAATTATAATACCAGTAGGTATCTGTGTTCTTTAAAACAAGATCAGACTAAATTGTGGTATGAAATGGGAGACTTGGAAGGAGTTTCCTCTTCCAGCAAAAAATTGTGTAAGAACAGAAGGATGCTTGACCTCATGGTTTTATTGCTAACTTTAGGATTGGCAGACCTGAGTTGCTTGATTTTTTTTTTATTTTTTTTTCCCCATGCATTACTTTTTTAAACTTTAATAAGCTTTTCCAGAATTTTTGTTTCTAATCTTATTTCAACCTTTCTGTTCAGTTAAATTTATCCTAAATTAGAACTAATGAATTTAGCACCATTTACTTGATCTATTTGTAAGCTGAAAGCATGAAGCTTACAGTATGCAATATCTATTTAAGGTGCTTGGGCATATGTTTGAATTCATTGTTGGTAAGGCAGGAAAGCCCATCAGTTGTTTTACTAACTGTTGTTGATCTGAAATGGGAGTAGTTGCCATGGTACTGGCAACAAGTTGAATCTTCTAGTCTAGGATTTTGAATGAGATGATTATCTGTGATTTCATCTCTCCTTTTACTCCTTTTCAGTACTACATTAACGATGGAAAATAATCCTGGTTTGATAAGGAGTATCATGACCTGCTTTCCTATCAAGTGATAACTGTTACTGCTGAACTGTTAAGCATGTGTTAATTGATTACTTTTATATGTTTAAAAACAGAGATATCAGGAAACTGTATGCAGGAGATTCACCAAGATTGTGTACAGTGATTCAGAATTCAGGGCCCAAGAGGATAAAATTAGTAAGTAGTTTCTTCAGTGCAACTTATTTTCTTGGCATCTCTGTCTTTGAATTCAAAGAATTGAAATCAAAGTGATTATATATGATCATATATCACTTTTGTAATGCAAAAGTGTGAATGCCTTCTACATAAGGTTTACCAAATCCCAAAGAAAGTATGCAGAGGCAAGTTAACATTCACCAGTTTGTTAGAGGTACCCATGTTACCAAAGCTGGCTGGCTGGCAAGATGTCTGTGCCTGGCATATGTATAACAGGGGGAGACAATAAAGCAACATGAATCAGTCTAGTCAAGGTTATTCACAGAAAACGAGGATACTCAGTTGCAGCTACAGAGCAGTTTCTCACAAACAAGTCTCTTGTAGGTGCAGAACCTAGAGGCAGTTCACTTGTGTTCCCAAGGAAATAAAGGTTCATTTTTCTTTCTTTTTTTTTTTTTTTTTTTTACAGGCTAGTTGCCTGTTCAGTCCATGATTTGTGTTTTTTCTGTGCAACTATTCAGACATATTTTTGATTATAGGTGCTCCTTTGAGAGGAATGTTTTTGCAAAAAAGTTTGTTTAGCTTGGAAAAGAGAAGGCTCTATGGAGACATCATTGTGGCCTTCCAATATTTGAAGGGAGTGTGTAAACAGGAGGGGCAATGGCTGTTTACGAGGGTGGACAGTGATAAGACAAGGGGGAATGGTTGTAAACTGAGACAGGGGAGATTTAGGTTAGATATTAGGAGGGAGTTTTTCACCCAGAGGCTGGTGAAGCACTGGAACAGGTTGCCCAAGGAGGTTGTGGATGCCCCATTCCTGGAAGCATTCAAGGCCAGGCTGGATGTGGCTCTGGGCAGCCTGGTCTGGTGGTTGGCAACCCTGCACATAGTAGGGGGGTTGAAACTGATCACTGTGGTCCTTTTCAACCCAGGCCATTCTATGATTCTATGAAATACAGTGCTAAAAGAAGGATCCATTCTGAGAACAGGCTATTATTTTCAGTTTGCTTTTGTTGAGTATACATTTGCATGCAAAGCACTGCTAGTGTTACTTAGTTGAAGGATAGGAGTCTTTAATACATACCACCAGTCATCACATGTTAAGTTTTAACGTTGTCCTTTTAAAGGCATTTGTCATTCCTTAACTTAGATATTTTCTTTTCTTATAAACTGTGGGTAGTGATTGTAGTGCAGTGAAGACCTTGCACTATAGTCTGTAATTGGTGTACATACACTTTAGCTCATCTGTCAGCTGTTTGAATCTACTTCAGAAGAAAGATAGTTTATTTTCTAAGTTTGAAATCTCCTGAAGCTACTTTTTTGTTGTTGTTGTTGGGCTGGGGATTTGTAAGTCTAAATCTTAGAGTGTTCAGTGTATCCTTTTTTTATCCTTCTGTTTGATTAAATACAACAATGAAGCTACATCAATTTAATAAGTTGAGGATCTGGTCACATACTATCTTTAATGGAAATACATTGTTTTACACCAGGTACAAAATCTATCAATAAGACAGATAAAGACTTACCCCAAATCTTGTTTCATTTTTTCTATATATTGGATTTATTGCCAAGCTCTAATATACTACATTAACTTTTGAATGATATTTTTCTGTCTGTTCTAGAGAAGTATTCACTGATAAAAACAAACTACACTTATACTAAAGGAAGAATGTCTAAAATGCTTAGCTTCAATACACTGAGCTCCTGGATATCCTTTCTTGAATTTTCATTTTTAGGGATTTGTCAGCTTCAGTACTTGTCTTTTTTTACCTGAAAAATATGCCTATGAAGCAAGCAAAAGTTTTTATGAGGTCCTAACTGCATTAACTGTAGGGTTTTTTTTCTTCCAAAGAAACAAATTTTAATGTTATCTTTTTTTCTTCTAGATCAACAAATGGCATTAATAGCTCAAACACCTACATCTCCTCATTCAATTCAGATAACCAAATTAACTAGACAGATAGAACCGGAAACTGACATTTCATTTGAAAAACTTTTTGATGACAAGTAAGTAGAATACTTTAATGTAGACAAAGCTGTGGTGCATTTTTGCTGTGCACATTCGTTGTAGTGTTTGTGTTAGAGGGAATTTTGCTTACTGTTTGAAGTCATTTTCTGATTTTTCAAAAAAAAAAAAAAACTTAATAATCCTGATTTGATTTAATCTTTTGTATTTCCAGTGGCATGGACGAAAACAAAGAAGCTCAGGAGAAATTGCTGACTGGAAATGACATTCTGCAGCCCTTGACTCAGAATTCTGTGCAGAAAAAGTCTCATGTTTCTTTCTCAGTTGCAAAGCCTATGCTCCAGAGCATTCTGGATTATAGCAGCAAATACAAGCATCACCTAAAACTTATTTTCCATGAAGCAGTAGGCAGCTTCAATCCATGGCAGATTGCTGAAAGGTATGTGAACTACCTGTATTTTTGAAGTGAATCTATCAGGTGTTTTTTTTCTGTCCTTAATTCTTACCACAAGAGGGCATTATAAATCTTCCTGTATAAAATAAGTGTTAAAAAAAATGGTTAGAAGAAACAGTCCCCTGCTATGCGGAAAAGGTCCTGGATACAGTAGCTTCATTATATTTTAGAATATTTGCAAAACTCTGAAGGTAAGCTTTACAGAGGCCAATAAACAATTGTTTTTACGTTAAAATAATTTTCCTTTCTGTTATGTCCACTGTTGTCTGGAGGCCACTTATCTCATTTTTCCTTAAACCTTATTGCTTTCTGTAAGGCCTCATTCATTGGCAACAAAAATCAGTTAGATGCTTCCTATTTACCTCAGTGGCCTTGGAATGAGCACCACGGTATGTTGATTATTACTCCTAAAGCAGAATTAGTATATAAGAGTTTGAAAAAGGAAGAAACAGAGATCTCTTAACACCTTTAAACCTGAAATATTTATCCTTTGCTATGAACCAGACTAAGGATAGAATTCCTCAGGGCACAAGAGCTCTCCATTTCAGTGTAGCAAGTCAGGAAAGGAAGGGAGGAGACTGACATTGCTGAACTGGGTTCTGCTAGCCAAATCAAAGAGCAAGAAGAAAATGCACAGGCAGTGGAAACAGGGACAGGTGTTGTGAGAAGAGTATAAGAAAGTTGCTGAACTGTGTAGGAATGGCATCAGGAAAGCCAACGCCCAGCTTGAAGTAAACTTAGCAAGGATGCCAAGAAGAACAGGAAAGGTTTCTACTTCTAGTTGAGATACCTAAACCAGAAAAGGAAAGTCCAGGAGGCTGTACTCCTCCTAGTGAGTGACACAGGCAAGCAAGAGGTAACAAAGACAAGGAGAAGACTGAGGCACTTAACTTTTTTTGTCTCGGTCTTCCCTGATGACTGCTTGCCACACAGTCCTGAAATGTTTGGTTTTGTAGGAGGGGACTGGAGAAGCAATGTCCTGTAAGTGCAACTGTAAGTGAAGATCAAGTTCATGACCGCATGAGGAAGCTGAATATCCAGTAGTCTATGGGTCCCCATGTGTTATATCCCAGAGTCCTAAGAGAATTAGCCACTCAATGATATTTGAAAAGTTGTGGCAATCAGGTGAAGTCCTGATTGGAGAAAAAAAAAAAAGGCAACATCACACCCATTTTTTAAAAAGTGTAAAAAGGATGATCCTGGGAACTACTGACCTACTAGTCTGCCTTCTGTGCCAGGAAAGATTGTGGAGCAGATCCTCATGAAAGCTATGTGCAGTGGAAATGCAAAGTCACAGCCTGAAACAGTAACTGAGCATCTGGTGGGAAGACGGGGCCAAACCAGGGAAACTTAGGTGCAAGCAACGCACCTGAGTGACTGGAAGGGGTGGAGGCAGGATCCACCCCTTCCCAGACCTCATTTAAGGACTGGCAGTGGAGATGAGGGTATCTCTTGCTGGAGATCCCTGCTCGTTGCAGGGCAGCTGGATTAGATGACCTTTAAAGGTCCTTTCCAACTCTAAGGATTCTATGGTTCTAATTTAGGTTGTCATACAACACTTACAAGAACACAACTGTTCTGTGATAGTGGAATCTTTTCTTAGACTAGGCAGTAGAAGGAGAGAAAAAGCAGCCTTTTTAGATCAGTGTTGATATCACTGGTATGAATTAGTGAAGCTCGAAATCTGACCTCAGCCTTTTCCTGTTCTTTTTTCCCCTTTCTTCTACGGTAGTCTTGCAGAGGAACTAACAGATGAAGCCCTGCTTGATGTGGCAGCAGAGCTGCAGGATGTTTGTGAGGATTATGCTGAAGCTGTATTCACATCAGAGTTTTTGCAGCCAGCACAGTAAGTGCATTCAAATCTGCCCCAATACCAAATGAATCAACCTCAGTCTAATAGTTTTATCAGACAATCTAATTTTTCCTATTTTTGCTTGCTTGTTCTTTTTGTCTGTGAGATTTTACTCCCTAAAATGAGTTAAATCCAACAAGAATTAATGTCAGATTTTTATAGAACCAAGATCATAATGTTTTTCTTTTCAGACTTTCTAGATTTATCAGGACTATCTTTTTGTTGTTGTTTCATTTCTTTGGCCAGCATTTCAGTAGAATGATGTGAGCTGTTACAGGTGAATTTTATATGTTTTGATAGGTATACACATCCATTTGTTTACCTCTGGTAACTTCATCCTTTTTTGTGTGTAAACTACTGATGAGAATAAAATACTGGGAAGGGAACACTGGGTTTAAGCTATGTCATAGACTTAGCTGTACTGTGCCTCAATTTTCTTTCAATTGGGAGAATCTCACTTAACTACCTCACAAAGGAGTTATGGGTTTTAGTTTATTTCTGTCAAGAAAATGCATTGAATTTTTCTGATAGTTGTGTTGGAAGAGCAATTCATTATTGATAGGAATCTAACACCCAGATGGAAAAGTGAAGAACAAAAACTGTTGGATTTGCTCTTTAGCGCTTTATGTGTTATATAATAAAGACACTGTCTGACCACCATAAGGAATATATGGACTAGTTCTTTTTAGAATGTGGCAATCCAAGGGAAGGATTCCCGTGGCACAATGCTGAGTAGAGGTAAACTCTCACACTGGCTGTAGACAGAGCTTGCACTCTTAGAGTGAATGAAGTACCTCTCCTGTTTGTTTTAGAACGTCACTAATACATCATGCATGAATCCTTTGAAGAGAAGCATGTGATGGAGACTTCCTTTTTTTCCTTTCAAATTAGCTTAAAATATTATTTAAACCCAGGACTTAGTGATCCAGCCCTACTTCTTTAGTCTTAGCAATCCCATTAAAATCAAGAACTACAAAATAAATGAAAACTGCCATTTCTGCAATATAGTTATTAAGTTAATCACTCTACTAGTTTGGGTTATGCCTGGAATGAGCAATGAGTAAGATTTATGGTACTGTTTTTGGGGAGCTCAGCCCTTGAGGATAACCCAGAAAAAACAGTGTGACAGTTTGTATCCTTTAAGTTTCTTTTCTATAGTAGTGCTGCTCTCATCAGAACAAATTTGACCTCTAAGACTCTTTTTATTTCCTCTTATTTGAACATATTTTATTAAAGTAATTGTTTTTATTGCGGACTTTTACTGTTTTGTTTGTCTTGAATTTTACACCAGAAGTAACAATTTAAATATTACTGATGTATGACTTTGTGTGATTTCTTATATTCTAAACATCACCTTTTTCTTTATGTAGTTGTATAATAAGTCTAATTTAAAATCAAAAATGGTAAGACGTAGTGTCTGTATCTGCATGTACACTCATGAAAGTATTGTCAAGGTACTTTGTTTTTTAATAAACAATGTGTCTTTCATAGGACTAAATGTACTTTTAATTTAAGATAACTTTCTGATGGAACAATCAGCACCCAACCTGGCAGCTTTTCAAGACTCAGACTACCCTAATTCTTCAGTGTAATGTGGTTTTCTGACAAAGTAATTGTTTTCTCTGCTGTGAGTGGTATCCTCTGATAAAGTGAATTTTTATTCTGGATGAGACTTTGTGGTGCTTGCGTGCTTTCTTTAAGAGAAAATCTGTGGAGAGTGAAGGCTTTAGGTAGACTCTTCTTCACTCTCTTCAGTTCCTCCTACAGAACTGAACTGATGGATTTTGTACTGTCTATTTACCAATGCAAACTAGACAATTCAGGATGGAAATTTTGTAATGTTAAATTTTGTAATGTTAAAGTTTTGAGTTGAAGTGACTGTGTATCGTTGTTCTAAAGGGACAAATCAGAATCAAGCTTGATGAATATTACATATATGCTTAATTTTTGTTAAGATATGTTTGTGTAGACTATATGGGGCTGAAGCACATAGTGCAACCATAATATTGCTGCAAGTGTTAACTGTGCATCTAATGATCAGTGTTAACTGACCATGCACTTACAGTACTGTCATGCATCTGAATCCATAGTTTCTTTAAAGCTGAGTACTGGGAGACTACAATAAGTACTTTCAGATTCAGAATGTTGGATTGATAGGGACGAACAGATTTTATTGGAAACTGTGCTGTTTCTTATTGCTGAAGGTCTTTAGGAAAGGTTAGATATCCAAAATATACTATCCTACCTGGTACTGAGAAGGATCCCCTTCTACGGATCTATGAGATCTTCATAGGCCTGTTTTTTTCATTTTTTACATGTAATTTTCTTCAGTGTCAGGGCTGTGAAAGGGATAAAACAAAAACAGGATGAAAGAATTTAGTGGTAGTATAGATGTATGGATGACTCCCTTAAATGCCAGTTGCTGCAGTCACATGTATCTGAAGTAAAACTGAGTTTTATGGAGTGGTTCAGAGTGACATAGACAACAGAAGTGCATCAGAGCAGTTTGGTGCAAGGGCTGTGCCAAACCTCACAGCATCACAGTGTTGGTGTGGTCGCTTCCCAGCTGGTGCTGTGGACACACTTGGCTCCTGGCTTGTCCTCCCTCCTGCTGCTCCCTGATAGGTAACTAGGTATTATAAGGAGCAATGAAGAAAGTGGATGACTCTGGAAACCCTGTATAAGGATCACAAAGACAGAATTGCTCATCTGAATTCTGTGAGCAGTTCTTGCAGCTCCCGAAAGCACACAAACTGCTCTCTAAATATTTAATTGTAAAAGTTAGATCAGCATGCTTCTGGGAGTGAGATGGTTATGGCAAGTGTTTGCTCTACCAGCGCTTTGGAAAACTAATTTTTTTTCTATTAATGCTGGACCTAATTCTACTACCATTATTGTCACTGTAAGAACGTTACTTGAACTCCTTCCCTCTGTTTGGTTTGCCTTTTCTCTGAGTTACTCCTAGAGGCTAACTTACTGCTGTTTCTCTTTTGACTGCTTTTCTCCTTTTTTCTTATTTTTTGGGATACTTTTTGAGATGATTCACCAGTAACTGGAGAAGGGGTTCTGTTCATAATGTGCACATTAACCAGACAGTTTGCTTCAGTATATTTCCTTTATTCTTGAAGAATAAAGTAAATTTCAAGTACACGTTTCATCAGAAGGCCCCACGTTATCTCTTGCAGCATGCTTGGAGTGCTAGGTTGAACTTAGGTTTTAGAATGCTAGTCTGGTCTTAGAGAATGAAGCAGGTTGAGGGACAGTGGTCCTAGCTGATCATTTGTCATCTGTTTCCTTGTGTTTCAGCTGTGTGTCAGTGTCTGCCTGTTCTCTCTCATATAATATTTTGCTACGTGTAGGTAAAAGGAGCTCCTTGACTGACACTCCTACCACAGTGAGAAAAGCTGCTGACCACTGGGGCTCCTGGGCACTACTGTGATTTTAATGTGGAATAGAGATTGGACTGGCAGAACCTTCCTTCTGAAATACCTCACTGAGAAGAACTCACATAAATGTGAAGTGTTATTTCATTTCAAGTTGTAAGTACTGTTCTGTGTAGAAGGAAATGTTATGTAAGCTGGTATTCAAAGTTCAGTGATTACTTCCACCTGTTTAGTGGAGTTTGTCTCTCTCATGGTCACATTCCTTATTGTTTTATCCCTAGGAAGATGTCTCTTTTCATTGAATAAAATTGGTCACTGCTGCTGAGAGATTTTTTATTTTTAATATTTTTCTTTTTAAAAGCTCTTTTAAGCAGCTCCCTGATTTGTCACGGTATTTTTGAACTTGCATAACCTTTTAAGCAATTATTACAAGCCTGGCTGTAAAAATTGCTGAATTCAGAGATAATTCGTGAGCTGTATGAGTTTCCCTTAAAATAAATTCCAACTATACTGCAAATGTGCAAATCTAGCTGTAGATTCCAGCTTAACAAACAAAAAAATTGCATAAAATTCCCACGGCATTAAGGTTGTTGTCAGTTCTTACCTTTGCTTCATTGTTCATTTGAGGAAAGCATACATACACACAAAGGGGACACTGTGATGGACTGGAGTACGTGTCTTTGGTGGACTGCTGCACCCAAGAGGGCGCTGCTGTTGCGGCTGATGGTTCAAGCGGCCAATATGACACAGTTTTCTAGTGCGGGAAAGGAGCTGGGTGGGTTAAATGGATCTATTCCAACTCGAGATATCCTGCAACTGATTTTGTGACTGGTCACAGCTCAGGGATGCTGGTGTTACTGGTCTCAGTCTGTAAGAGGTGACCAGGTAAAAATTCCGTGGTGACCACTGCAGCTTCGGGCTATATTGGGCAGTGTTCTTGATGTTTTCTACTTGGCTTAAAGGAGGCATTGCACAAACATGTCATTCATTTTTTTTCTGCGTCTGGGAAAACTGTGTGTCTCAGTGATAAGTGCCTACCTGCATGGCAGGATGTGTACCAGGAGGAGGAGGGAGACTAGTCCCTGTTCTGAGCCTGGGTTTCTGGAGCAGGCCGGCTCTTTGGAGGATACTGCAGGTGGGTATTAAATGGTCCACCAGACTGTAAGATTAGTATCAGAACTGGGGGAGGAAATAACAAGAATAATATAAGAAACATGTTGAGTCTGACTAGCTCCTACTCATCTGCTGTGGACTGTTTAATATAGGGAGAAATGGTGGTGGTTTTTTTTCAGGACATAGATAATAGTTTGTTGTTTGTTTTTTTTTTAAATGGTACTTTGTATGTGGTGGGAGCTGTAACTGATGCCTACTTAGAGCTGAAGTCTTACTTGGTTATAGATTGCCATATACCCAGAGTTGCAGAGAACTCAGAGGGGCTAACTACCCAAGTAACGCCTTTGCTTCCTGCGGATCTTTTGCAGCTTCACTTGAACTGTTTATTACCACAGCCGTAAAAGTATTCACAACTGACTGCTGACAACCTAAGGCTAGACTAACTGTGCCATCTCAGCTGTGAGTGTCACTTAATTAGCAAGAGCAGATCTAACTTCAGTCTCAGTGATGCAGATGGCATGGCAGGATGGTGTGAAGGTCTCTATTCTGCAGAGGGGATAGCTACAGCCTTGGCTACCCTTGTTTTCACTGAACATTACTAGGCCCAGGCATTTGTCTAGTCTTATGTGCCTGATGTGAATTTCTCACAGCTATGCATTCTGGTATCAGTCAGTGCAGCCTTGGCGGTAAGGGCTGTATGACACAAGATTTGTGGTACCTGGGATTAACTAGAGCTAGCAGCAACCTGGCAGGCAACACAACACCTAAGTCTGCTCCCCAACGCATGTATCTTTCTGCTAGAGAATTTCCTGTGCCTCAGTACTACAAAATCTTTGCTGGAACAAGTTTCCATCAGTTGCAATCTTCTGTTGTGTTTCTATGGGTTATGATTTTGTTCCCTTTGTTTTTTGGCAGAGTGCTTCCACTCTCCTCTGGTTTGTTGGGATCTGATATAACTTGTCTTTTTTTTTTTTTTAAATTTTGGCTGTAGGTGAAATATAAACAATGCAGAGAGAACTCTAAAATGATTTAATGTTATAGTGCCAAGAATTGCCATTTCTTGGATCTTGGACAACTTCTCTGTTAGCTTCACTGGCATGAGCAGTCACAGTTGTTGCTGCCAGAGAATTTCTCAGTCATTCAAAGTAAAACAGCATAGTACAACCCATTTCTAGTGAGTTACTGATGTTCAGATCTACCACCTGCTGTTTTCTCAGATTCAATGTAGTGTCTTCTCCTTAGAGCTGCCTCTTGATTTCTCTGGTGACTTCAAGGTTATAGCAGCTGAAATCCATCCTGACCATTGCCCTCTTCTCATCAGCTGCTTTGCTTGAGTCTGCATACTCTGAATCCCCATACCTGCTGATGGAACTGCACTCAGCATCCCTGCTTCTTGAAATAAGAAAAGATTACTCTAACTTTGGTCAGACTGTGTGGGCTCTAGTGGACAGAGCTCCCATTTCTCTTCCTTAGCATTCTCCTGATTTGGCCCTGAAGGCTGTTTAAACCAGATAGAACTGGTGCCTGTGTCACTAGGCACAACTGAATAGAATCCAGACTTGAATGTAATCCAGGAGATATTAGCAACCAACTGATTTTCGGCTTTTTCTGCATAGGCCCTTAACCATACATCCAAAGCTGCTTTCCCTGTCCAGTTTGGGTAAGGTTGGCTTATGTGGACAGCTGCTTCTCCCAGGGGGACAGTGGTGTCAGAAGATAACATTTTTCTCTGAGTTCTCATCCTCTAATGGCTCTTACATATGCCATTGCCTATTGCATTGATCTTGTTCTGCAGGAGTTAATATGTAAACTATGTTTTATACAAGGTTTGATTTTAATCAACATCTTACAATGCTATATAACCCAATGATGATAGGAAGCATCCCCTGATAGAGGCTTTGTCTTCACAGAAGTTTCTCTGCTGTATTGCAAGAAAAAGCACTTGAGTTACCAGTAAATCTGAATGTGTTTAGAATTAAGAGAAAATGTATTTGGATTTAGATTATTTTCTTAAAAAGCAGTTGGAAGTAAAAATATCTTTGAAGACATTCCAGCTCAGGCTGTTGCCTAGTTTATATTTTTCTTACATTATTATTTGGCTTTAACTCTTGGAGAGGTTCTATATCTCTGCTGTAATGCATGGAAAAGAGGCTGCGTGCCTTTATCTACTGAAAGGAAATAGTTGCACCATCTGAAGCTTTTGCAGCACTTCAAAAGAAAGAAAAATGTTCTAGAGGTTTACATTTTCAAGGGCTGGCAGTTGTCTGCTTTCAAAGTTCAGGACAGCACAGAGTAATTCTTCCCCTTTCCCTTGGAGGAATTGTAGTTCTTATTGCCTTCAAAGGCTGCAGGTAACTGCCTGCTCAGGCAGCCATAGGAAAACCTTTTGTTTTTTTCCAGACTGGACAGCAAAATAGCTGTTCAGAGTGAATGTGTCAGAACTGTTGCTTGTGAACAACAACGAAGGTTATGCTTTCTCATATCTAGAGATGTGCTTTGCTACTGTGCAAAGTAGTAGCTTTCAGAAAGCTTTCAGCTTTCTTTGGGAAGAATTATGGGTGGGGAGACAGCACATCTGCAGTGATTCCAAGATGATAGTCATGATGATAGAGAAGAATGCTCTGTAAAAGTATATTCTTTGAGTACACTGAACTGGTATGATTTGTATTAAAAAAAAAGTTGAACAATGCCATCAGATTACATTCTTCTTTTAATAGTTGGGTCAAAATTTGACTTTAAAATGTGTTTTCATAGAGGCATTAATTTGATAAAAGGCAAGGACTGCATGTTATTGAAGGTGTGCTTTATCTAAGAAGCTGACAAGGAAAAGCGGCGTTATCTGTGTAACTGGTACAGCAGCAGTACCTCCTACCCCAAGTACCAGCCTTTGCCTACTATCATATTATGCAAACGTAGTAGCTTGGGATATATCTTGTAGTCTGCCATCACTGCAAGGTTTAAATTTGTTCTTTGTTACGTAAGTTGAATGGACTTATTATTTTTTAATTAAGAACCTCTGAGCATGGTGAGCAGAGCTTTGGGAATACAAACCTGGACTTGAATGCTGCCTCTAGCCATGCTGCTTTGATTTCTGTGTCTTCAAAAGGGAGTACAGGACAAAGGATGGGGAAATTTAACATTTACCCTATCTGAGTATTTATGTTCTCTATACAGTTCAAATTCTCAGGGCATTTTAGAAGAAAAATTATTCCTCCAGTAATATTAGCCAAACGTTTTTAGAGCACAGAATACAGTAGTTTTTGAAAGCAATTTGTATAATTTGAATCTCATGCAGATGTTAATGCCAAAATTTTTGCATCTTGTGTCTTCTAAGGAAAAGTCTAATTTCACGTAGTTCAGTATTTGCACTTACTGAGAAGATAACACAATGCAAAAATCTTACTGATAAAATGATTTTGGATAAATTGTGAAGACATTCTGTTTAAAAGACTGCATTGTTTTGTGTCTGCATAAAGTGCTTCACATCTCTAAATAGAAGGCAGGTTCTATTCCTTTCTCTCCCAGTAAGATTTGAGGAGTATGAAAAAGAAATCACCTTCACTTTAATGTCGGACTGGTTATTAAATTGAGTGCAGTTAATGAAGGACGGAAATGTTAACATAGATAATAGCCTCATGGGAGTCTCCCTGGTTGTGTCTTACCTGCAAACTAAATTCTTCAAAGCCCTAGAAAAACTTCTCATGGAAAATTCTGTTCAGGTGATTGTAAGAATCTGTTTTGGTGTGGCTTCTATGTGAAAGCTAACATGGAAACTGTTAGGTTGACACCTCTGGAAAGTTACTGTGGTCCATGTCTGTCCAGACTGAATGCAAATATGGAAAGGATGAAGACATTAAAAAAGCTACAGTGCAGGTGGGATCAGTGTCTGGTTTGTAACAAATATATCCCTGGACACGCGTCACTGATAGATTCTTGCTAGCATGAGCCTCTTGTATGGGTAGCTTTCTTGAAACAATGCTGAAGTGATGCATAACTCTTGTGCTGGCTTTCTGCACAGGTGACAACATCACCATTGGAAATGAGAGATGAAATTCTGCCCCTGTGTATGCTCACTTTGAGTTCAGAGAAGTTGCACAGGCAGAAAGCAAAGTTTAGTGCATGCTTGCTCTCAATAACAGAGAAGACAAATGCTCTTTGTCCCTTTCATGCTGTTGTCATGATAGGTTTTATGATAAACATACATTTGTCGTACATTTGATAGCTGTAGATAATAATGCATTTTCAAATGCTTGTTAAAAGTAAGCTGCAGTCTGTTTTTTGTTCTGCTTTCTACTCCAACTGGTACTGGGTTAGCATGAAATTAAACTAGATATTTTAATCCTGTTTATTACTGGCCTGCTCCTTGATAGGTCACATCTATTCAAGACAAACGGTTTGGAAAGTACTACAACTGTAGGGAGCAGCACAGAGTAAGTAGTGCAGTACTCCCTTCAAATTTATCCCCATCTTTCAGATGTTTTTCTGCTGAGCTAGTATTTCCATCATACCCATGAATATATTATCCATGGTCTTTCTTTGGGATTGCTTAATTGGGCAGTTTAGTGACATTACAGCATTTTTGAGAAACCAATTGTGCAGTCACATCTTTCAGCTGGGGCTTGAAGTGAAACAGCAGAGGCAATGAGGCTCCAGCCCAAACTTTCCACCGTGGAGCTGTCACCCATAGATGTAGTAGCATAAATTACAGTTAGCTTACTGGCGCTTGACTTTGGGGTGAAAATTACTTGGAGTTGTGACTGTTCCACTTATGCTTCAAACAAAGCCACTTAACATTCCCTGGGGTTTTAAACATTGTACTCAGTAGTATTTGCTTTGATTGCTTGAATGAACTTTTTAGTAACGTGAGTGCAAATTAAATATTTATGTTTGTACCAACCAACCTACAGCTGGAAAGCCTCTAAGTTGCATTAGGTCCCCGTTGCCTTGTTTGCTTGGCTCTTAAACTGTATGCTTTCTTGGGCAAAACTTTTGTTTATTGAGCTTTATTTGTGGTGTACTGACTGCCACGCTGTAACTAAATACAGCCCCTCAGCGTTTTTCTGCCCGTCTCCTCCCATTATTCCTGTGAGTCAGGCATCCACTTCTTGCGCTGGGTTTCTCCCAGTTCTTAGGAGATGGGGAGGAGCTGGCTGCTCTCTGTTTTCCCCTTGGAAGCGTTAGTGAAAGCGAGGGACGCGAAGGGAGAGAAAACAAGTTATGCCTTGAAAGTTCCCTGCTTCAGCTTGTGCAGCAGAGCGCTGACTTCCAAGGCAGTGTCTTGCAGCAGTTCAGCCGCGGCATCCGCGCAGGGCTGGGTAAGGAAGGGCCAAAGACGTTCTGCTTCCAGGCCTCTGCCAGGAGCCGCGCGGGCAGCGCCGCAGCAGTGACGAGCCGCGTGCACGGCGAGCACCTGGCGCTGCGCACCGGGGCCGTTCGGCGCAGGGCGGTGCGGGAGGCTCCCGCCGCTTTTCCCTTCTCTGAGGTGCGCCAAGAAGGCGGCGGGAGTCGCGCCTCGGGCGCGGGGAGGGACGGGCGGACGGGCCTCGCGCCTCGAGGGCTTCCGCTGCGAGCATCAGAGCCGCCAGAAGCGCGCGGCCTCCCCCCGCGTCCTGCGGCAGCCGGGCTCCGGGGGCGGGCCTGCGGGCGAGCTGGCGGGGTCGATCCTCGCGCGCAGCTTTCTCCAGGCCGATTCCGAGCAGCCGCGGCCCGCGCCGCCTGGGCTCGGCCCCATGGCGCGTGGGAGCCGCTCGCTGCGCCTTTAACGGCGGGGGCTGCGCGGCGGGATGGGGCGGTGCGGAGCCTCCGCCGCGAGCAGATGGGGCGGCGGGGCGCGGGCTGCCGGCGCGCCGGGAGGACCCCGCGGGCGAGCAGCTGACGCGGCCGGCCGCGGCTCGGCCCGGAGCGGGTAGCCCCGAGATGGCGAAAGCTCTGCGCCTGGGTGAGTGAGCGTGTGCTGGATCGCGGGGATGGCGCGGCGGGGCTGGGCAGCCCTGAGGGGGAGCCGGAGGCGAGGCGCGCCCGCGGGATCCCTTGCGGGGTCGTGGTGCGTTCGTTCGAGCGGGGCCCGTGCTGCCTTCGCTGCCTGCGCCGGCGATCGCGGGGTGCCGTGTGGGGCTGCGGGGGCGTCGCGGGGTCCGCCCGGGAGCTCCTGGCGCTGGGAGGACGCCGTGGCCCGGCGGAGCCGATGCGCGCCGCTGCCAGACCTGGGAGAGACGGTGTGGGTCGCGGTAGCGCGGGCTCCTCTGCAAATGGTAAAGGCGTGCTTGTCGAATGGTACCTCAGAAGGAAGGCAGAAGCAGCCCGTCCTGCACCTTGTAGGTTTTTGTTTTTCCTTACCCAGAGCGCAATTTGGAGGAAATCGGCACTCTAGGGTTCAGGCCGGAAATCTTGGAGGCAGTGATGCCTCTGCACCAGGTGGCACATAGTTGGTATGCATGAACAGTGAGAAACCTCTCGCTTGTGGTAGATTTTTTTGAGGTTGCACACAGAGCCCATTGCTTTGGGAGGTGGTGGCCGAACTGTGCCGTGACTGAATGCCTGTTGGTCTGTGTGTGAGGCTTACCAGGTGTTCATTGCCAGCACTATTATCTGCTGGTGTATTTTACATCAGAATGGTAGTATTACAGCTAAAACTGAGTGTTTCCTTCCAAACAGGATTCCCCTCTGCCCCTGGGTAGACATGATTGGTAGCAACCTAAGAAATAGCACTCAGGAATATGAGAGCATCGGTGACTTCACAAAATGCAAAAAAATTGGATGTAGAACTAGATGGTTGGTTTTATTCTTTGATAAATTAAGGATTAATCACTCTACAACTTCCTGAAGGGAGCTTGTGCTGAGGAGGGGTTTGGCCTCTTCTCCCAGGCAGCAAACAGGACCTGAGGAAATGGCCACAAGTTGTACCAGAAGAGGTTTGGATTAGACATAAGGAAGAACTTTTTCCTTATGGTCAGGCACTGCAATGGTTGCACAGGGAGGTGGTGGTGTCACCATTCCTGGCAGCGTACAAGAGGTGTCTGGATGAGGAGCTACAAGATATTTAGTGCTTGTGGTAGCAGTGGTAATGGGAGGACAGTTGGACTGGATGGTCTTGTAGGTCCTTTCCAACCTTATGATTCTATGATTCTATAATCTTAATCAAAGTGGAAAAAGTCACGTTAGTTTTTGGTGCATTCATTTCCTGACATTTTAACTTTGATAGGAAGATAAGGAGATGGTGTTTTCGCATTCAGTGGTATTTTGGTATTCTATTCTGCAGACATAGCATGCTTGTTCACACACAACTTTGCATGCAAATTTTCAAGGATAGCTAGGTAGCTATTCTCTTGTGCATGATCAATTGATTCCACACACTTTGGTAGGTAAAATGTGGTTTTTGATGCCAGCTTTATATTGTCACTGATTTTCATCTTCAATAAATTAAATAAACGTATCTTGATTAGCAGCATGGCAAATCTACTGCTTTTATAAAATGAGTTTATATATGAGTTGGAATATGCACAAATACACAAATGTGTTTGTTGTGTTTGTGCTTTCTCTGCCTTTCTGCCACCATTATTTTGTCACAAATACAGAGAAAGACTGTTATTCTAGTGGCTGTTAAATGTGTTGCTTGATCACTTTCAAATGTCACGTGTTTATGAAGGGCTTTCAGAAGTGATCAGCTTGACGTATCCACCGGATCTTAAGCAACTGGAATAAAGTAAAGAAATGCTCAGGTGCATGCAGGATTGTAAGTTTCAGAGCATATAGTGGCAGCTGCAGATCTACCTGACATGTCCCTGTGGGTGGTGTGGTATCTGTTCTTCGTCTTCTATTTCATTTTTGTAACAGCAGTGACTCAAAAGTACCAGATCTTTCACAGAAAGCAAAAATGTCTGCTCTGTGAAAGTAGAGCCTTTCAGATGTGATGCAGGCAGTCCACCTACAGTTGTTGCAGGAAAAGGTTAGAGAATATTCATATGTTCCTTGTTTTGGAGAGCGAGTCTGGAGGAGGTGGTGAAGTTAATTTCTGCTGTGAAGCACTGGCATCCGAAGCATCAAGAAACAGTTCTGAAAGATGTACTGTATTTACAGGAAAGCTTAGTTTAGGATTTGGAGCCTGAACCACCATGTTCAACCACCTCTCACTCTTCCCCATTTCACTGGTAATTCCATAAGGTGCAAGACTGAAAATGTCACTGGTACCTTAAAATAGGGGCTCAAAGGCCTGCATAACTTAGTTTCTTACTTCATTTTCTGTTCTCAGTGAGCCAAACATATAAACCTATCCATGCCATCTGTTGCAGAACTGTCAGATGAAGGATGTACAGAGTAGGTAGCAAGGGACTTTTAGTTGCTGGAGTGCTGTTACTGGAAAGGCACAGAGTGAGGAGATGGTTGAGGGGAGCTGATAATATTGGGTATTTCTGCCCACAGAGTTGTCTGGATTGTTCTTCCAGTTAGCTTTTTTACTTCATAGCAACAGAACCTGCTTTTTTGTGTGAAACTTCTGTCTTTAACTCTGTCTGTAGCCAAGTCATCTGGGCTCTTTGTCTCATTTTTATTTTGGTACAGGTTCAACCACAGTGAGAATAAAGGGAGGTCCTTTTTCTTGTGTCCATCTGACTTACTGTCTTCATGATGCTTTTCTTCTCTACTTCTTGTTCCAAGCTGCATCTGTTACAAAATCGATTACTTTATTCATCCCTTAATGGTTTTCTTCATCTCTCAGTTGTTCTTTTGCTGTACTTGCCAGCACCTTTCCTACCTGCTAGAAATTGAATCTCAGCACTGTGCTTCTGTCAGCCCAGGTCTACTCTGAGTTATTATGTTAACAGCTGTTCTCTGGGTTTCAGCTTCTCTGTTAAATATAAGGACATTGCTTACTGTAGGCCCCTGCTGGTTTGATTCTTCTTTCAAGATTACCTTTGTTTAATATCTTTTTCTCATGCAAACATGCTTCTGACTTTTTTGTCTTTTATCTCACCACCTATTAAACCAGAAGCTTTCTCCTAATTCTTGTAGTTAGAGCTCCTATTTCTGTCCACTGTTTAATTCTTCCTGACTAATCCCCCCATCTCTCCTTTTTCTGAAGTGCCAGCAGTACTTAGAAGTCTTCCATTCTCAAGACTAAGTGTATACAGATTTCAGAAGGGCAGTAATTGGAGTACTGCAAGGCCTTGAATGTAGAGTATGCTTTGATGATCTGGTGCCTTGCTGACAACAATAAGAGAAATTTGGTGCATTTCCTCTTTCCTTTGCCAGCTACCAAGCTTCCCCAGCTCTTCTGGAGCCTAGTTTTGGGAACCAAAGAAGTGGAAAACTCTTCGTTATTTTAAATTTTTGGAATATTTTTTCTGGCTTGACACGCTCAACTGCAGAGTTAAGTGAATGCTGTGCTTGGCTGGTGGAATGAAACAGGATCATATCCCTTGCAAGAAGCAATCAGCTAGACTGGTAGGAAGCCCCTGCCCCTTGCTGGTCTTCCTCTTCCCTTTGCTCCCCTCGCCCCGCTCTTAGTTCCCAGCTGTGGATTTCACATCTGGACTCACTGTGTTTCTTCCTCTGGCTCTGTGTGCACTCTTCTGAGGCCTCTTGCTCCTCTCAGTCTCCTGTACTGACCAGCCCCTGCTCCCCACCATGTGTGCTTCCTACATCACTTTTTGCTGTGGATTAATATGAGGGAGTGTCAGCATCTCCCCCTTTTTTGTTGGAATTTCAAGTCCAAGAAGTATGTCCACTAGTTAAAATTCGTGTATCTTCAGTTTTGTGTTTGCTATAGAAGAAATAAAACATAACTAGAAAATAGCAGTGGATAATTTTAGTCTCTGGTAAGATTCAGCTCTGTAGTTCCTAGGTAACATTGTGTGGGTAGCTCACTTAAATCACTTATAGGGTACATCTGAAACCAACAGAACAGGAAGAAGTATTATGCAACAACAAAGGTCTTTCTACCCATTATTTCTTTCCAAACGGATTATGACTTGTGCTTTTTAATTGTATTAGAAAAACTTTTCCTGAATGCTAAGAGAGCACAACTCTCAAATAAGTTTTGGAGAGCAGTAAGGTTTAATCTGTGCAACAAAGTGAATTTTTGATTAATTCTTTTTGAGATTAGTTCAGTCTTCAGAAATTTACTAATATACTGAGTTTTTAGTAGTTATGAGAATATAGCTCTATTGAATAGGTTGGTATGATAGTAATATCCAGGAATGCTACTTTAATGTTCACCTGTCTGTGGCTTTTGTTTGTGTCTACATTTGATCAGTAAATGTTTATTATCAAGCAAAAGATGTAGCAGACTGCTGGGCATGCTTCAAAGCTTGATGCAGTCTATGACCGTGACACTGATGTGAACTGCACTGAATGAGTTTTGCAGGAAAGCCCACTCACAAAGTGCTGACCCTGCTGGTGAAGTTCTGCTGTAATAAGCAGTGATGACGCAAGTCATGATTTTCATTTTCAGCTGCTGTTGGTTTGTAAAAGCTTATTCAAGCTGGGGAGAAGGAGAGCCAATGAGAAAAGGTGACATGGCTTTGGTTTGGCAGAGCTAGGATTACTTCCCAGTGCATTCATAAAATGATTTCTCAAGTCTATAGATCCAGGAGCCCTGCATTTTCATCAAGTGTGATGCTTACTACAGGACATTATTTCCGCAGGCAAATATTCTTCACTTTTTGCAGAAGATATTACTGTGCTCTCTATACAAATATTCAACTTCTAGATATATTGCATTAAAGACCTGAGGCCTACAGTGCACGATACTGGTTTATTCTAATTCAGAGCCAATGCCTGTCACTGGGCTGGAATAAGTTGGGTTTTTTTGTTTGTTTGTTTTTTTCCCCCCTCATTTGATACACATTTAATCTTTTATTTTTCCTTAACAAGTAATCTTGAAACAACACTTTTGGTACTGGTAGTAGAAGATGTGGAGTTATTGAATGATACTTAGGTCCTTGGAAATTAATGAGTTTTGAACATCAGGGTTTTTAAAATAATGTGGGGAAATAGTCAAACTTAAGTTAGAAAAGAAAATATTTCAATGAGTGGGGAGAATCAATGAGTGAAAATCTTCTAAAAAAATTTCAGAACTTCCTGCAGATTGGTTTCAATTATTTGATTTTTGATATCCAAGTGTTTATAATCTCACAGTCCTAATTCCAGCAATACGTTAACAGTTGCTTAGTTTCATACATACAAGTGTTTCTACTAATGTCAATGGGATGAAGTACGTGCATAAAATTAAGCATTCAGATCGGAGCTGAAAAAATTATGGTCAGCACTGGTACATACACCTGACCTAGGGTTGCAAGTCCATTGAAACTATAATTTAACCACCCGTTTTTATAAAGAGATAGTTGTAGCTGTGAGTGTAGCTGAAGATGAGAAGCTTTCTGTTTGTTTGTCCTGGCTCAATTTGTAGCTGGTTTGTAGTTGGCTCAGTGGAATACCAGAGCTCAGTTTAGAGTGTGCAGAGAGGACCTCAAGTTGTGCTATAAAAATCACAGAATCTTAACTCGTGAACTTACCATGAGTTAATAATAAATCCTAATTCCTGTTGAAACTAAGTTTATCTAAATTAATTTTACAACAGAGTTTTAGGCTATATGTATATATCAGGAAGAGTTTCTTAACAGAAAGGTTGGTTAGTCGTTGGAACGGACTACACAGAAAACTGTGGAGTTGCTATCTTTAAAGGTATTTAGGAGATGTGTGGATGTGGCACTAAGGGACATGGTTTAGTGGTGTAGTGTTAAATGGTGGTTAAACTTCTTTATTTTAAAAGGTCTTTGCCCTAAGTTGGAGTCATACAGGAGCATAAGTAGAGAATTGAGCATTTCTGCTCAGTGCTTAAGATGGCTCTGCTCAGTGCAAACACACTCAGCTGTCTACAAAACAGGTGAGTGTAGGAACCAGCAGTACTGTACAAAATAAAGCAGTCTAGATAGGAAACTTTGCTTCTGCTTTTCTTAGGAGGAAAGCCTCTGTGCATTTCTGTGGACTGTCTGTGTAGCGTGAAAGTATTCTGTTTGTGTCCTCATTGTCAGTCTGGTATGTTTCCTCTGGAAATTAATGCATGTGCTTCTAGCTCACTCGTGTGAGTGACCTGCAGGTTAGTGATGTGGGTTTCTATTATAGGGATTGCTTTTCTGAGTAGCTTTCCCTGCCACTCTCAGAAACAGCAATACTGATCAACTGAAATTAAATGTTAATTGCTGCCCTGCTTTCAAAAAAATGCTGAAATCTGTCTGCCGTGAACCAGTCAACAAGTCTAGTATTTGAAGAGAAATACTTAAAAGCATCAAATGTCATCACCAGGGGGGTAGCCTGTATTTTGAAGTAAATCTAATCTTTTCCATCTCTGAAATTAAATAATAAAATATGCAGCAGTTGATGCTGTAAATGAAATCAATGACCCCAGGCAATGGCAGTGTCTAATATAATCAAGGAATGATAATAGAGTCCTACAGAGGTGGCGAATGCTAAGTTGTTGGCACAGAATGAAGCAGACTTGACAAGACTATTGTACTAGGGCAGTGTGTTGCAGTCCAGCCAGCAAATCAATGTGAATATGAAGAACTGCTTGCAGCTAGCATATGCAGACTTGTGATGCCAGCTGTGGCTATGTTTAAGTTGCTTCTAAATCTAGAAGCATTCCTAGTGAGGTATAATAAAGCTGGTGCTGCCAAGGTCTTTTTTGGTAGCCAGAATTTTTGCAGTACATTTCATCCTCATCATAAAGCTGATACTAGTATACTAGTGGCCAACTGCAGAAACTGCAAAGCAGGTTTTAATCTGATTCTGATAGGTCTGGGCAACCACCAGACAGTATTGACTTTCTAGGGAAAGAGACCAGTAAAAGAAGGTGACAGAGTGGAGACACAGTCAAGTCTCCTTGTCTTGCTAAGTACTGCAGGGAGGGATGGCTACTCTTTGAAAGTGCTATGTTTGCTGTGCGCAATCACAGACATCCTGAATTTGTGTGCTCTTGACCCACAGTATAGAATCCTGCTGCAAGTACCTTGCCCTCTTGAATTTATAACAGAGCCCATGACTGCACGAGCTTTTTTTCCCCTTCATCTGTACTATTTGTAAATTGCTCTTTTTCTCTTATTTATCTTTCAAGTTTCTGGCTCTGCAGGGATCTGCAGTGGTTTGTTATGTAACAGGGTCACCTAAGTACTGTGTGCAGCCATTCCTTTCTTCTCATTTTCTTTCTCCTTGCTTGAGATATGCTGTGTGTTTATGCAAGGCTGTGGTCAGCCCAGTGGAAAAAGATATTTTGTTTGTAAGTTGGTCAGTAAGAAGAGTAGAAAAGTGACTCCACAGGTGTGATGGGATTTTTTTTTTTTATCTTGTGCTTAGAGATGGTAGAGTATCATCAGTGGAGGTGATGGCTAAGTTTCCCATGCAGTGGGCAGAATACATGACTCCAATCATTTTGAGCTGTGTTTAAACGTTTAATACAAAATATAGGAATACAGCATTGATCATAGTGCCTCTTTGTGCCTGTGACTTCCCAGACAGTACAGCTAGCTATGGGAACAGACCAGGTTGTTCATGACTTTATCCAACTGGGCCTTGAACACTCCAAAAAATGAAGATTGTGCAATTCTGAGGAGCTGCTTCAATGAATGTTCTTATGTGGAAAATGTTTTTCCTTAAAGCTGGTATGAAACTTTTACTTCTATTTATGCCCAGTGTCTCCTGGCCTTGCCTAGTGCTGCTGTGAGGAGTCTGGCTCTGCCTCTGTTATTACGGTGGATTTGATTCCTGTTTCACCAGTGTTTTGGGGTGCGTTTATTGTCAATGTAAGGCACTATATGTGTTGCTATAGATATAAGAAGGACTGATGTAATTGTGTAGGGCTGGTTTTCTAATAAAAAATTAGCCTGAGTTATGTGTAACCCCTGGGATCTACTGTCAATATATTTGCTACTGTACCTGTTCTGATGGGATTTTGCCCTCCTGTCTTGTATTGACAAGCTGTGAAAGTAAGTCCAGGTCTCTGGCAAAACAAAGCTCTCTGATGGAAAAAACTCTATGAATAAGTTTGAATGAATGAGTATTCATTAGTTTGTCTATAAACATGTGAGCCGAATAGCATGCCATTTCTCTCAGAAGTGAAGTATAATTTGAACAGGAACCACTGCCATGGTCCTGGGAAAATGTTGCTTGAGGTCTCAGAAATAAATATTGTATAGTCTGAGTGTTGGAATTGAGCAACCTGGTGAGTTGCATATGCTAGAATTTATCTTTTCAAGTCACTCCATTAACTGAAAGTGATGCACGCTCATCTTTAATCAAAACTTTGTTTTAATAATTTTTGCTAAGTGAAAGTGAGAAATCTATGCCATCTTGAGAATCCTTTTGAGATTAGGTGCCCTGACTAAAAGGATCCTCTTAAAACATCACCACCAATGCTTATTACTGTACTTTTCCTTTTAAGTCTGGTACAGTAGTGAGCATTCCCTTGGGTTAATGTCAGTCTCTCTGTATTTCCAGCTGGCCTACGCAGATTCATTGGTGATCAGTGGCACATGCAGAACATCCGCAAAGACTCTGTGGAAAGCTCTGATGATGAGTTTTTTGATGCTCGAGGTCAGTGCAAAGTTTTGTTGTACTATCCCTATTCTTTTGCCAGATTTGCCACAAGTGAGTAAGCTCATTTTGGAATGGACTAACAACATTGTTTTCGCCAGACTGAGCAATTACAAGTTGATAGTTTAGTGCTGTAAGTATTTTCAATTTTTAGAAACTGAGGAAGGAGAATCGTGAGTTGGGCAGGGCTGTAGGTTCTGTGAAATTTCTGTGAGCTGTTAAGAAAAAACAAAGATGTCAGTTTTAGGGTTGTTTTGATCTTCAGTGCTTTCCCGGAGTGGGGAGAGGGGAAGGAATTCTAACTAGTAAGCTGATAGTAAACACTTGAGTGATTTATTCCCAACTTTGTTTTTAAGTGACCTGCTTGAGGTAAGAGCAAATAGTCAAACAACCCTCTCCTCTCTGGTTTTCCTGCACAAAATTAATGTAGTGCATAGGTACACTTCAGGATATGTCAAGCTGGAAGCTTCTTTGGAGAGTCTTGCCTATGCTAACTTAGGCTGCTTATTTCTCTCACAGTTACTAGTTTTAGTCCTTTGTGGTATTTTCGTGTTCATCACTGCCATTTATTTTTTTTCCTTTTTCCTCATACAGAAGAGGTGGTGGAAGGAAAAAGTGCTATTCTCATCGGCATGAGCCAGTGGAACTCAAATGACCTTGTTGAGCAGATAGAAACAATTGGGAAGCTGGAAGAAAATCAAGGTACCATTCAGCTTGCCTTACATATCTATTTAAAGTGCTGGACACGTAAATACTCAACAGAAATAAAATTCATAATATCACATAGTTTAAAGATTTACATAAATGTGTAAGTAATGTTTTAGTGATGGGAAGTGAATTAGTGACCTATTCCAGGAAGAAACTTCTCTGATGGACCAAGTAGCATCATAAGTGTATTGACACAGTGGGACTGTTTTAGATTCAAAGCTCAACAACCACAAGATGGTTTACAAGACTGCAGCCTGTATTTTCTGTGTTTCCTGTGATCAATCTATATTAAAGACTTTTTGGTCATTATTATTAGTTTATTTTCTTCATAGAGTAAGTCTCTGTTACTTGAACACTCTGAAGCCTTCTTTCAACATCAGCAAATCATTATCTAAAAATTTCAAGGAGACACACTTTAAGAATATTTTCAGACAGCTTTAGCTTAACATTTAGGTAATAGTGCACCACTGATATGAGTGAGAAGTGAATGCTGATACACCAGTAGGAATCTAGAACCTAAGACAGAAGCCTAAGCAACTCCTTTTAATTGTTTCTTTGTCTCCTAAATTACCTTGTCATTTAAAAATGAAAATTACCTCACTGAATTTACAGAGAATCTAGAACCATAGAATGATTTGGGTTGGAGAATGGTGGACCTAACTTACTTGCCCATCTGTGATAATAGTGCTTGTTATTAATCTAACTTTTTTGAAGAATTTCAAGATCCTTTTTTGGAGGCTTTTCTATACTAATTTGTTACATATAATCAATCCTGAAAGTAACTATGAGCCAGTCTATTTCAGTATAAGGATTGATTAAAAGTAATATTTATCTGATTCAGAAACTTTCTGATTATCTACCATCGGAATTTTTATTTGCTAGCACTTAAATGACAAGTAGATGCCAATCCAGATATTATGTTTACAATTGTTAAATAGGTAATTTCAGGAAGATTTCTTTTTTACATTTATTCTTAACAATGATACCAAGTTTTCTCTTATGTTACTTGGTAACTTACTTCATTGTGTCTCTGACTCCAAATGGCAGTTTGGAAGAGTTGCTAGATGTGGTGTAGTATACCATTTTCTCTGCAAGACAAAAAAGAGTAGTAAGAAAAATTAATATGGTACTGCATCAACTATGACTTAGTTTTCTAAATGGCTCACCATGAACCATATTGCATGCCTGCTAAATATGTGAGATTTTGTAGCAGATGAAGCACTTACGTGTATTTCCTGCTTTTCCTTGCCATGTTATGCTTTCAAATTCAGCCCCACCGATTTGTTATTTACTGATTTCCCTTACATCTACTTATCTGTGTCTGTCCTCATGGAATTATCTGCCAAATACTTATTGCAGTGTTTTTAGTACAAATAATTAGACAGTGCTTTTGTTATAGCTTAATAAGACTGAGTAGAATTACTGATTCAGCAGTTTCAGAGATATCTATGATCAGTAATCTTTGGATAGAGTAGGAAGTATTTCAGCCTTAGCTCAAGTATTTATAGTAAAAAATTATGTGCCCAGCTAAAGCTGAGTTTTCTCAGTGACCCTCCACTGGATTCTCTCCAGTTCCCTGTCTGCCTTCAGCTGCGAGCACAGCACTCCAAATGTGGCCTTCACAGGACAGAGGGGAGGAGAAACCAGCCTTAGCCTGCTGGCCATGCTCTGTGCAATGCATCTGAGGGTGCCATTGGCCTTCTTGGCCACAAGGGCACACTGCTGGCTCATGGTCAGCCTGTTGGCCACCAGGACACCTTAGTCCTTCTCTACAGAGCTCCTTTCGAGCAGCTCAGCCCCTAACCTGTACTGATGCATATGGTTATTCCTCCCCAGCTGTAGGGGGAGGACATTTGCCCTTGTTGAATTCTGTGCAACTCTCAACTTGTCCAGGTCTCACTGAATGGCAGCACAGCCTTGTACTGTTGACACGGTACAGTTAAGATGAGGTGAATTCTCAGCAAATACAGCAGACTTTTTGTATACTTTGAATTCAGTGTGTATTATGTTTCATTACTGGAGTTACGTCATAGTCAGAAATGAGACCATGAAACATCTTAACTAGCAAACCAGGCAAGTATTTGTTACAAAAAAGATGTGTCATTCAATCCAAGCTAGTAGTTCATATGTCAATTTAAGTTTGTATTGGCATTTCAGCAGGTGAAATTGTAGGGGCAAATTCCATTGATGTGGTAGGTATTAACTATGAGGTCAAAGCTTATGCATTTGAGATAAACCTGAGCATGATTTAAATTACCAAAAAAAAAAAAAAAAAGTCATATGAATCATGAATAGTGAGGTTGCTCTCTCTTCCCTGGTTGCCCATCTGTTGATCTACTTGGCCTTTCTAGACTGCAAACTCTTTGACGGGGAGACTGCGTTTGTGAAACACTTTACACAAGTTCACACCAGCAAGAACTTTGTAAGAAATCTTATGAAGGCTATTTTTGTTGCTGTGAGCATAGGTGTTGCTCTCCCCAGTCACAAAAATCTTACTGACAAGTCTGTTACCTGCTTTGAGGCAGATGAAAGCTAATTCTCACTAAACGGAAGCTTACTTTTTGCTCTCGGTTTTTCTCACAAGCAGTGTTTGTAAAAATTGCCAGCTCACAGGAGAAGTGTGAGTTGACAGGGATGTGGTAAGCTACTTGTTAAGAAAGAGAGGACCAAGCACTGAATTTGCTGCAAGAATGGAAGAACTGCTAGCGACGGAGGTCTTCTGCTGTTATTTCTTTTACATTGTTTTCCTTTCTGATTGCCAGGTCTAGTTATTGGCAGGTATTTTCTAATACTCTGTGCTTCCTTTCTTGTTAGTTTAATCTCATTAATTGTAATTATGCCTCTGTGCATCATACTAGGTAATGTGACTCTGTCCTTGCTGCCAGCATTTTAAATCTTAGCTTTCCTATCGTTACTTTTGCAATTGTGACAGAGGGCCATGACAAAAGAGTATGCAACCAGTTGTGCTTTATGTTTGTTTTAATGACAACCTTTTGCTTTCCTTCAGAAATGATCTGTCTGCTTCTCCTCTTGCTTTATCTGATCCTGCTTTGTGGACAGAAGTAGTCATATTCCTCTTAGATTTGCGAGCACTGTTCTTACTAAATTGTGGTAAACCCTTATATACCACTTTTTTAATTTACTAGGCTGCTTCTTCTCTTAGGAAAAGAGAATGTAGTGATGCTGTATCTGCAATTAATCATTAATTTTATTTTCTAATGTTTTATTATTTATTTTCTAATTCATTGGGTTTTTTTACTTTTATATGATAGTTGTTATTTTAATTTTTTATTTATATTAATACTCAGCAGTCTGACTAATGAAAACTAAAACTTGTTGGACTAGTGTTTTCTGAGAGACAGAATTATGCTTAGGCCAGAATAAGCAAGAGCTATGTTAATTGTTTAGCTTTTCAACTTTTAAATGTCAGCTCTACCAAATTTCTAGCAAGGACTTGAGCATACAGCCTTTCTTCTTCTTTTTCTTTTTTTTTTTTTCTCTCTCTTTTTTTTTTTTCCCCACAGTATGGAAATTTTACGTAGGGGCAGGTGTGGAAGGGAGAGGGAAAGAGGGGAAAAAGTTGGCATTAGTGATAGTTTTTGTAAAATATAACATAAGCAAGCAAGCAAAGGAATTATTTCTGTAATACAGCTTTGACGGGGTGACTGTTGATTTAATAAGTCCTACTTACATTTTAAGAACCTTTAGTCAGTTCTATCATATATGCTACTGTTATACGGTGTAAATCCAGATAATTCAATTAAAATGTCATAGATTATGATGAATTCTCAGGTAGGCAACTTAGGAAATAAATTTTTCAGTTGATTAAAACATAATTTTAGTTGATTAAAACATAATTAGCCATTAAATGGCTGTGAAATCCTGTATTCTCATGCTTCATGTGTTGCATATACAGACTGATGGGATTGTCTTACTCATAACCAGCAAAATAGATGGACACAGTCAGCTTACACAGCTGGGAATTTTCATACCTGGTATCACTGTCCAAGACCAGATTAGTGAGATCTTTCCATCTTTAAATGCACTGATTGTCTGGAAAAAAAATGCTGATAGTAATAGTGCTCTCTTTTTGGGACTTATTTGAATTGTTGACTTAGACTAAACATTAATTCTCCCACCCAGTGTATCTGTGAGGTAGTGCTTTGGAGCTGGGAGGTGCTACTGTTGGATAAGTTATGTTACATCTGTACTCCTGCCCTTTCTGCACCATCTAGAATTGAGCCATGCAATTCCTACTGATTTATTTTTTTTTAATAACAAATTATGTACTTCTCTCCTTAAAACTCACTATAAATTGTTCTCCAAAGACTGTAGTGTGCACTGTGGCTTCCTACCACTACAATTGTTCTGTGTAACTCTGTGTCATGGTTTTACGATTTTTGTTATCAGTATTCCACATCGTAACATCACGTAGTGCACTGGGAGTTAATGTTAAGAGCTAATGTTCCAGTTCTGTGGACTGTTGATATTTCCGGGTACCTGGTTCTCAGAGGAGGAGAATAAGTCCATCTCCCAGAAGTCTTTCACTGTTCTGTTTCTGTTTTCTGTTTAGAGGGAAAGATAAAACTGTTCCCAAGTCACGAGGCTGTCCCTTTCTTTTTGCTGCTCGTCTCTGTGCCGTGTTCTCCCCAGCCATCTGCCTTCGGCATTAGAGTAAGGCCTTCAGTTTTGGACACTCACTCTCTCATTTATTTTGTTTATTAGTGTCAATTAACTTGTATTTTTGCTATTATAATTAGTAAATTAACTTCCCTCCTTAGATCGTTGCCACTGTTGTTTGTTTTTTTTTTTTAATTCCTTTCTCTCTTTGTTCCCTTACCCTCCCCTTTTTCCCTTTTTGGGCCTGTGGGCCTGCTGTCCTCCTGTCGTAGAGGCAGATAGATCTAGAGATAACTCCATGACACTCTGCATTTAAAAACAAGCCTTGCAGAGTGATTTTTTGGCCTCTCATATATCTTTTGGATCTTACCTTTTTCCATCTAATGTAAGACAAAAAACAGCCATAATTTGTGTGTGAAACAGCACATTTCTGACTGATGAGGGAGACAGTTGCCAGTCTGTGCCAGTTGCCACAGTTTCCACAAGACACTGAACAAAACTGTAGTAGTCTAATAATACTATTGTGTTATCTTGGCTGTGAATTAACATTTTCCACTTAGTTAAGGTGGAAAGGTTTGTTTATTTGTTAGTTTGTTTTCCTTAAATGGTCTAGACTTAAAAAGATGCTTGTAAATTGTGGGATGAATACTAAATCTTATCTGAAATTATGAACTATGTTGATATGGACCCATTAAATTAGTACAGGAGACTAATGATTCTGTGCAAGACAAGGTGCACACTAATATGTCTTTATCAAGCTATGCATCTGGTCTCATCTTTCATTGACTCACTGATTCAGTCTCCTTTGCTACATCTGCCATGCATCATCAGGGCTGAAACAATGCAGTGGTTGAAATGCATACTACAATGGAAAAAATCATATATCTTCATGTGCTTTCAGTATTGTGATTTTCACCTTTTAGTGGTGTTCTCAGCCTCCGTCCCTGAAGGTTGCCTTGCCTAAGTTTGTCCACAGTCGATGTTCTCTGTAAACAAATGGATATCCTCCTTGCCAGTAGCATGTGATCTCTCTCTCGAGGCTTCCTGAGGTCATATAATTAAAATGTGTTTGTACATAGCTGAATGTAATGTTTATGCCGCTATTAAATTTATTGCAGTCGCATCTGTCACTGCCTAATAATGTGAAGAATGGCAAGTAGAATTTAGTTTGGTGAACTGAGCAGTGGAAAGGAAAGATGGAAATTACAGTAGTCAGTAGCAATCCAAAACATATCAGATGGCTCATATAAAAACAGATTTACTTCTACAACAATTCTAGCAGATGCAAATAATCTATGGTAGCAGTTTAGACTAGAACAAGGTTGCCAGAGTTTTATAACATTTTATTTTTGTTATACTGCATGTTGTAAAATACAGCTGAGCAAATGTATGCAAAATGGGGGAAACTTAAACTAGCCTCTAAGGTGTTTTTTTTTTTTACCTGAGAGTCCTGCTACATAGAATATTCGTGTTCTTGCAGTCCCTCCGCAGATTCCCTTTTAATTTTTGGATTTCTGTTAAGATCTCATCCACATGCTGAAATCAGCAGGTGATTTTTCATCAGTTTCTTTGGGCCTACAGGTTCCCTGGCTGCCAGTCCCATTCAGATCACGCTATCTGTAGGTGCATTACTTCCTTTCCTTTCCTTCTGTCTTTCTAGATTTTGCCTAACTGAACTGCCATCAGTGTTATATTTGCCATAGTTTAAAAAAAAATAGAAAATCAGACTGTTCTATTCAGAGTTAAATTTCACTGTGTTCTTGCTGAAGAAAGCCTGGATGTATGGGGAAGAAGATGAACAAAGATCACAATTGTAGTATCTTACTGGTACTGAGGCACACAACTGTGTTCTGCTGTGCTCTCCTTTGGTGCTGATCACATTAGAGATGTAATCACAGGGGACAGCAAAACAAGGCATACAAATACCCTATGAGGTTGCAAAGAAGACATAGTTGCGCTCTTTTCAGTGGTGCCCAGTGCCAGGAGGAGAGGCAGTGGGCACAAATTGGAACACAAGATTCCATCTAAATATCAGAAAGTGCTTCTTTATTGTGTGGATGATGGAGTACTGGAACAGATACCCAGAGAGATTGTAGAGTTTCTGTCTTTGGAGATGTTCAGAAACCATCTGGACATGGTCCTGGGCAGCTTGCCCTAGGTGTCCCTGCTTGAGCTAGGAGGGTTGGATCTGATGGACCTAGAGGTCCCATCCCACCTCAGCCATTCTGCAGTTCTCTGGCATCTTGGGAGCACTGATCTGTGAAGATAGGCATATGTGTATTGACCGTGTAGCGCCAGGTAACACACAAGTATTTAACACTGAGGCGAACTTTGTAAAACTTTAATTGTAGCAAATTTCTGTGGTGAATAGTTAAGTTTATTTCTGCTGCTGTTACCAGTTATCAATCTTTTGTGGAAGAAGTAAGATGGATTCTATTCTGGTTTCAGCACTGTTCAAAAAAACCGCTTGCTTTTGTTTGTTTGTAGCATCTCAGTAGCTGGTAATGTGCAACCAGAGGAAATGCAGATCATGTTCTAATTCTAGGCTAGAGAAGTTGCTTTTTTTTTCTTTTTTCCAGATTCTGAGAAAATGAATGTATGATGAAAGTATCTGTACACTTGTGAAGAGCATAGCTCACAGTCTGCTAGAGCATAGAGTTCCTGCTGCCTTAATTTCACTAGCATATTTTCTTTTGACAAAGTCAATAGTTCTTTGAATTTGGTGAGTCTCCCCATAAATTAAACTCTTCCTGAAAAGTTAGAACTAATTTCAAAGCCATTTAGTAGTGTAGATGTCATGGTTTTAGAAACTAGATTGCAAGGACTGTTTAAACAAATGAAGTTGAATACCTACAAGTGGTTAATTAGGCTTGGCATTAAAGTCTTTCCTTTCATATCACAGTAAGATGTTTTCAGTGTCATCAGAAGGATAGTTTAAAATGTAGCAGGTCTGCCTTCAGTCTAGGTTTGTGCTCCTTGGACCTCATGAGGGATGACTGTGAAGAGACGCATCATGTGATTTAGGGGACTTCTGGACCTGCATTGTGATTTTCAGTGTCACATAGCCTGAAGCTGGAGAAAGTTTTACTTGTGAGGAGGAGGAGGAAATGAGACCAAAACCTAACTCTAGGAACCGCTAGCTGAAAGCTAAAGAACATACTTCTCTGGATCTATCTTCTTACAAACAACATTTTGTGAATGTTTGTGAAAATAGGTAACATCGAATTTTAGTTATGTACTTGAAAGAACTTTGTGTCAAGCATTTGGGGGACAGACTTAATGAGGTGTTTAACTGTGGCATCTGAAAATTTAAAACTGTCACAGCTCAGAATTTAAATATACTATCAGATGGTTTTGAGATCTGTTAATTTCTTTGGAAATCTAGAATTTCATAGCTGTCTTTGCTTACATTATTTTGCCTATGAATTGTACATGTGTACTTGCTGTGTGAAATAACAGGCTGTGAGGAATTGGCTGTATTTTGCATCTCATTGTTTAAAATGTTTTTGAAATGGTGTATTTGCTTAACATGTTACACAGCCAAGACTCTTATTCACTAGGCAGTAATTCTCCAGTGTATCTTTTGCTAAGCTCTTTCCAAAGAAGCCACTGGATGTTTTAAAAATCAGCATAGTGGTCAGTTGCAAACTATTTACTGTAATATATTAGAAAAAGGAAGGAACTTGTTGTTCATGTAAAGCAATCCTGTTTCATTCCCTTCTTTTTTCCCTTTGCAGGTGAAGAATCTGTATTTTGCTCATCTGGCTTTCTACAGGAAAAGCAACGTGAGTCTAAAGTTATTTTCAGTTTTCTTTGTATTCAATTCTGCTTAACAGCTAGAGATAATAATAAAGTGTTGATCAGCAAAAGCGTGTTACTGTGCTTTCTTCAAATGTTATTTTTTGGAGTATGAAACGGCAAAGGCTGTGTTTGCGTAATTTATTTATTGTTATTGAGGTTTATGAAAATGTACCCCAAAAGTGCCTGTAAGACTTAGTACATTAAATAGTGCATTATGCTTTACAGACTGTATGCTCTATATAACCTGGTTTATTCCTTTTTTTTTTATTTATTTTTAATTTTTTTTAACAAGAAGTGCAGAACAGCCTGTAATGTAGTATGTTGCTAGATGAAGCAGGAAGTGTTCTCTAGGAGGGCGTTTTGAGCAGCATGAAGCATTACTGTAAAATACTAAATGGAGTTCCCAAAGGGAAAGCACATGACCGGGTTTTTTGTTCTTGTTTTTTCTCTTCTGCATTAAGCTTGTTCTTATGCTAATCCTGCAAATCCAGAAATTCACTGATAGATTACCTGCATAACCTTGTAATACAGCTGTTCTCTAGAATCCACCTGCATAGCTAAAGAAAGGGCATAGAGAAATGTGATAATATATGATATAGAAGAAGCACACACTAAGGCACAAAATTTAACTGAGCTTTATATCCTAGCTGACAGATCGTTATTTAATTGTTTCATTAGTTTGTCCTAAACTGGGTTACCTTTAGGAGTATAGCAATATGCTCTAGCTTAAATTTGTCATATGCAGTGCATTCATTTTTCTTTTTGTTCCCTGTGGAGATCTATATGCAAGGTAGTTTTGTGATTCAGCAGTTTTATTTCTCAAACTTTGTTGTTTTTGTTTTGTTCTGTTTTGTTTAAATTGCTGCTGCTGTACCTTCAAGTTTGTTCCCTCACAGGCAGAGTGTTCTGCAGTGGGAGTGGAAGGTGTTAAGTTTTGTGCAAGTGAGTTAATTTCACAGCCTCAGACTACCTCCCAAAAAGATACTCATGTCTGTAGAGGCAAGATTATTTGAACTTCTAGAGGAAGGTCTTTGTATACTAGCAGGATAATTGATTGTGACCTTACAACCTGGCATGCTGGCTGGGTCAAGAAAGTGTTTAGAAGAAGATGACTTTTCATTCCTACTTGTGGCCTGCAGGAAACCAGTGCAGTGCTATTAGGACACATTTCACTCAGTAGCATGAAGAAGTCCTCAGTATTCTTCAGAAGAATCTCCTCAGTAATATGAGCCAGAGCTGTGTAGGATGGCTCAGCAGCTATAACTAGATCGAGGTTTTCAAGAGTTTTGTTCCCAGAAAGACACAATAGAAAGGCTGGGTTTTTCCAAGTTCTCAGTATGTTTGGGGACTTGGTTAGTTTTGAAAACTTGAACGTAAGGATGGCAGTGCGAACTAGCCACTACTACTGCCTGCCCACTGTTGATTAGTTTATTTGGATACCTGTATGAGAGCTGACTGTCCTGAGGAATCAGGTTTCAGATTGTTCTCCTGTTCCTGTATCTTCTTGTGCCAGATTTTGAGAAGCCATAGTGTCTTTCTAGCTGGTGAGATTAAAGTGCAGAGACTTCCATAGTGTAATTGCATTTGGTTGGAAGTTAAGGCTTTGTGGGTTTGTGTTTTTGCTGTTTGGTGAGGGTGTTTTTTGTGTGGGTGTTATTTAGTGATGGACTTATGTTTTGTTTTACACAAATATTAAATGACTAATCCTTTAAATCTTTGCCTGCCAGAAAGGCAAGAATAATCAATTTGTTTTTAAATATGGAGAAACGTAGCCATATTGTTTGATGGATGTAAGGAATGATATTGGTAAGACTGGCTATGGAATTAGCTCTCAATTCTTATGCAGAAGTTAAGAGTATTTGAAGTTTGTTTTGGACTAAGTTCAGTGCTTTTAGGATAGCCTTACCAGACCCTGCATAACTAATCTATTCTTTTAGAATCTGGCAGACTGTCTATAAATGTGTCTCAAGTGGAATGGTAACAAACATGGTGTGAGTTCAGTACTCTAAAAGAAAAAGTAAGCCAAGTTATCTGTAGCATTATATGATGCATTTTATTTTCTTCAGACATGCTGGAGGAAATAGAGAAAAAAGTCTATTTAAATTCAGGAAGCTGTCAGCATGCACTCGCAGCCTCCTTTCCACTTGTAAGGGAGAAGGTGTTAACAGAGGTGGGAGGATTTTCATTTCATTTGGGATTTCATCGCTGTCTGTAGAAGGGTTAACCTCTCAAAGAACTAATCTTCCAGACTTCAGTTGAAGTAATTGCCCCTTAGTGAAATATTGCAATATTTAATTACTGTGTAAATTCCACTGACATACAGGAACAACAGGTATAGTCTTAAGACAACTTAGCACTTCTAGTTTGTAATTGTTTACTTTTAAACAAACAAACAAAAAAAATAGTGTAGTTTTACCATGCCATAGTTCTTATAATGAACTTATTCTAGTTTCTGTTCCTTCTCATTACCTGACAGTATTTGTGTTTAGACAAAGTAACACTGCAGAGTCCATTATTTCAGCCTGTTCCAGAGAGGCACAGATGACAAACAGTATCTGTGCTGATACAGTATACCTTTGCATAAGGACTTGAATCTTGTTACAGATGTTGCTTGTTATATGTTGCAAAGAACTTTGTCCGTTGTTCTATTTGTCCACAGAATCTTTATGTCTTGAAACTATAACTGTATCTTAACTACAGAGATGTCTGTGAAAGATGAGGCACCCAAGTATTTATACAGTCAGTTACCTCTCTCTTCCTTTCAGGTGAATTATATCATGCCTCTTTAAGAAAACAAAGGTTACCTGCACAAGGCAGTATTGAAATGCATGAGGACAATGAGGTGAGTGTTACCCAAAACAAACTGTGCTGATTTCCAGGGTACAGACATGTGGAAATACTGTCATATTGCATTATGGAATTATAAGCCTCTTTGATGGCTTAATATTTCTTCTTCTTGTTCAGTAAGTGCACATGCAATCATAGAAAATCAAACCAAGTTTTTAAAATATTGCATAATTAATTTGGGTGGAAATACGACCCTATGTCTCTCGAGAAATTGTTATGTCTCCGTAGTGCTTCAGCGCAAATGCATATTTTGAGAAGGTTCATCAGCAGTCATGAAATTGATAGTAACAGAATTACTTCTTTAGAAGATGCAAAGAATCTAAACTAGTTCTAGTCCTTCCAGTTAACCTATTAAGGTCATCTGTTCCCATGTAGAACAGGAAACAGAAATGCCTACTTTTCTGTTTTTGAGTAAACCCAGTCCTAAAGCTCCCTGGAAATTGATAGTCTTTCACTTCAGATGCCCTTTGAATTAGTCCTTGAGCCCCTTTCCTTAGACATGCCTGGGCTATTCCTTAGAAGCAAATTATTTTCACTCCCTTTGATTCCTTCTGTGAAGGACACCTGTTAAATGCAGTGATGCTGAGGCACTTCTAGTAACAGTGACTTGAGCAGTACTGACCTGCCTGAATTTTTCTCTGTTTTGAAGCTTTTGGTTACACCAACCTTTCAGCAGCGCTAATTGTTTACAGTCTGGTTGGCTTTGGAAAGAGCTACTCTTAGCTTTTTAAAGGGAATTAAGTTTCTCTTTGAATGACTGGATTGAGAATAAATGGAGTCAGAATTTGTAAATTAGAGCAGGAAAAAGTGGAACCTTAAAAATACTCATTCTACTTACATGCATATCCAAAACTTAAAAGGCAGAAAACACACCTTCAGGAGATGAATATGAGACTTAAAATGAGTAATGTTATTGGAGACAAAAAACTGTAGGCTAAACAGAGATAATGGCTGTGTGGAACAACTTAGGATTCTCTCTTTCAACCATTTCTCTATCACTACTCTGGAGAAATACTACATGCTGAACTACATCTTTTTTCCTTATCTGTGTCAGTGTTTCCACCCCAACATGTGCCTCCCCTTCCTCTCCTCCCACCCCACACATCCTCCTAAACTACGGGCTGAAGTGTGTGTTTGTGCAGTTACTTTGTTAGTTTCTCCCTTCTGACCCCTGCCCTTTTGATATTGATAAACACTGATTAGATCCCCACTCAGCCTTATCATTTCTAGGCTGAATAGCCAAAGGGCTCTCAGCCTTTCCTGGTAAGAAAGGTGCTTCAAGCCCCAACCATCTCTGCTGCCCTCTGCTGGATTCTCGCTAGCAGTTCCATGTCTTTCTTGAGCTGGAGAGCCCAGAACTGGACACAGTTGTCATAGTATTGGTCAGTTTCTTCACAAAAACATTATACCGTGCTGAGAGTTGCATTCCTGAGGGATATATATATATGAATTGTGTCATGTTTGAATGCCTATTTTTAGAAGGCGCTGTGATGTGAATCAAACCAATTTTTGCCTTAAATGTCTTGCAGTTTAGATAAACTCGTAAAGGAATGAAAAAGAGAAGAGACATCATCTGAGCACAGCAGATAAAGATACAGACATATCTATTAGATTACAATCAGGTTGTAGTAGTAGAATATAAAATAATATAAATTAATTTAAAAGACCTTGCTGGAAATAAATGGAGTTTATTTCACAGTATAATGTCTTGTTATATTTCAACTGCTTTCTCAGTAAATCACCTAATTTTCTTGATCTAGTAATGTATTAGTAAGTCATCCTTTGAGTGAATATGTAGAGTCTACAGAAGGGGAAAATAAAAGTGCATCTGTGAAACTTGCAAAACGTTGTTCCAGTTTCAAGTAGATAACATCTTGTTTTTTCTGCAGACCACATCACTTCACCTTCCATGGTAGATTGTTGTCTGTGTATGCATGCATTCACGTGCTCATAAATTTATTTATGAGATTTATGGCTGTCAGCTCCAGTACAATTTTTACTCTTTCAGTAAATGTCTGGGTAAGTTAACCCCACTTTTTCATTTTAATATTTTGTGAATTTCAAGTGGCTGCTTTTGCCAAAACTCTATCACCTTCTTTTGCTTGATGCTTTTATTGGCAGAAATGAAAATAACCAGAAATGTTCTCATTTGTTTTTCTTTTCAGATCCCATGATTATTTGAGATAAACCTTTCCAAAATTGCAGCATCCCAGTTCACAATACCTAGAGACTTAGGCTCTCTGTGAATGTTTGACGTGTTCTCCAGTGTGGATATATTTCCAATAGCTTTTGATGTGTACAAAGTTATTTATAATTTTTGTTAATCCAACACCTAAATCTGAGATGCAAGGGCTTTATGGTAGAGCTTAGTGTGCTCTACCTGATTCAGGTATACTTGAATTAAATGCTACCCCCCACCCCCTCCCAAAGTCAGGTAACACAAATGATCACAGTGGGAATGGGAAAAAAAAAATCACTGCTTGTGAACATTTACCCTAAATATACCAACACTTTTTGTAAAAAGGCTCCTTTCTTTCTTATTTCCTGTTTTTCTCATAGGAAGTAGTTCAACACCAGAAATGCAAAACTCGTGTGCTAATTCTGATCCTACATGGAGGGAATATCTTAGATACTGGGGGAGAGGATCAAAGCAGCAAGCTGGCAGACATCAACACCTTCAGTTCTGTCTTTGAGAAGGTGACCCAAGCCCATTTCCCTGCTGCTTTGGGCCACATCTTGATCAGACTTGTTCCCTGCCCAGCAATCTGTTCAGCAGCCTTCTCTCTTGTTTCCAAGTAAGCTGATTTTGCTTTATATTATTTGGCTTTGCAGTGTGGTTTTGAAAGGCTTTTGACATGCTCATTCCCAATAGGAGCTACCACTCTTTGAAGTCCTCTAGTTTTGTGGTATTCGTTTGTTGCCATTGTGAATACAGTATACTCTTGAATGAGTTACAGAGGATGCATCTGTAAGAAACAATGCCTTTGGCTATTGAAGGCTTCAGTTCACAGTACATCTAGGATTTGGTTATATCTGAGAGCAGTATCCACGTGCTCCTAAAGTTCTGGCAGCATGGGGCCATGCCTGCTGCCCTGGGGAGCCTGTTCCATACCCAACACCCTCTAGCAGAATCTTTTTCCCAACCCCCGCCTGACAGAACTCCATTCTGTTCCCTTAGGCCCTGTTGCTATCCCCAGAGGGCAATGCCTGCCTCTTTGCTCTCCTGTGAGAAGCTGCAAGCTGCTATGAGGGCCCCCCTCAGCCTCCTCTTCTCTGGGCTTGACAAGCCAAAGAAGTTGTTCATCAGATCACATTTCTTGTAGCAAGTCAGCTCTGTAGTTGATAATTATTGTTGTGTAGTATGCTGTGATAGTATTTCAATACAAAAACAAGTCAGTATGAAATTTTGAATGTACTTTCAGAGCAAGGGTAATTAGCAGCTTAGAGACCTGCTTGTATGAAAGGTACTCTCAGAGTGAAAAACTATCATTACTATTAATTTTAACAATCGTTATATATACAACAGTAAAAATTTCAGATATGCACTCATAATGACATTGCTATGATAATCTAAAAATGACGTGTAGCAGCAGCTCCTGGAGAGGAGGTATGACTTTTTATATAAAATCTTCACATGGAAGTCAGGAAATAAGAGTAGTATTCTTTAGTCTGCAGTAGATTTCCTGTGTGACCTTGAATGAGTAAATTGGTCCATCAGTGCCTCGCTTCCTAAAGTTGAAGAAATACAAGGTTAAAATAATACAAGGAGATTTTTTTTCAGTCATTAACGAAAAGCCTAGCACAAAGCCTGAGGAAGAAATAGGAATATTTATGCTGTCTTTGAATTGTACCTCTAGCCTAGAATATATGTGGAAAACTTAAGGGATATGGGTATAAGAGAGTACCATGGTTAAGATGTTGTCAGGTTGTTAAAACCATGGGACAGCAGCTGATCTTAGCCTAAACACTTGAAAGCCTTAGTTCCTGAGCAGGTTTTCCTCTGAGTGCTCTTATAACTGGCTTCTACATCCTCATAATGGAAATCAATAATATTTTATCAACTTGGGTAGCAGTAATTCTGATTGTGCTGTGGTTCTGGTACTAGTCCAACCAGTATTTTAACTGAGCTAATGCAGAATATTCTGTAACATGAGGATTAAAATATTAAAAATCTCTTCACTGTTTTTATTTATTTCTGTGGTCTTAATGAGCTGAATTTAAAATACCAACTGGAATTTTCTAGTGGGCTGTTTGTCTATACCCACTTTTCTTCTTTTTAGTCCTGAAATTCACCCCTTAAATGAGAGAATCTTTTCAGGTAAAGTTTATTTCCTTAGTGACATTTTCCTTGACATAAATATTTTAAAGGGATGTATACTAATCTTTTCTGCATGATAGAGAGAGGAGAAAGAAATGTGTTCTTGGGCCTGATCCAACTCTTGTGTGAGTGTAAACCAAGAGCAACTCTGTGGTGATGGGGAGGAAAGATTCAGACTTGCTTGATTTTTTTTTTTTTTTTTTTTCCTAAGCAGAGGGAAACTTCTATTGTTTTGTTGTTTTGTTTTTTTTTTCCTGATGTTTCCTTTAAATGATGGTCTCTTTTATGGCCTTTGATGCACTATAACACCTGAGGTTACATTTGAACCTCTTGTGGAGCAGAAAACCTCACAGAAGAGGATATGAGTTTTTTAAAATCACATTTGGGACCTTAAGATGTGAGAACAGTGATGCCTGCTATCTATGTGACAGCAGTGGAATGGAGGGATTAGAGTATACATTAAAGTTCTGAAATACCGGTTGGACTCAAAGCTGAGACGGGCATATAGTAGGAAGGATGACTAAGCACAAACCAGATTGCTGGAAGTTGCAACAGTGTTCACATTGAGGGGGAATACTTCTTTCCTGAAACAGCCGGGAAAGAAGTATAAGTGTGTGTCCAAGTAGCTACCCTGTAAAGAAAGCGAACCAGCAGAAGAAGGAGAGTTGAAGCATCAAAAGGCGTTTGAAGGATCCCCCTTTAAACGGGCCGTTTATGAAACCAGATCAGTTGCATCTCCTAGGTATCCCATAAGGCAGAGCCCACAGGGCTTGACTGACTACAAGAAGAGCTGGTAGAGTAGAAGGAAGGGTATGCTGGCAGCCCAAATGAAAAGACTCCCTCCTGCTTTTTCTTTGTTTTTTGATTCCCTCTTGTTGCATTATACAGTACTCAGCCCAACTGAAAATAGCTAAGCTGAATATTTGAATGCCCAGTGGAATCATTCCTAGTGCTAACATATGATTGGTATTGCCTTGATAATGTTCTTGCACAGAGCTGCTTTTGTGGTTTATCTGTTTGGAGCTGACAAAAGGAGAAGTGATTTCCTGCTCTCACATTGCTGTAGCTTCACACCAGCAGCTTTTATAGTCAGAACTCCAGGAAGCAGTTGTGGAATGTAAAGTTGTGGTAAACATCCCACTTAGCAAACTGTGGAGAAGGAAGTGTGTTTTTAATTACTGAAATATTTTATCAAGTGTGAGCCAGATTAAGCAGCAGCATAAGATTTCATGTTTGATTTGAGTGTATGCTCAATTTTATGAATGTGCTGGCATAGTGTGTGCCAACATAGAGCAACCCTCTGTTTGCCTTGGCACAGGTTTTGTGTTATGCTGTGCCTGTGTGCCGAATATCTGAATTCAGAGAAATTCCACTGGAACTCTTCATTTGAACGCATGTAGGCAGTTTTCCGCCTGTCTTCCAAGTAGTGGCTTAAAAGAAAGGCATTTTTCAAGGAGGAATCACTCCCAACTAGTACATGTTTCAGGCTGTTTAATCTGGTCTGCTCCCATCTACTTCCATCATTTTCAGTTTCCTTTCTCTCTTGTATATCAGAAAGACACTGCTTAGGCAACTGGTGTGAATCTGTAATATATGAATGATCTTCCGTGAAACTATCTCCACTGTTGCTTCTAAAGATGAAATAGGCCCTAGTTTTAACCTTCATCTTTCTTGTTCCAGCTAGATGTCACTGACTGGATCAAAAGTTATGCTTTTTATAGACTGATTTAATGAGTGTACATGGATTCAGACTTGATACTGAAGATTCTAAATTACAGTAGAAGTTAAACTGGAGAATAATAATTGCAAATGTTAAAATAAACAAATAAACAAAAAGCTGCATTTAGGAGACAAAGAAGTCAATCTTGTAAGATATGCATCATTGGAAGTTGGTTGTCCAGCAGTCATCTACAATGCAGGATTCCTTTTAGCTCTTGATTTGAATAAAACCTAATGTACCAGGCTAAGGGCTGACTGTATGTGAATCTCAAGAGTTTTTTGAGTGCCTTATAGGTTTCATAGGCATTTAAATTAAGGTACAAAGCTGAACGCTTGGTAAGTATATTGAAGTTGCTTGCTTTTGGCTTTGGATAAACTTTGAATGAGCTGAATTGTCAAAAATACTTCTGACTTGTCTTTTAGTCTCTGAAGGACAGTCAGCTTACTGAATCCGGCACAGATGTACATGACCAGCAACTTTGGCTCTCTGAAACGTTTTCTCCACTCATCCATAAAAATCAGTCAAGATATGAATGGCATTTACTGAAAAACTTGCAGAGCACACATCCAAACTAGAATAAAACTGCCATGCTATCAAATTTAAGCTTGCATTTTCAGCTGTTAAACCTCTTAAACCTCCTTTTTGAAAAGTTTTACTGTGAAAACAAATGCATATAATTTTGGAGGTAGTGCAACTTTGTTTCATCTTTTTGAAGGGATGGAACATTTGGAAAAATGTTTTTATATGCTTTTGAACAATGCTTCTATTTGCTGTTCTAGGAAATAACATTCCGTTTCTTAATTCCATTCTTTAATGTAGTAAGTTAGAATATGGGGGGGAAAAAGGCTGAAAGGGAATAATCAATTTATTCTCTTAAGTTATGTCTACTTGTATGTGTAAAAATAGGGTGGAAAAATTTCACTTTGTGTATTTAATTTCAGGAATGTGTTCTAGGGTTGTCTTAGTCTCATAAAACAGTAACTTCCTGATTTTTAACTGTTGAGTGTTGTAATCAAATGGTCCTTTTTGTACTTTCATAGTGAATTGCAACAGCACAGCCTATTTCTGTTAATAACTATTCATTTGCTAATGCTATGTGCTGCCTTTTGCGTTTATCTTGACAATAGCATGTTCTACTTTAGCCTAAATCCCTACAGCTATGATGAAAGCTGTCTCAGCAGCAGTGAAGACCACATCCCACTGGCTGCTTTGCCCTTGCTGGCTGTTTCATCCCCTCAGTACCAGGACGCAGTTGCCATGGTGATCAGTAGAGCAAACCAAGTTTACAATGACTTTCTCAAATCTACAGATGGAGTTGGCTTTAACGGGCAGGTAGGGCTATTATTTTCTTACATAAAAGAAAAATTCCTTTGGAGCAAGAATATTTTTTTAAGCTATTTCTAATCTGTGTTCGTAGTTTTGAGTGTGAGGGAACAATACTGTAAATCTGATGCATGAACATTAGCTTGGGATTACTTATACAAAATGCCCTCTCAGTACTCAGCATGAGGAAGATTCCCCTTTTGGAATCCTGTGCTGAATCTAACCTGGATTTATTCAGTTGGTAGAAAATACTATACCTTCTCCCACAGGCTTTTTGACACCTAAGCTCTCAGTAATTATTACTATGAACTCTGATAGTATACAGGAGCCTTAGTTGTGTATTAAGAGTGTATTATACTAAGCAATGGACAAGTCTGCAAGCCCAAAACAACTGCTAATCTATGTTTCTGAGTTTGTCACACACCTTCCATAGCTGAAGAGTTGGGTCATCAGTACATCCCTGACAGCAAAAAGAATCCAAAATTTATTGCTTCTTTTTCGCCTCCATCACAGTAGTAATAAAGCATTGACAGCAGAGAAACTCAGAAGATAAATACTCTTTTGCAGATTTCCCATGTAGCTCTGGGATACTCATTTAATTTTTCTGGTATGGTCTGCTCCTCAGGGAAGTCACCTGTTGAATTCTTCCAGCTGACATGTGTCACAGTTATTATTATTCCTGCTTCTCCATCTCTAAACTAGAAAAAAACAGTATTTACCTACTTTAGAATAAATATGTTATGGCTACTCTGTGTGAGTTATTGATGTTTTATGATAGGGCCCTTAGATAGCAAGAAACATTCATTTCCCTAAAGTACAATGACTTCCTGTGTCCATGACACAAGGGGGAAAAAAAGAATTGCATTTGGAGTGCAGTGTAATTCTTGAAGGAAAAACATGTCGAATTACACTTTTTATTTTCCATAACTACAATAAAATTACACTGTGGCATACCAGTATTTTTAGATTAAGCTTTGGTTTAAGCCATTTATAATATCCACAGTAAACTCTTCTTGCCCAAAACACGCAAACAAACGATCTGCAGTGATAGAACGTTATAAAGTTGGTATTATGTGAAAAAGAATTATACCAGTTATGGAAATAATTGTGAAAACAATTCTCTAAATTAAAAATTAAATTTTATGGTCAACAGCAACAAATATCCCTGGTGTTTATTGCAAACTCTATGTTAATATTACATGTACAGAAATTTGTATAAGCTTTTACCATCAACAAGTACCAGGATTGTTTGAATGCAGAAGTGACCTTTCTGCAGGCTACAGTGCCTTGCTTTCGTTCTCAGATACAAATTTCAATTTAGCCGCTAAGTCATGTACTTCTGAAATACATAGTGTATAGCCTGAGCTTACCCTGTGTGTCTTTTATATTTTTGTCTTTTCTATCAGTTTGTATTGAAAGTTCAGTAGATCAGAATCTGTCTTTTTGGTTTTATGCAGCATGTGGATCAACTTAACTCTATTAAGTTAATGCCAATGATAGTGAGGATGAGAATTGGAATGGTAGATTTACAGAAATACCATTAATCCGTACACGAAATGTGTTGCTAATTTTATTAAAGTTCCCAGTGTCTTATTCTTCAATGATCTGGACTTTTTGAGCTGGAATCTGACTGTAATTAGCTGGAAGAATTCTGTGGTCCATTTTCAACAATTCTATGATTATCAAGACGGTCCCTGGGACGGATATTCATGGCATAGTAAATAAGAGGAAGTGGGAAAAAGTGACTACACACTTTAAACTACAGTAGGAAGCAAGATACAAAAAAAAAAAAAAAAGAACAAGGGTTTAAAATGAGTTGGGTATGTTTCTGCAGTTCTATGACGGTTTTTGTTTCTTGTAAAATACTTGCTACATTTCACTAAGTATATTTTTTTACTCCTTCAGGTGTGTCTTGTTGGTGACTGTATTGGAGGCATTTTGGGATTTGATGCCATCTGCTATAATACTAACAGAACCGATGAGAGTCAGAACAGTAGCAGGAGAGGAAGCATCAGCAGCATCCAGGTGAAGAGAAAAAAATCTACTCAGCTGAAGTTCATTCCCTATATATAGATTCATCCCCTAGAGGGGAACTAAGAAATTCAGGTCCATATTAAACAAGAAAAAAAATTTAAGGATTTGGTAAATAACAATGATGGCACAGGATTTTGCTTGTATCTCAAAAAATAATTGCTGTCCGAAAATTAAGTCTGCAGCTTCAGTTTTATGATACATAGAAAGCAGTAATGGAGGCTTTATTAGTAGATCTTTAAAGTAGGACTACTGAGTGTCTTCTGTTACATCCTTAACTGTAGATGTAAATGTATCCTCCCAGTAATCTCAGGGTACTGTTTCTGCCAAAGTCTTTTTTTTTTTTTCCCAGACACTTTAGGATCAATTATGCTACTGCCTAGGGGTAGTCTAACATTAAGATGTGCTCATAAATAAGTTCTACTGACTGATGAGAGATGTGCCTACTTTCTGGTGAAGAATGCAAGTCACCTGAGGTTGGGTGAACAGGTCATTGAGAGTAACAAGGTCTCTAAATGGGTGCTACATTTGGAAATACGAGAAGATTCATTCTCACTGTGATCCAGAAGATATTTTTTGGTAGTAGAAGCACTTTTTTGGGGAGGGGGGGGTTGTTAGGTTTTTTTTTTAACATTGCTGTCATATAAGCTCCATTGTGTGTTCTCCACTTAAGAAGGAAAGCTTGAGTTGAACTAATTTTGTGTACTTTAGACTTAAGTGGATATGGAAGAGTGGTGTTGATACTGAATGAGGTGCCTGTAATCTATTATTTGATGGTTTTATGACGCTAGCTAAATTTTTTCATCTTTTGAATCCTTAGTTACATTTCTCACCAAAAATGGGAGAATGGGGATCAGGATTTAGGAGGACATGTTCTTTGTCTGCACTGTTCTTGCTTATTGTTCCAGTTTTCCTACTTTCTTCTTTTTTCCTACTTTTCTTTTTTTTCTACAACATTGCAGAGCTTCCTTCCCAATTTTTGTCTCCATCTTTTGCCTCTTCTTCTATTTCATTTCTAATGTAACTTCTAAGTTGAGAAGAACTAAGCATTGCATTTTAGAAGAGGAAGATGGTTCTCTCTTGCTGCAACAGCTAAAACACGTTATTTTGAAGCAGACAACCTTCATTAGAACAGATAGAGAAAATTGATGATTTTTACCACATGGATACATAATACATAAAACCCACCTGTGGGTGACTGATTCAGAGCCTAATTATTGATACCATTTCACTGCAGATGAGTTTTTTATCGTGGCATTTGGGGGCACTGAGAGAGCTTCTATCAATGGAAAAACAGATTTTTAATTGTTTGAAATGCAGTGAATAGTCTTTATACTGATCATTTCAGCCTTCTTCTAATGTACTACCTGGTGTATTTTTAAGTGGTTTAGTGTGTTTTTCAGAAGTGTTTCTTGCTCCCTGATAGGGCTAAAACAGGTGCTGAGTTGGCCTAGTTTCTAACCCTTTCAACCAATGCTTGGATAAAATGAGGTCAAATGTATAAATGCATCCCATTTGTATAAGCTCTGTTGAATTTCAATCCCTGTCTAAATCTTTTTGCTCTGTTCATTCTCTGAAGGATAATCCCCTTTTAACAGAGGACTCCAGTCTGGGTGGCAGGAAACAGCTGAGCAAAAGCAATATTGACATCTCAGAAATCATGGAGGATGAAGAGCCAAGACAGCTGTTGCCTAGGAAACAGAGTGACTCATCCACCTACAACTGTGATACTATAACAAATCATCATGCTTTCCTATCTAGGTAACTAGTGTGTGGTGACTGAGTAAAAGAAATAGGATTGGCACTCATTCAGCTTGTCAGCACTGGAGGGGCAGAATCATTGCTCTTGGTTCTGTTGTGTTTCTAGAGGTTTGCTTAAAGTTCTTGCAAATATCCTCCAAAGAAAAGACATAGATTTAGTGGGTTTGGTATGAATTTACTCACGAGTTTTTTATTTTTTACTCAGCTGTGAGAGTTTTGAATATTCAAAACTAAATGCAAGTTTCATTTCTTCAGAAGAACCCACAGAAGTCAAGATGGATGAATGCTTTATAATTCTGAATTTGTTACTTTTTTTTTTCTAAACACACCTTGGACTCCCCTTGCAGACTTTCCTTTATTCTCTAAAGAGTAAGATGATTGGTTTTGCTGTTCCATTGCTCTGCAAGCTCCAGACTATCTTTAAAGCAAAACAACAACTAAAACTAAGTAAATGTCTTGCCTAATGGAAGGAGGCTGGGGGCAAGATTTAACATAATTAACTTATTTGTGTCCTAACAAATATATAGCCATTCCTATGCATGTATGGCATAGAAACTAAATAAGCGTTTTAATTATTTACAAAATGAAAAGCTATGCATAAGGCATCACTGTAACTTTTTAATACCATTGTCCTAATACAAGTTGAGGAGGCTCAAATTCATATTAGAAGTTTCAGAATAAGCTTAAACGCATCTATACAGCTAACAGGAAGAAGAGGCAATTTTTCAGCTTTTAGAGTTCTTGCATAACTTGCTGATAAGTATTTCAACAGTACAAAGCTTGCGCATGTTAAAGGTAATAAATTTAATATCCACACTGGAAATCATGATAAGTGGCTGTTATACTGTAATTATCTTTCTACAATTTAAGGCATGTTTCTTGAATCTAGATGTGGGTGGTAGAGCTTTATAATCTACCTGTTTGGGGAATGCATTTTTTCTCTGGATTCATTGTAGTTAAGTCAGTGTATTTTCTTTGCTCAGCATCCACTCAAGTGTGTTGAAAGATGATGCAGACTTTCTTCCTGCGAATTCCAGTCTCTCAGATGTAAATCTGGGCCGGTTTGATTTTGAGGTGTCTGATTTCTTCCTCTTTGGATCACCACTTGGTTTGGTGCTGGCCATGAGGAGTACTGTTCTGCCAGGCCTGGATGGTAAGTTCTTTCTAACATTAGAATGCAGGATGCTTAATGACTTTGTAAACAAAGAGGTTATTTTAAAAGCAGGTAAATAAAGAAATCTAATGTAAGTCTGGGGTATGATTTCCTACTTCAAGGGTTCCTTCTTCTAACAGATGGGAATGTACTAGTGCAAGCTAGTACTAAGACATTAGATGATGGAGTTTTAATTCCAGCAGTGTCACTGCTCACCTGTTCACAGTAGTGTGTCATTTGTCCTGCTGCTGTTTGTATATATTCCTCACCGTGTAAAGTGAAAGTTTTTACTTGACCAAGGAGTAATCCTTGAAAATGATACCAAAAATAGCATCTGTGCTTGGTTTAGTATTTCATCTTGCTCATTTCTGGCCTCATGACTGAACTTGGTCCCCGGATGTGTTGGCTGTGAGCTGTTTTTAACAACACAGCGGGAGAGTTTGCTCAGAAGTTATATATTTTGTGTGCAGTCTGATTACATTCTTTTGAATACTGTGCTGCATGTGAAAACGTTTGTATGTTCGAAAATGCCACAATCACTTTTATAAGTTATTGTTGGCTATATATAAACATATCCTTTTAAAAGTAACTTTGGAATCTGCTTTCCTGAAATTTTAAATTGCATATAGGATCATTGGAAGACTGGGAGCTCTGTCTGGTTTTCTTGTCTGCTGCATGCCTGCATCTCAGGTTGTAATGTCCCTGTAAACTTTTTTTGCAACAAGTTGTTACTCATGGAGGTAATTGTAGATTATTTTTCTTAAATTTATCGTGGCCAGATATGTGCAAGTTTGGATTGCAGGAGTCTGTATTAACTGTCTTTGTGCATAGACTCCTTGAAAATGTTAAAGTGGCAATTCCAAACTCTCTTTCTCTCTTTCATTCTCATTGAAGTTTGTCAGGTTCGCCCAGCCTGCAGCCAGGTGTACAGTTTCTTTCACTCTGCTGACCCATCTGCCTGCAGACTTGAACCATTGCTGGAGAAAAGATTTCATCTCCTGCCTCCATTCGGTGTTCCACGATACCAGAGACACCCACTGGGGGATGGAAGATCTCATCAGTTAGGTATAGTACCTATTTTCAAAGCTATGTTTATTTAATGTCCTCTTGACACTGCTCTCCTTACAGCTCAAGAGGATTTGAACTACAAATATACTAGCATGATAAAAGTAAGTAATCTGGGACAGAATGGCACAAATATATTTAGCAAGTATTGAAAGAAGACAGGAAAATTCATTTATATATATATATATGTTATATATATATACGTTTCTTTATTTTATTTTTGTTTTATTCTATTTCTATTATTGCAGGTGATGCTATCCAAAACTACAGTGCTCTGTTCCTTGAGAACAGCTCTTTGAACATAACTCACTCTCAGGAGAGTTCTGAATCTACGAACACATCTCAGAAACAAGAGAGAAGGTTGAGCTTGGCCAGCACAAACAGTGAAAACTCAGGGTCAGCAGAGAGCTTGTCATCAGCATGCCTCACCAACAGTGAGTGAAGCTTGTTGCAATGTGCACAGCAAAAGCCATTCCCACTACATCAGAGATGAGTTCCTAATCATTCCAATTATTAGGAAAATGAATTTCTTGAAAATTTGAGGAGGTTAAGTTGTTGTGTTTTTTAAATAACACAACTTAGCTTGCTCTATTGTTCGTAGTAATGTAGGTGAAGTAATAGAAATGAAGTTCTTTATATAGATGCTTATATTAAGGTGACAGTCAAAGTTATTAAGGGTTTCAGACAAACTTGGGTTTAGAGCGATGGTCCACGCATGAAGGAAGATACATAGGTAAGAATAGTTTCTCTTAAGTGCCATAGATCATTATATTCTTCTTTTACAGACTGTAATGCTATATTAATACTATCATCACTATTTGGAAAGTATTTACGATTCTTGCTATATAATATGATCATAAAGTTAACTAGTTTTTCTGTGTATGCTTTTTGTGGGCCAGGAAGCAAAGGGCATGGTGACCTCTGCTTCCTAAAACTTGCAAAGCAGTTTAGACAGCAGAATTTCAAGGGATTATGAAGTTGGTGAAAACAGAACTTCTGTGTTAGAATGATGCTTTCAACAGGCTCTAAATGTCAGTATTAAAAAAGCGGAAGGCTTCATTCTGTTATCTAGTTTATACATTTAAACAGCAGATTTGTTATGAAGACATCTTTTAGAAATGTTATGCTTCTTTTTTTTTTTTTTTTTTTTTTTGTAGTTACTGCTAAGTGGTGGGGAACAAAGCGGATTGATTATGCCTTGTATTGTCCAGATGTCCTGACAGCATTTCCAACTGTGGCCCTGCCACATCTTTTCCATGCCAGCTACTGGGAATCAACAGACGTCGTGGCATTCATTTTAAGACAGGTTGTTGATGTTTCTTTCTCTCTCCACAATGAAAGAATTCTCTAATTTAGAGGGAATAAGGAAAAATGAGGAGACTGAAGTGTGTAAGAAAAGACTGTTTATTACCAGTCTCTCCTGTAACTGTACTAGTATGTTTATAGGCATTGTGTGCACTATCTCCTTAGAATTCATTTCTAAGGCATGTGATGTCTCTTTTATTCCTGGTGTTTCAGTTTTTAGATCACAGCTGTCAGTGACTAGGAGATGATTTGTGCTGTGACCTCTAGAGAAAGTGATGAGGTTGAGACATCTCACCTGGGTTGAAAATAATGTAGTGATATTTGAGTGTAACCTGCAGTAAAAGTGTCTCTCCAAGAAGCCAAGGTGATCCTCCTGTAGAATCCAGTTATAAACATTTTAATTTGGATTAACCCAGAAATCAGTGTATCTTTTATCCAGTGAAAGATTTTTCTCTTCAGGGCTTTAGATAATTGTACATAGATGTTTTTCCTCTCCTTTGCAGCTTTCTTAATATCTTTGTCATCTCTTCCTTTCTCTCAGGGCATTTTTCGTTTGTTTGCACCTTAAGTCCATCAGAATATTTTTGCATCTCCCCTTCCATGTGCCTCCCTAAGCATGCTTGTCTATCAGTAATCATTCCTGATTTATTTTCCCTGCATTCTGTGCATCTGTGTTAAGTTGCAGTGTTATGTCTTATTAAGTCTTATGTGCATTAAAGCTTTTAAATTTTTTACGCTTAAAATATATGCACATTCAGGCATTTTGGAACGTGTCTCTAAAGTAATGTGAGCTTGCAGCATTGCATAAAAGACTGGTTAATTCCAGCATGTGCTGGACATTCTGCCTTGATGGATGTTAAGGTGAATGCCTTACATGCATATATATTTCCTATACTTGCCCTCTGGTGAATGGAATTTATGTCAATTTATTAAAAACAATACTGACTCCTCAGGATTATTCTGATCAGTGGCAAGCCAATTAGCTTTGCTGAAACTGAGTGCAGCAGGATTTTATTCAGCAGACTTCATAAGAAACAGCTTTCAAAGGATTTCAGGACACCGTTCCAGAGAGGGCACCAAGGGTGTTAACTACGGCATGGAAAACTTCAGCATAGCCATCTGTTCAGTTCGATTAATTTTCTACTAGCTTTTGAAATGGGCAGACTAAGCTATTTCTCATTCAAAATGAAGTAGCTTCATGCTACCTGTGGTCCCATTATGGAACCAGAAGCCCTGTCTTATTGAAACTTGTCAGTTGGCACTGATATCTATCTGAGTTGAACATACAAATTTGTTGGCGTGTGACATTTATGTCATAAGAAAATGTAATTTGCACAATATTATTGGGTTATGCATGTCCACAAACTACAGTCCTTTTACCTTCAGATGTTACTAGCCATAAGCTAAATCCTGACCCTGCTGCCTCTTGCAGTGGTGAGTAATATAAATAAAAGGTGATAAGAAATGTTGTCTGACTGTCTGTTTAAGTACAGAAAATCAACACAGAAGGAGCCAGGAATCTGACCTCTGTTCAAAATGCCATTAACCAATACTTCTGTGTTCCTAAGCTGCCTTACTGACTTAGCAAAGAGGAAACAATGTCACTATTTCTTGATGTCATCCTAATGTTTTTACCACTTTTTCTGGATTTGTGTGGCTAAGGGAAGGATGTTAATATTAAAGAACATGTGGAAAAGCTGTTTAATACCTGAACTTACCCTTACAGATGAATAAGCGACTTTTGCTCTGTTGCCAGCACTTAATGTAACAATATGGCCTGTATCTTTGTTTTGCTTGTGCTGTTTGCTCTGCAGTGTCACTCAGCTGGGACACCAGTATAACTTCTTTTTTTGTCAAGTGCAGGGCTCCCCAGGCAGCACATAGTTTTTTAGAATGTTAATATCATTTCAGGTGATGAGATATGAAAATGTAAATTTCAAAGAAAATGATAGCCTGGATCCCGCAACACTAAGCCCATCCAATCCACGAGAAAAATGGCTACGCAAAAGGACGCATGTCAAATTGAGAGTAAGTATAAATCTGAATATCCAGGGCAGCTATGGAAATTGAGTTGGGCAGCAATTTAAGTGGAGCCTAATCTCCCAAAGCATGAATTTTACTTAACTGCAAACTACTGATACAGTCCAGAGGCGATCTAGCAGTTAGGAAAGAAAAGGAATTTATTCTTGGTTTATCATTAGAATTTTTTTTCCCCCAAATGCATGAAGGACCTGTTAAGCACAGGTTGTTATTCTGTTTTCTTATATGCTGGATTAATTCATGACCCAAGAAAAAAATATTTTCTTCTTTCTTTAGATGCCACGAGCTTAAGTAATAAATGAAAAAAAATTCACATATTGTGAAATTTCATTTGGAAGTCACGGAGCTTCTGACTATTCTTTTGCTGTAGAAAAATGACCCCACTAAGTTTCAGATAAATTTTTAACAAGTATTGAGTAACACTGTATGTGTTAGTATGCACTCCAGAACACAACGGGTTGAAGCATGATCATCAGCAAAAGCTTGTGTCCTGTGTATACTAAAATGTATACTCAGTTTGAAAGTATTGCCAAGTTGTAGATATTCTTCCAGCACCAGCATCAGTTAAAGCATTCTTGTGGGAGATTTGCTTTTATGCTCTGATTTTATTAAAAATTCTGGTTACTAAAAATATGGGAAAGTGCCTCACAGGATGAATGCCTTGCATGTGATAATATCACTCTATGGCACCATTTGTACTGAAGGATAATTGGCATTCCCTTAAGTGTACTCTCCTATATAGTTAGAGTCTCTATAAAGATGCTCTCTTACTTCGTCATCTTGGATGTTCTCAGTGGTGTCTTTATTCAGTAACACCCCCATTAATGAGGTCCTGGCTCTTGCTGAAATAGAAGTCCAGTCTTGTTAGGGTCTCTAAGGTATACTGGGAGTTCCTCAAACACACTGGGACTGTGTTTCTTTATCACTGTGCTTAACAACATAATAGAGACAATAGCCTTACATAAAAACTGACACTTCCCATCTTTTGGTCTCATTTCAGAATGTGACTGCTAATCATCGAGCAAATGATGTAATTGCTGCAGAAGATGGTCCTCAGGTACTTGTTGGACGCTTTATGTATGGACCTCTGGACATGGTAGCTTTAACAGGTGAAAAGGTAAAGATCAAGTATTCTATTTCCTTATTTTTTTGTCAAGTGACATACAGATAGTTGTTGAATATAATGCATATGTGGTTCATAATACCAGAGAGAGCCTTACAGAGAGAGGGAGTACATAACTAGCATCCCACCATGCTGTAAGCACACTTTTTGGTAGATTGCATTTTTTCTAGCTACAATCGTTTTTATATGATGCTGGACATCTCCTCTGCTTAATGAAGAATATGCTATGCAGTGATTTCTGAACCTGTCATCTGTTCGCATCATCTACTGGAGATGATTAACTTGAGCAAGGATAAAAAAGAATTGAATAGCAGTTGGCAAGTCACTTAAAGAAAAGTGTATATCCTCCTTTCAAGGTAAGAGAACTGGATAAAGGAACTGGGATTCTAAAGTTTGGGTAGCTGCTGTTTCTCATATACATGGAAGAGTAAAGAGTAGTTTTAGAATTTCAGTGATGTGACGTAGCTGGATCAGTCTGTGCTCTTAAAGCTTACTGCAGTAGCCAAGTTTAAAACTAACAAAGCCAAATAAATATTGAGTGAACTCATTTGGTCACATTCAGTGAGACTAAGAATTTTTAATGGAAATTAATGTAGCAGTTGTTGCTGAGCTGTAGGTAAAACAGAAGCGGAAACTTCACTTTGCCTGTTCTGAAGGTTTAGTATGCAAAAACTTAATATACACATACAGATATAAATGATCTTGTTTCTGCTTTGAGGTTCCTGCTGAATTCCTGAGCTCTGTGTTTTCTTGATACCTTCAGTACTGAGTGTTTCAATTGATCAAGGCAATAATGAACTCCTGTACTGTGTGTTAGGAAGCATTTTCTGGTTGCGAGGACCCCCTGAGAAGTTTCTGAGTTTTAAGTCTCCTTCAAACTTGCAACCTTTGGTTACGAAACACAAATTAAGATGATAATATGATGCAGGCTTGGCATGCCATGTTCCTAAGGTGGCAAATAATATTGCCCACTATCACATCAGATGACTGTTGTGTTGGTTTTGCAGGTTGATATCTTCATAATGACTGAACCATCTTCTGGTAGGTGGGTGTATTTTGACACAGAGATATCCAACAGCAGTGGCCGGATATCCTACAGCATACCCAAACAGAAGAGACTGAGAGTTGGTGTATATCCCATCAGAATGGTGGTCAGGTAATAGTTTGAAGCTGATACTACAGCTTTTATGGGCTCTTGTGATCAGGAAGACACTGATGTGTAGGATAGAAGGGGGTATGGAGAGAGATTTTGGTCAGTTCTAGATTATGCAGCAGACTTCTATGTGGCCTTAGGCAAATGATTTAATTTCTTTGCACGTCAAGTCTCCAGTGACAATTCTGTTTATCTTTCCTTGGTCTTTTTCCTATATTATTAGCTTAGATTTGAAGCAGCGACTGTGTGCATACTGGCAGCTTAAAGGTGTTCAGTCCATTGGGTTTTATCCCTCCTGCAACATAAATCCTCAACATACTTCAATTTAGTGACATTTGGACTTGCAAAATTGGGGAGACTGAGTGACTGTAATCAGTCCTCTTAGGGCAAGAGTGTGTGACTTGGGTTTTTTCAGAGCTTCTTCACTGAGGAGAAGATTATTGATGGGTATGGTTGTGCATTCTTCAGTAAGAAGCTTCTCCTGTTGACTTGAACAGTAGAGCATGTACTGCCTTCTTCTCAGCCAGCTATTTATATGTTGATGGCAGGCTGATTGTAAGAGCCATTTTAATTCTGTACTTCAGAATTATATACTATAATTCTGTAAGACCATATTTGTTCTAAAACTGAGGGAAGAAAACAGCACTTGAAAGTAACAGTTCATTGAAATAAATTCTCCTGGCTCTCCAGCACTTAAAAAAACCAACCAAACAAAAAAACCAAACAACACAAACCAACTCTGTGGTAAGTCAAGTATGAAGAATGAAAAGGTGTGAAATAAAATTTGTTGGCACAGGACTAGGGTAAGCTGTGCTTTTAAAAATTCTTCTGTTTAATAAAATTCTAGTAGAGATAAGTTGATGTCTGTAAGCAGGTGGATGCCAATAAATGATGCATATCAGTTTTTTCATTGTAATTTTTAATAATTTGCCAGTAATTATAGACTGTTGGGGAAAAAAATATAGCTAATTTCTGTGCAAAATGCATGTATGTACACAGAGCATTAGTGTATTATCTGTGTCTATATATATAGACGACGTTAAAAGTTTAAGTTCTTCAATATTGTTTGTTCAAAATAAATCATATATTTGTATGAATGTGATGTCTTATTAAAGTCAGCTTCCAAATTTCTTGTTTGGAAAGTTATTTCCTAAAAGTATAGGCTTTAATTTCCCCATAAAGGACTGAAATGAAAAGTCCTGTTTAATACAGATTGTTGAAGGTGCAGATCCAGTCAGAGCTAGTACAAGTTCTTAACTAGAACATGCAGAAAATATTCTCATTTTTAAAAAAGATATATTGCTTTCAATCTCCAGAGGGGACCAGAGCAGTGCCACAAGCTACCTGACTGTGCTTCCCCGAGGAATGGAATGTGTTGTGTTCAGCATTGACGGTTCATTTGCAGCAAGTGTTTCAATAATGGGAAGTGATCCCAAAGTCCGAGCTGGGGCTGTCGATGTTGTAAGGTGAGCATGGCTTGCATGCTTCGCTTTGTAAATTTCTAACTTTTCTGTTAGAACACAAGAGGACAGAAGAGGGCAGAATAGATTTTTTTTACTAAATATACAAAAATTCTTCAAAGGGTAGAATGTTTTGCAGATATGTTTGCATATTTACTTGGACAACAATTGTTCCTGGTTTTCAGAGGAATCTTAGAATGCTGCGGTTTACTTTACAATTTGTGCGTTAAGTTGCATAAAGATTGCTTTTTGAGAATATGATGTTAAAGTGAGCGTAATGAATTTATAATGATTTCATTTGTTACTGTGATTAGCAAAGAGTGTATTTTATGTTTTGTCAGCTTCAAATAAGGACATAATTCTGCTCCTGAATGACAAAGTGCCATGAATGCAAGAGCATTTTCTGGAGGAAAAGTTAAAAGACTCTTAATTCGGTCTTGCAGTTCTTGCAGTGCTGCAGTGGGCAAAGAAATACAGCGCTCGTTTTGGAGCTCATGGGAAAGGAGGGATGCCAGTTCTCAAGAGTTTTCCATTTCCGACAGCTGAAATCATGGGGAATCTCATTATAAATTTCAAAGATAGTAGAACTTGAGATATAGTTCAAGTTCATAGAATCATAGAATTGCTTAGGTTGGAAAAGTCAAGATCATCAAGTCCAACCACAACCTAACCATACTACTCTAACAACTCACCACTAAGTCATGTCCCTGAGCACCACATCTAAATGGTTTTTAAACACATTCAGGGATGGTGACTCGTCCACCTCCCTGGGGAGCCTGTTCCAGTGCTTAACTACCCTTTCTGTAAAGAAGTTTTTCCTGATATCCAACCTAGATCTCCCCTGTCACAACTTGAGGCCATTTCTCCTCATCTTTTCACCTGTCACGGGTGAGAAGAGACCCCTGCTCTCACTGCAATCACCTTTCAGGTATCTGAAGAGAGCAGTAAGGTCTCCCCTCAGCCTCCTCTTCCCCAGACTAAACAGCCCCAGTTCCTTTAGTCACTCCTCATATGCCATATTTTTCAAGCCCTTCACCAGTCTTGTTGCCCTCCTTTGGACCTGCTCCAGTACCTCCATGTCCTTTCTGTATTGAGATGCCCAAAACTGAACACAGTTCTTGAGGTGAGGCCTTACCAGTGCCAAGTACAGGGGCAGGATTACGTCCCTAGTCCTGCTCACCACACCATTCCCGATATAAGCCAGTATGCTGCTGGCATTCTTCACATACTGCTGGCTCATTCAGCTGACTGTCCATCAGTACACCAAGGTCCCTTTTCATCCAGCAGCTTTCCAGCCACTCCTTCCCAAGCCCATAGAGTTGCTTGGGGTTGTTGTGAGTTCATAGCTTTTAAGTTTTTATGAGTCTCATACTGTATGAGACTGGTCTGTTGCTTACTTTCCTCCATCTCTCCCAAGAGGAAGATTTTATTACATCATTTCTCAATAAGTGCAGATACTTAGGCATGTTGATTCACACCTGTTGAAAGATCTTGTCTGATTGGGTCTGTGCCAGGCAAAGAAATACTGATGTGACTTGTGGGCATTAATTTATTTTTCTTCACCTATATAATTTATCTGTTGCTTGTGACAGACATTGGCAGGACCTAGGATATCTGATTATCTATATTACTGGCCGCCCAGATATGCAAAAGCAGCGTGTGGTTTCATGGTTATCTCAACACAACTTCCCTCAAGGAATGATCTTCTTCTCTGATGGACTTGTTCATGACCCGCTGCGACAAAAGACTATTTTTCTACGGAATCTCATGCAAGAGGTACGTACTAGAAACATGTTGATATTCTTGAAACCTTTTTCTAGAAATTGTCATTCATTGAAGTAAGAGCTCTCTTCCTTTGGAACAGTAAATCCTACTGCTGTTATATTTTGTCATTCCTCGTGTCTTTTCTTACTTTTCAAAGAGCAAAGATGGCTAACAAAACATCCAAATGCACCTCCTGGCATGTGCTATTACAAATAAATAAATGACTTGCTCTTTCCTGTCTGCCTATTCATAATTTTGCTGTCATTCAGATAGACAGATTTGGCTGTGTCTGCTTTACAGAAATGTTAACAGTGAGTTTACGTGCTGCTTCAGTGCAGAACAAGTTCCATCCCTGTATTGCATGCTTTTTGGTAGTCAGAGTATTCACTCTGGAAGTAATACTTGTTTCAGTGCCACATCAAAATCTGTGCTGCATATGGTTCGACAAAGGATATTTCCGTTTACAATGTCTTGGCTCTGTCGCCATCCCAGATCTACATAGTTGGACGATCAACAAAGAAATACCAGGCACAATGTCAAGTAAGTAACTTTTTTTTTTTAAGCTACCTAACTAGGAAGTCTTCAGGGGAGCAGGGAAATGCGTCTGTGTTAATGTGTGCATGCACACACATGCATGCACAGACTCACAAAATAAAGAGCAGAGAATATTTCAGAGGAAAAAAAGGCAGTTTTGGCCTCAGAGGAGACGTTTTATGGCAGAGTGAATGATAAAGAGAATTGAATGGTCACAAGTTGTACCTGCAAGTGCATGCATAGCATATTCTTGAACAACAAAGTTGAAGAATTCATTGAAAATAAGAGCAAGAGGAGTCTAATATTATTCTTTTGTATATCTCAAAGTAGGCTGCCAAAGATAGAAACTTGTCTCCTCATAGAGTCTATAGGTTGAGGCAGCAGTAATTTGTCACTCCCTTTCTTTCCTTCATATTTCAGTTCCTCAGTGAGGGTTATGCAGCCCACTTGGCCTCACTGGAGTTCAGTCTTCATTCGCGATCCAAAAAGAACAACTCTCGGATGATCTTGAGAAAAGGCAGCTTTGGCCTCCACTCTCAACCTGAATTTTTGCGCAAGAGAAACCATCTCCGCAGGACTATGTCTGTACAGCAACCTGACCCACCTTCTTCAAACCCCAAACCAGAGCGTGCCCAGAGCCAGCCCGAGTCAGACAAAGATCATGATAGGCATTTGCCTTCCATTGCTTGGGTTAGGGGTGGAGTCCACAAATTTGAATCTGTTCCCTAGGAAGCCTGAGGCTGTAGATTTTGGGTGCCCTCCATTTAACTTGTAGTCATGCCTCAAAGGTAGAAAGGCAGCTTCAAACTAAGAGGTGTAGAGGGGAATCTGTACCTCAGACTCTTCCCTGCTCTGAAAAATGCCTTCTTTACACCAACCAGAGAACTTCCAGTTTGTTCTCTTGACGTATTGGGAAATTTTAAAACAATCTAAAACTATCCCAAGTGCTTAAACATTAAAACAACAGGAAAAAAAGTCTTCAGTTATTTTTTACAACAGATACAATAAAATGTGCAATAAGAGAAAAAGCTGCTACAGGCTTTTTACTCAGAAGGATTGTAGTATCAGCTAACTAGCTACACCCAAAACAATATAAACAGTAGACCCCATAGGTTACAGAGAAAGTTTACACTTAAAACATTAAATAGTTTCATCTGTTGCCAATTCACTTTTGATGAAGCGATATATTTGTAAGGGAAGCAGAGGTGAGAGTACAAAAATGGGTCATCAGGATTTGTACAGCAAGATGATTTTTGGGTGCCTTGAGTCCAAGATTTCCTTTCAGCTTATACTGTTGGTCAACAGATGCTAACACAGGCACTCATGCTGTATAAGGTGCTGGACATCAAGTAAATAGAACTCTGCCTGTGAACCAAATCGTAAATACTTAATGTTAGAAATAAACATCTCTGCCACAGTTGGAAGTAGTTAGTGTTGCTGTATGCAAAGTGATGTGCAAGTGTACAAAACTGTGATTTTTGTGAAACTGGTGACTGTGTAAAATGTGTGAACTGTGTGTAAGGAGGTGTCTCTGACCATTTCAGACTGAGATAGATTCTAAGATGGAAGCCTTAAGGGAGCCTTTTCACTAAGGGGTCTGCAATCTGCAGAGTAGTCACTTTTTTCATTATTCTAACTAAAATCTTTAATCTGCAGGATGAAAGAGTAATAAATGCTAATGGAGTAAATTATTTACCTTCTCATGCTTGATAGCAAGTGCTCTGCTAAGACAATCTATAGCAATCAAAATTACAACAGTTGAGCTTCAAAGAATGGAGGTGCCAAATGTGTGTTCTCCTTCTGGTTTCTCTTAGATCTTTTACTTATTAGAAGTAAAATGTGTGAAATTTTCTCTAGGTGATAATATTTCTAAACTAAATGTTGTAGTTAGTTTAACACAGCTGCAGTTTGCTAGTTCATTATGCATCTGTTTCCACTACACTAAATTCACCAACATAACTTTTGTGATAGAACTGATATATGTTTCAAAACCTGTAGTGAAATCGCTAGAGCAAAAAAACAGTTTTCTTTTAAAGTTAAAATCAGACTGTTGACCCTGAGAAAGCTTGAAGTCAACAGGTGATTTCTTGAGCTGTTTCTGGATTTGGTTTCTTTGACTTCCCTCCCTCAGTTTTTTGGCACCAGGGGGAAGATGTCATCATCCCCATCCTCCCTTTTAGGTTTTTCTAATATATAGCTGGAACAGAAACAAACCTGTTGGTTAATGAGTTCAAAGTTGGTATGTAAAACAAAGAAGGAATGCAATGGAAAACTATGATAACAGTGCACAAGTCCAATAACTCCCTGTTCACACAAAAGTTTCAGTGTGCTTTTTGAAGGACAACCTTGTGGCTTTTGTCTTAAAAGGCAACCAGCAAACTAATATATAAATGATGGTGATTGCTGTTGGGTTTTTTTTTAAGCTTATCACTTAGCAAATTTTTGAGTTACCTATTTCATACATCCTGAAAGATCTCTGGCACATCAGTAGTTTTTCATAATGCTTCTTGTAAGGGAGGGGGTAATTTTTTGCTGAAAATTTAGGAAGGATGTTAAGACTTTAGTAGCTCACGTTCATTAGGAAGAGGTAACTTACGTTACTGGAGCCTGGGGTTTTTAATCTCTGCTGACAAGGTAGTCAGCTGCAAAAGCTAAATGAACTACACTGAAGCAGTCTTCAGGCTTACAGTTTTCCCAGTAGTTTCATAGCTGTTAAAGCCATAAATTTAAAGTAGTTTTCAATGTTTTATCGAGGTCCACTGTGTGTTTTTATTCTGATTGTGTCCATTTCTTTCCTTAGCCTCTGCAGCTAGGAAGAGATTGCACAAGGTATACCAGAAAGCATACTTCATCTTCCTCCAGTCAGTTCACTGCTTGCACAGGTACCAGAGAAGATATTAGAGCAGGGAAGGCTTCTTATCGTACTGATGAGGTTTTCTTTCCTGCTGCTGATCTAGGAAAGAAAAAAAGCTGGTAGCAAAAATGCACATCTGACGTTTATGTCTGTGCTCCTTTTCCATTAAATATATCTTGCTTTAACAGGTAGCAAAAAAAAAGAAAAAAAAGAAAAGAAAGAAAAAAAGATGCCCAGAGTACATCCCCTGAAAAGCCTAGCCACAGTAGCACAATGTCTGATCAATATGTAACTGATATTACAGAGCAGTTTTGGCAGCCTCCTAGGAAAACAAACATTCTTTTTTCTTGTGTTTCAATGACTGGCAGTTTTGACTCTTGCCAGAGCAAGCCCAATGGAACGTAAGTATTTCAAGCATGCTCATGGTTGTTGGTTTTAAAAAGGTGAATGAATTGAAGAGTGGAGGAATGCAAAGAGCAAACTTGAAATTTGCTTAGAGGATGTAAAGTCAACACTGAATGCAGAATTTGAATTTACTTTCTTAAGCACTGGGTGCTGGGTAGCATGTCTCCTCATAGAAATCACTATACCTACTAGTATTAGCAAAACTAATTCTGCTTTAGCTGTCTACCTCTGTGAGCCAGGAGATGCCAAAATCCATTTTCTGATTTAAGTTGCTAACATAAAAAGACCTACTTCCTTTCAAAAGAGAGATGTGTGTGATTCTGTGACTGTTGTTAAAAGACTTCATATGAACACAAGGTTAGATGACTCTCCCAGGTTGTTTATTTTTTTTAGCCACTGTGTTGGTTCTATATTTGTATATACAGTGTATTATGAGTTAAAATTAGTAAAATAAGAAGTGCTACTCTTCATGCTTGATTTAGAGTGGTAACAATTCAGTCTCTAAACATAGTACTGGAATTCAGCTGGAAATATTTTCCCTAACATGGTCGTTTCATCATGCCAACACTGCTTAATGCTCAGGGATAGTATGGTTCATTGCCTGATAGCATGCCTCCATCTGAGCACTTTGACAAACAGTGATGCAGGCATCAGTTTGGAGGTTAAGGCTTCAAGCTTATTTGGAGCTTATCTTCACAAACATCAGATGCATTTCTTTTGAAAGCACTAGCCAGCTGACACTAAAATGGTACAGAATTTTTGTTGGAGATAAGACTGTGAAAGAGGTAGTAATGATTTAGGCATCTCACAGCTAAGTTTGCAGTTCAGTACTCTTGTGGACATGGCTAAGGATTTCAATTTCTTGGGCTTTTTTTGGCCTTTTATTCCCCAGTTATATATAGGACAATCCCTGATGAATTGCTAGTTTTTTACAGCATATTTTCTTCAATCCCATTTTCTCCTGGAACACTTGCTTCTAATCAATGCTTTAGTTTTATACTTTGTCTACATAAAACCACATGGCTGTTCACGGGCATTCATTTTCTATTGAGATTACAGTTTCACTTCTCTTATCATGGAGGCTTAATCAGTCCTAAGCAGGCCACTCACTGAGGTCCAGCATGATCTTACAGTCTTTCAGTTTTCTACTGTTCCTCACTGCTGCATTCTCTGTACAGTCAGCACTTTCTTTTAACCTTATAGTCTGTGGAAGTTTTGAAGCCTCTCCACAGAAGGGAAACAGAGAAGCTGTATATTACAGAGAAGCACTTACACTTGATCTGCCAAACAGAAGAAGCAGAAATGAAACTGTGAAACACAGAGCTGTTATTTCAGTGAGCGCTGAAGCGGTAGTACAAGTCAGTACAAAGTAGGCCACACCTGAAAGCACTTACTTCTTTGAATTGTTGATGTATGTCCAGTTTTAAATTACTGTATTAAACAAAAACTAAAAACTGTAATCAGTGCCATTTTAGACTTATCAAGATTTATCTGAGATATTGTGAAAACACACATTTACACTGTGGTGTCTTTCTGTAACTACTGAAAGCAACCTTAAGTGATGTTTTGTTTCTGCTTTCACAGCAAAATTGTAATTTTTTTTTTAAACAATGATTGTGTTTATTCAATTAAAAAAATATTTGCATACACTAGTGCACTTGGAACAGGTTCTTGTTTGCCAAATTACATCGATTTAGTTTTGTGGCATGGTTTATATCTATTCTGCATAAAAATTTTGTAAAATTGACATGGCACTGATCATTCCTTTCATTCCTTAGAGATTCGTGAGAGTTGCTATTTTGATTTGTTTGAATGAAAATAGTCTTTAATTCTTACATATCACTTTTCTACTACGTAGGGAAGTCATTTCTAAACAAAATTAAAATTTTTTACTCGTTATGTAGAAGTGCAGCTATCAGAAAACCACAGAGAAATTAACTTGATACTTTCATCTACAATTAAAATAAGAACAGTGACATTTATCTTGAAGATCCACCATTTTGCAAAATAGCCTGTTTGCTTTTGTTAGTGAACACATTGTGTTATTTACACATTGCAAGATCATGGCACAGCTAATATGTGTATTAAAGTTAATCCCCCATAGTTAAGGCTGTAGAATTACCATATATTTCACAGTATAAATTCAGAAGGGAAAAATGAAATTCCTCCTCCTTTTATATTGCTTCCTGTCCTAAATGTGTTAAAAACTTCATTTGAAAGCATTCTTAATTATACCAGAAAACCAAAGGTATTTTCAGCTTTTATAATTTGTAACTGCTGCAATAATTTTTACTGAACAGATAGGATTTCCCACATTTTTCCTCCTTTTGCCTGTAAGCTACAGATGGTGAGTATGTTATAAAAGTACTAGACAATTCCAACGTGGACCCTTTCTTAATAAGGTCTTTGGCTTAATAGTGGAAAGAAGTAGAGATTATATGGTGCAGTTTCATAATTTGTTCTGGTTTCAGCTTGAAATACAAGATCTTGAATCAAGATTTCTGCATTGAAATATTGTTCATTTCAGTCATGCAGGGGAGAAAGTGGCACTTTTCATTTACTTATGGAGTATGTACAAGATAGAATTCCCTAAGTGCAAACATTTCCAGCTTTCTTCCTCAGCTTCTGTGAGAGCAGTGATTTTTTATGATCTATGTTCATAGCTTCAGTAGAAATCGTGGTTTTAACAAGGTAATTTGAATTCAATGCTGTTTAATCATTCAGTTGTAACTTTAAGTTTCTATTTATGATCCTAAATTCCTTTTTAAAAAAAAAAGAAAAAAGGTAATCACACACCTTTCTGGATGAAGAGAGCTCTTCAGAAATAGGAAATGTCCTGGAACAGCTAGAATCCTGTGCCATGGACTCTGGAATCAAAGTAAGGTGTTGTATTCCCTCTCTCCCTCCTTTTAGATTAAGCCCAAGGTAAGGGGATAAAAGTTTTTCTATTTTTATTTAACCCAATAAGCTACCGTTAAAATTGCATATCATTGTTCAGAGGGTAGAGAAACATGAAACAAGTTTTGACAGATTATTAATTTGTAAGGTCATATAGAACTCAAGTGGAGAAAGAGAGGGGGAAGGAGAAAAAGAAACAGGTTTACTGCCTAGAGATGGGTTAATAGAGATTACTATGTAACTTAAAAATTGTAGCCTCTAAGGATTAGCAATTCTGGGACCTCTGGTGTAGAGGCCAGAATGGCAGTTCTCTCACAGAACCCCAAACTGTCTCCCTAATATATTTTTCTATTTGTTGGGGAGGGGAAAGGGCAGTCCACTTAGAACTTAATTCCTATGAGTAAACTTGAAATTACACATGTTCTTTCAGGCTATAGTTTTATTGAGTGTAAAATTTTAAATATTGTTTGTCAGTGAGAAGGTTCTATCTGGTGACAAATGTTTATATTTCTTATGGCTGCCTTGTAAAGATTCAAAAATGTACAATAATGCATTTCTTAATATGAAATAAGGAGTAAGATTTCTACAACTCGTATAGATTTTGATGTGAGCTGGTTTTTAAAATCTTATATTAATCACTGAAATAAAACCTTCCTTGCCTTTAAGCAAGCAGTGTTCCAGACTTTTCTTATCAATGGTATTGGAAGTCTTAGATCATCGTTTGCATGTTGTAGTAACAAGTAGAAACAGTATACAAGCTGTTTAATATGGGTGACCATCTGGCGTAAAACTTCAATTTGTGAATAGAAGTCAACCTGTGAACTCCGACCCTCCTCATTTTTCAAAAGTAGTATGAGAAGATACTTCAATAATGAGACATCATCCTTGTAAAAATTTTATAGAAGCAGTCTCAGTACATACAAAGAATAACTTAAACTACTGTTCTACATACAAAGGCAGTGGGTTTTTTGTTTAGTTGGTTTAGTTTGTTTAAAGAAAAAAAGAAAAATAACACTGTCACCAGTCATCTGAAGGCTGGGTTGTCTTCGTGCTTCCAGAGCTTGCTAATTATTTCATTATTTAATAAATTAGTTTAACAAGTATAAAGGAAATCAGGAACAAGTTTAAAAATCAGTACTTAAATCAGAATTGAACATGACCGTTTCCTACATTTATACTTAATATCTTTAATATTTTAGCTGTTCCAGTTTTACCAAATTACATGTGCATCTTAAAAGTCACTGTACAGAAAAGTTCTCTGAATCAGTCTTTTGTTTGAAGGTTCAGCTTAAAGTAGAAAGTAAATTCCAAAACTTGCACAAAACTGCTACTGTAGAAACAACTCTTGAATTCTAGAAGCTTAAGAAATCTTTGCTTAAGTTTGAAAGCCAAAACTCTTAGGAGTCACCCATTAAAAAAGGCTTGTTACTTTTTTTTTTAAAGTAGCATTTGCATAAGTAAAATGTGTGTGTCAAATGCCTGGTATACTTCATTGAACAGAATACCTGCATTATATTAGCAAATAACAGTAGTTATAATAAGAAGGTTGCTCCATAACTAATGCCTCTCATATTACGATGTTGGCCTGCAACATCAGAAACATAGGGTGGTAGCATGGCAGTACAGGTTGAATTTTCTTAGTGATTTAAAACAATTATTCTGTTACATTTTCTTGCCCTGCAATAGGGAGTGGCAGAGGAGCAGTCTGACAAAATAGCATCTGTATGAAGCAGAGGTGAGGAACTGAATTCCTCTGTGTGGGAAAAAAAATGGCACCCACTGACATTCATCAACACTTGCTGAATATTTATGGAAATAAATAGAAGGCATTACTTTCAAAGCAACTTATATATATTAACTGATAAGCAATTTCTGCATATAACTAAATGACAAATGGTGTTGTACAACAGCAGTGTTTAACTCTGCTGCCATGATGGTATTTAAAATAGGAGCAAAAAATTAAGTTGCTATGATTGGTCTGGAACCCAACAATTTAAGGTAGAACTACTTGGGCTAACTTACTTAACAGCAATCCTTGGACTGTGAGTTAGAGTCCTAATGTGGCTCCACTGTTGTGACTTTGACATGGCTACAGAAACCTGCTGACTTGGAATGGCAGTTTTGGTCAGAACTCAAATAGCAATTATTGTTTCTTTAAGCATTACATTTAACATATAAACATTTTAACATTTTAAACTTTTAAATGTTTTTAACATGTAAGTTAGCTTTTGATTTGTTAGTATTAAAAAAAAATAAGATAAATTGTTAAGCTTTGAAAATAACAGATCAGTGCTTTCATAATATCTAAGAGGACCTGAATACTACTCTTGCCTATGATCGTCATTCGTAGGTCTCTGCCCTTGCTTTGACCATTCCTACTTAGTGCTTTATGAAAGTTATGAAAGCCCCATTGAAGATAGTCCATTGTCACAGCAGAAGATAAATAGAACACTGTGGTTCAAATTTATTTTTCTAATTGATTTGAACAGCAAAAGCAAGGGAAGAGTAGTTTTAGGCTGCTCTGCCAAAAAATATAATAAAATGTAATTGTTTTTTAAAGCACACAGTTCTATGCAGAGTATAAGGTATAGTCTCATATCTCAAATGAAGTTTTCCGTTATATACATTCATAGACTAATGGTATTTATAGCCATCTCTGTCCAGGCACCAGCTGCTGAATGGAGTTTCTTTCTTTGCCTTCTGACAGCCTGAAGAACTTCCCAAGATTGATGCACAGGCTGCAAACTTTGTGCCATTAGAATAGCAGTAGTTTGATATTGCATGATGCCTGCAGAAAAACAAGACTGCTATTAGCAGCATAAAGACATCAAGGTTATGTAACTGGTTATCCACATGCATTGCTGGAAAATCAGTTAATGGGACCTGTGTATTTCATTGCACACTTCTGAAAACAAACAAGAAAGCTTTTTTTTAAACCTTCATTGAGCATAAACAGCAGCATACTAATTAAGTATGGCAATATTTTAACTACCAACAAGAGCATTTTTTGCAATATAAACTAATTATTTAATACAGATACATTTGAACAATGCATGGAGATAACAACCATTGACAGTTTGATATCAAATCTTGATTCATCATGGTAAAGGTAAGCGGGAGCTACAATGCTAAAGTTCTTGCAAATTATATACCAGAACAGAAAGCAAAGTTTATTCTACAGGTATTCCAAATGCAGAACCCACAAACCAGCCAGGGACAGCGCACAGTATGCATCTATCCATGCAGGAGAACTGGAATGAATCACTCAGTGAAAGCAGCGCATATCACTGTTTAAAGCTTCAATCCAGCACAGGTAGGGGAGAGGATTGTGTTTTGTTTTGTTTTTTGAACTGTCACAGAAATAAAGTTCCTACAACTTTGTTACATGAATAGTAACTGTTATACACAGTATAACTTCCCCTTTAAACAAAAGGAATACTTCAAATGCTAATAAATTACAATATTAATCATATAATGGCTTGGGTTGAAAGAGACTTCAAAGACAATCCAGTTCCAACTCCCACACCATGCAGTTGCCAGCTGCAAAATCAGGCGCTAGATTAGGTTGCCCAGGGTTCCATCCAACCTGGCCTTTTATACCTTGTGGAACATCCACAGCTTTTCCGGGCAACCTGTTCCAATGCCTCACCACCTTCTGTGTGAAAACTTCCCCTTAATATCTTAATATCTCCCCTTTTTTAGTTTAAAATTGTTTCCCCTTGTCCTGTCACTATCAGACCATGTTAAAAATCTTTCTCCTTTCTAATTATAAGCTCCTTTTAAGCATTGGATGTCGTGTTAATGTCACAGTGCAGATCGTATAGAAGGTAGCTGAGGCTTTTGTGACATTCTCATAGCAAACCTAGTAATGCTTCACTAAGTTGACATTAAAAGTGATGTTCAGAAACACAGAACAAAGAACTACTGTTTCCATTCACTTAAGTACAGTTATTGTGTTTAAAAACACTAACAATGCATGCATCAACTACAGTTTTGGTCATTGTATTAACTGCCAAGACAATGCTAGAGATAAAAAGACTAAAATTAGACTGTTTGGGGCAATAGTTTTTTGTCATGCTTTGTGATTTTAGTAATCAGGAAGAACTGAGGTCAAGTGACAAAGACATTAGTACCAGTAATCTTCTCATATGGGATGAGAAAAACTGTTGTTTGCGTAGAAGCCTAACTTATGGCTCATTGCAAAGTCACAAAATTTAACTAATCCACAATATAAAGCTTAAGTTTCACAACTGTGCAACAATGTGCTACAGAAACCACGCTGAGTATGAGGGAAAAACCTTTTGGTTCCACACACTGAAGTTTTAAATAAATTTGAATTAATGTATCTTTCACTCTCCAAACAGCAGGTTTTCTCATAGATACATGCAGGTATAGTCAAGGTAATTGAATAGTTACTTCACCTGTTTGATATTATCTTCAGTTACAAATGAGAGAAACTGTCATATCGCTAATAGATGGAAGAATATTTAGGAGTGAGATTTAATGAATTTTCAATGTATAATTAACTTGACAAGAATAAATTTACCGTTATCTAGAAATGGTCCCATAGGTAGAAGTTGAATTTTTTTGAATTGTGCATTAATGTAAGTCTTTATCTCTTTGTAGACAAAAATACTTAAATGCTGAGCCCTTACTAGAGGATTTTAGATGCTTGACATTAATTGTTCTAAGAGGAAGGGGTTTTGGGAACTGCTCATTCTTCACCTTTAGTTTTTACTGACTGAACATCTAATTCAGTGTGACATAAACTCTACAAACACAGCAGTCTATCACCACTTGGATTAAAAGAGGTTTTGTACAAGAGGCTTCTGTATCCTTTAAATTTTGAGGTATGGTTATCACTGACTATTTATGAACATAAAGCTACCTAACAAAAAAATTTCTTACATGTGTGTAGACACCAATGACAGCTAAGCATTCGGTAGTTTAGAGTTTGCTGGCTTTTTGTTTGTTTGTTTTTGCTTCCCCTCCCCCCTCCCCTAACATGTCTGGACTAACAGCTCCTCTAAAGAGGCAGTGAGATACTGTTCTCATACAGGGTCAAAGTTGAGGTCTGACTGGGTCAGACTTTCACAACAAGAAACCGAAAGATGAGAGCGTCTAACAGGTTTCAGGATCTGCACATCCAACCACTGATTTAATCTGCATAGTTATCTTGAAAAAAGAAAGGCCCTGTGTTTCAATTGATAAAGTTCTACAGTTTTTCATCATTCTGAATTAGAGCAATCACTTAGTCCATTATGTTTAAGTGAGAGGTGGCTTGTTGCCAAGAGTTGAGATGAGGGATACTTAACAGTATTTACCTCTCCCCTTGTACAATATCATCATCAGATGCCCGGAAGAGGTGCTTCAGTTGGTGAATCCCTGAAGAGACCAGTTCCAACTCACAGTCAAATTCCCCTCTGGAAGCAGAATTGTCATTACGAAAGATTAAATAACAGACTGAATAGGTGACAATACCCAAGCCTATTCAGTGGATAAGGAATTGGTTGGATGGTCACAGACAGTGAGTTGCGGTCATTGGCTCTAAATCCAGTTGGATGTCAGTGACAAGTGGCAACCCCGAGGAGTCCATTTTAGGACCAGTGCTCTTCAACATTTTTATCAGTTATCTGGATTGTGGGATTGAGTGTACCTTCAGCAAATTGTCTAATAACATAAAGTTGAGTGGTGAAACTGATACAACAGAAGGAAGAGTCCAGAGGGACGTGCATGATCTTGAAGAGTGAGTCCACATAGGATTCAATAAAGCCAAATGCAAGGTGCTGCACTTGGACTGGGGATGTCTGTGGACTGGGAAAAGAACTCATTGAGAGCACTCCTGAAGAGAAGTAATCTGGTACTTTCATGGGTAAAAATCACAGAATCACAGAATCATAGGGGTTGGAAGGGACCTCCAGAGATCATCGAGTCCAACCCCCCTGC